GAATCGTCTGATCAGGTCATCTAGCTTATATTCAGGCTATCGGCTAAGGGTATCGATGAAGCTATCGTGGAACTGGCTATTGACTGATATATCGTGGGCCTTGTGGACTATGGGATCGTAGACCTTATTGACTGTGGGAGGCCACCCGATCAGGCCACGATGAGGCATTTTCGACGATAACGGTCCTTCTAAGACTGGTGTTGCGGGTTTGAGTTGCTGGGGGTCGCCATTGAACAGGAGTTGGTATCTCCTGTAGAGTATGGCATATTACTTCAACGTTTAGATCCTCGTGAAAGGCCCTAAACAGCTGATGATAGCACTATACTCTAAAAGAACTGTAAAGATCTACTAATCGGATAGGATATATATGATAAATACGCAAGATAAGGCCATAAGCTATAAATATAGGAAAATAACGAATGTGTCTATATTAAATGCATAATTGAATGGTGATGATCGTGGCTATCTAATCAGAAGAATACAACAAATATTAGACCTTTATATGGCCTGTGACCTAAGATTACATAATAATACCCTTGCTCTTGGCGATGTGGCACCACACCAGTTCAATATTAGGTTTAATAAAGCTTGATTTAAGGTTAAAACGTTTAAGTTTTATTCATTATATATTAAATAATTAATTTATTTTAAAATATAAAATAATTTAATTGTTGGTAAGTACGTACGTAAATAGGAATAACAATAATAACGATAAAGCAATAGCAAGTAAATCAATGGTGTTAAGACTAGTGTATTAAGATGTTTAAAAAAGGAAGAATTTATTTAAGGCTAACTAAGTATAGCGTGTTCTTATATTCCAATAATAGTGGATACCCGACCCCCCTATCCAGTAAAATCGGGTATTTTATCTCTTTTTTTCCTTATCGGCGATAAAGGCACCTTATCATTAATAAGGTGCTTTTATGTTAATGTTATATAACCATCATTAATATATTATTAATTAAACCTTTTTTAATATAATCGTTATAAAAGTATTATATCTTTTATAAAAATAAAATAAAACGTAATTATTTTTTTAAAAAATATAAATTTATATTATAAATTATAATATTTTTTAATTATTATTATTATTATTATTATTATTATATTATAAATTTTAATATATAATTATAATGTTAAAGTTTAATAATTTAAAACGCGTAAAAATTAAAAAATAACGTTAAAGATAAATTTATAAATAATTTTTAAAAAATTATATTAAATAAATAATAATTACGTTAAATTAATTTTATATTATAAACGTAAAATATGATTTTTTATTATAAATTATTTTGTTTATTTATTAATTTATAAATAATATACGATAACGTATAATAATTTCGTTTTAATATAATTTTAAAATTATTTTTAAAATTTAAATAAAAATTTTAAATTTTTATTAAATATTATAACTTTTAAAATTTCTTAATTACTTATTAATAAAACATTATAATAAACATTAATTTAATTAAACGTTAATTAATTATATTATTTTAATAAAATAATAAATAAAATTTAAAAGTTTTAACTTTAAATTAAACTTTATTAAATTTAATATTAAAGACTTTTAAATGGTAAAAATAAAAAAAAGGAATGACTTATATTAAAAGTGGATAATATTATGTAAAATAAATGTATACGATTATAAATAATATTTATATTAAAAATATAATTACATGATTAAAGTTAAAGTTATTTAATATTTTAATATTAATTTATTAAATAAATCACATTATTTAATATTTTATAAATAAAAAATAAATTTATTAAAAAAACCAATTAAATAAAAATAATATTTTTTTAATTTTTTAAAATATAAAAGTAATTAATTTAAAAAAGTTAATGTTGGGATAACGGTCACGTGACCTCGTCACATGACCAGGGTTATGCCCACACACACCGCCCACGCACAGCCCACGCATCTGTACAATAGATATCTTTCCCCACTCGGGGGAACCCCTCCTCTCTTACCTTAATACAACCAATCAAAACACGATCGTTATTTGCATTCCCTTTCATATTATTACGTAATACATAGTCAATCCAACAGTTAAAATAATTAATAAATTAATAATTATATATTTAATATAAATATTAAACAAGACTTAAACGTCTTGGCCTTGGATCAAGCTTTATTAAACCTGATATCAAGGACTTTTAAATGATGACTGATGATAAAAAGGAATGACTTGTATTAAAAGTGGATGATACTATGTAAAATAGGTGTGTGCGACCATAAATGGTACTTATACTAAAAATATAATCACATGATCAAGATCAAGGTCACCTGATACACCAGCATTAGTTTAATATTATATAAAAACGTTATTAAATTATTAATATTTAATATATAATGTTATTAAAATTATTAAATATAATTAATTAATTAAATAAATATTTATAAAATAAATAATTAAAAAGCAAAAATTATTAAATAAATAATTTAATTAATAATTTAATTTAATTTAATTTCCCGTTTTAAATTATATAATTTTATATTAATAAAAGTAAAAAAAACAATAAAACTATTAATTATAATAATATATTATATTATTCTTATTATTTTTATATTATGAAGTATTTAAAAGGAATATTTAATATTTATAAGATATGTATACTTGTATATACACTAAGTGGGTCTAATGACCTTAGGTCATGTAACAGCTAGACAGCGAAAATTGCTAAATCAGAAATATCTCATATTTCCATTGGTTGGAGATAGGATCGGATAAGATATCCTCAAGATATTTACTCTAGCTTTGCTCTACTTGCTCTAGGTCGTACAGCCATATTTTACACTAGTACTTTTAACGGTTCTTGGGTCGTAGATTACGAAAACTATGAATAATAGTAATCTCGAATTAGCCTACGTTATGTACCCAAGGTAAGTGTCTTATGTAAATCATTCCTCTTATGACTTTCTCTATGTTAAGCTTCGATGCAAGGCTCCGGCTAGGACCGGGTTGCCCCACTATAAAAGCGGTACGGAACAGGGGAAATAGAGTGGATACGTAACGTATCGTATGAGTTCCCGAACGCCGCGGTAACATTAGAAATTGTTGAGTTTCGGTTAGGTTACCTGCGATCCTCTTCCTTGCAACTCTTCTGTTCAACCTCAACCATCTCCAATCGCAAATATTTTGCTAAAGATGGTTGTAACGACGCGGTCTAAGAAACGCGTTAGCGATGATACCTTCGATACGACGACGACAACAACGACGACGAAACGCCCGAGACTCGAAGAGAAGACCGACTTGACACGATGGCGTATGCTAGACGAGAAGGGGAGACATACTTGGCATTACTTAGAAGACGACGAGGCTATAGAGAAGTGGCCGCAGAGTTATGCTGATAGGTGGTATCTTGGATTGGACACTGTGAGATTTCCGTCGTTCCGATTATTCCTATCGCGCCGCGATGGCGTCGCTTGAGCGGTATGGCTGACTGTTCCATTCGTTATAGGGACTCCCCACTCTACCAAAGCCAAACAAACCCCTCGATTCCGTCGTCAACGGCTTGACGTTCTTTGAGAAGCTTCAATTACCTTCCGGCCAGTGGGGTTGCGAATATGGAGGGCCCATGTTCTTATTACCGGGTATCGTGTTTACCTGGTATGTGACGAAGACGCCGATCCCGTGGTATACCGCGACGGAGATAAAGAACTACTTATTCGCCAGAGCAAACCCAGAAGATGGAGGATGGGGCTTGCATATAGAAGGAGAAAGCACTGTTTTCGGAACTGCGTTGAATTATACCGTCCTTCGTATCATCGGTCTCGATCCCGAACATCCGGTCATGGTCAAGGCTCGAGGGACGCTACACAAACTTGGAGGAGCTACATGCGCTCCCCATTGGGCCAAGTTCTGGTTAAGCGTACTGGGTGTTTGTAAATGGGATATCGTCAACCCTATACCCTCGGAGCTGTGGCTACTACCTGACTGGGTGCCCTTTGCCCCTTGGAGGTGGTGGATCCATATGCGCCAGGTCTTCTTACCTATGGGCTACATCTACGACAAGAAATGGTCCTGCGAGGAGACCGATATCATTCGGGCCTTGAGACAAGAGTTATTCTTGGAACCATGGGAGAAAATCGACTGGGTCGGAAACAGAAATAGTATATGTTCTGTCGACAACTACCATCCAAAGTCCTGGCTTCTCAACACGGCCAACTGGTTCCTCGTTAATATTTGGAACCCGTACCTCCGTACAAAAGGGCTTGCTGACAAGGCCCAAAATTGGGTCAGTAAATTAATCGATATGGAAGATGAGAACACGGACTTCGCAGACTTGGCACCAGTGAACGCGGCGATGAACACTGTCGTTTGCTACATCCGCGACGGCCCAGGCGCCTACTCGGTCAGGAGACATATCGAAAGATTAGAAGATGCGCTGTGGGTCAATAGCGAAGGCATGCTTTGTAACGGCACCAACGGTGTTCAATGCTGGGATACCTCTTTTCTGATACAGGTCACGACGGATGCGGGGCTCGAGCAAGATCCTCGCTGGAGACCGATGTTAAATAAGGCGTTGATATTTCTTGATAACCAGCAGATACGAGAGAACTGCAAAGACCAAGACCTCTGCTATCGGCAGCAGCGGAAGGGTGCGTGGGCTTTCAGTACTAGGGACCAGGGATATGCCGTATGCGACTGTGTTTCGGAGGCGTTGAAGTCGGTCATCCTCCTACAACATACTCCTGGCTACCCCCAGCTTCTTGAAGACCAACGCATATTTGACGCCGTCGATACTCTTCTTACTTACCAGAACAAGTCTGGCGCTTGCTCGTCGTACGAGCCGACACGGGGGAGCGAGCTAATGGAAATGCTCAACGCGGCAGAGGTCTTTGGTAAGATTATGGTCGAATACGATTACGTCGAGTGTACGACAGCAGTAGTCACGGCGCTCTCCTTATTCCAGAAGCACTGGCCCGACTATCGGACCAAAGAGATCAAGGGATTTATCAGACGATCGGTCAAAGCAGTCAAGTCGTTCCAAAAACCAGACGGATCGTGGTATGGCAGCTGGGCCATATGCTATACCTACGCGACCATGTTTGCCCTAGAAAGCTTGAAAAGCATCGGTGAAACTTATGGCAATAGCTCTTACTCGAAAAGAGGTTGTGATTTCTTAATTTCCAAGCAGAGGAAGGACGGGGGATGGTCCGAAAGCTACCGCGTAAGATCATGGAGTCCTTTGGATTTTACGTAGACATATGTGATGCTAACAACTTGCAGTCCTGCGAAAAAATGGTATACACCGAGCACTCATCGGGATCCCAGGTTGTGATGACAGCATGGGCCTTGATAGGTCTCATGAAAGCGGATTACCCAGACATCGAACCCCTGAGAAAGGGTGTCAAACTCATCATGGACAGACAACAACCAAACGGTGAATGGAAACAAGAGGCGATAGAGGGCGTGTTCAACAAGAGCTGTATGATTTCATACCCGAACTACAAATTCACCTTTACGATGAAGGCCCTCGGAATGTTTGTGACGAGGTACCCGAATGAGAGGGTAGTATAATGGGTGTAAGCCTAGTGTGTAGGGTATGTGATAATTGATATCGTGAGGACGATGACGCTGTGATGGGTAGACTGGGCGGGATAACTAATTAATTCTAATATTCTTAATGTATTATGATAGCTGTCACGTACGTCATCCGTCCTGGCGCGGTAGCACTGACGTAGTTGGTCTTACATAGATAGAATGGTCCACTAATTTAGATTCGTTCGTTGACTACCTAAGTTGAAGGCAGATCTCCAGATCTTTAATAACATAATTCCTAAAGCTTATTTGAATATCACTGTATAAATAAGTATTTGGTAAACTGAAAGATCAAGTATTAACTACCAACTCGTGAATGGGATGGTTTACCTTCATACAGTAAGTTATGGCAGCCTTGGCGTACGTAGGTACCTAGGTATGTACAATACTTCGAAGCATTTGGCCTAGACCCCGGGCGCTAGGCGGTGAGGTGTAGCCTAAATTTAACCTTATACCGCCTGCCATTTTTAGCTATAGATCCAGCAGAATAGCGGAAACCCCACTATGACTAGTAGCTTCTATGGTGAGCAAGCTTTGGCTCTTGCTGAAGTAAACCAACCTAGTTCAACTGAAGCAAGACCAAGCAACAACTTTATCAGTCTTGATAATTTAGATATCTTAGTAAAAGGGACCTAGCACGAACACTCGCCAGGTATTTAAACGACCTGTTACTTGGAGTTGTGTGATTCAATCTCGTTCTCGTTCTCGTTCTCGTCGTAAGGAAATACAACCCTCAATACAACCCCCACCCCCATTTCGTGATCACCTACCATCTACAAATTTGGCCGAAGAAAGACGTTATCTTTGGTGTCAACGTCACTCATCGTGATCCACTTTAATCGGTACTACCTCGATAAATTATCCATCTTCTTTTCGAGTCAGGGATAGCCACGATGTCATCCGCCGCCTTTGCCGACGCAGGTACCAAGGCCGTGGCCGCTGGCAAGTATACAGAAGGAATCGAGAAATTATCCCAGGCTCTCAAGGAGCGCCCAGCACCTCTTTGGCTACTCGAGCGCTCCAAGGCGTATTTACGAACTAATGAATTTGACCTCGCATTGCACGATGCCGAGCAAGCTTTGCAAGTAGCCTTCTCGCGGGCTAATCGAGACTATATGGCCGAGGCCCAGATTAGACGAGCTATCACCCTCTTCCGCATGGGTCGCTATGCAGACGCTGATATCTGTGCGTTCTGGGCTATCAGACTGCTCGAGCAATCCAAGGCTACCGAAGATGACGGCCAGCAGAATAAGGTTGACGAAAATGGAGATTATGTCGTGCGTGCTAGTGAAATTAAGAACGCCGAGAAATCGGATAAGGACCGACAAATCGCTGCTGCTATGGGTGGCGCGAGTAATTCGAAAACCACTACCTTAAAAAATCAGGCAACTTCGTGGCGTCTGCAGGCCTTGAATAAGCTGGAGAACTTACCTGCCGGACATGCCGGTTTGAAGGTGAACGTCTCGAAATATCCTAAGCCATCCGAGTTGCATTCTGCCACCACATCTGATGAGCACGATGCCGACCCTAGTATGGTTCTATCCGCATCCGCGACAGGCCAAGGTCATGATGAAGGCGCAAAGCGTGACGCCTGGGAGAACGTCTGGAAGCAATTTTCGACCGCCTTCGTGACAAAAAGTATCAGATCGAGCTTCTACCAGACGGACACTACCATCAATGTCGACTTCTTCGTAAAGAATGTGCCCGCAGACCGCTTTGCCGTGTCTACCCAGCCTCGAAAAGTGGTTATGGGACCAATCTCAAATACCGACTCTAGCCCCAACTCCCTCCAACTCCACCTCTGGGGCAGGGTTAAGCCTGCTGAAACCAAACACACAGTTAAATCGATGAAAATCGAGCTAGTCCTCAAAAAGGAAACGCCAGGCAAATGGCCCATGCTGCAGCGGGAGGATTCCGATGGATTTACTAACATTGCGGGGAACACTAAGGTGGCCCCCTCGTTCCAGAGATTCTCCACACTCGTTTCTCGCCTGGGGTTCGTGTCCGATCCTGTCGAGCTTATTGCCTAGGACTTCACAGCGCTAACCCGTTTTTAGGTACCATCATCCCGATGACCTCGAACTTCCAGATGTTAGTCTAGATCTGGATGCTTGGTACGCTCATCTCTTGGGCAAGCTTGCAGCTGGTCTAGATGAGCGCGAGGCATCTTCGGAGATACCAAATGCTGCACCCGAGGCTACGTCGCCCTCTACGTACGCGAGCGCGAGCGGCGCGACTCAGCCCAACAGTAACCCCGCGCAAGCTAGCGATCCTGTGCTTAAGCCTACTCCAAATTCTAGCGAGGCATATTCGACGAAGACCGTCGGTAGCGCCCAAGCCTACCCTACTTCTTCGAAGAAGGGGGCAGTGAATTGGGATCGGATCGGTGATGAAGACGGAGGTGACGAACCCAAAGAGGATGCCGATGTTAACTCGTTCTTCCAGAAGCTCTACAAGGATGCGGACGATGACACGAGGCGTGCCATGATGAAGAGCTACGTCGAGAGCAACGGCACATCGCTCAGCACAAGCTGGGCTGAGGCCAAGGGCAAGACGTACAAGACTCTGCCACCCGACGGCGCCGAAGCCAAAAAGTGGGATGAGTGATATCCTACGTGATTGGGTCGTCAGCTTAGTTTGTGCTTTTCACGCGCATGCTTTTGTTACGGGCAAATAGTAAAAAGGAATGGATGGTCGGAATGATACCAAATGTAGTTACTCGTCAATGCAATAATACGGCGTATTGCGACTAGAGTCGTACGTTTTATTTCAAGGTCGGTGCGTTAATACCACGGGTTGTTTTGGGCTTGATATCGTCTTTTACCATAAGTCCGACGAGCCCACGGTTGGGAACTTTGGACGCGGTGAGATACGCATGTTGGCTTGTCTGTGCCCTCTTCAGGATATACCTACTAACATGGGCAAGGTAGGGGGAAAGCCAGTATGTCACAAGACTATACAGAATCTACGGATCCGTACGCGTGATTTCATTAAACTAGAATATCGACCTATAACGTAGCCTCTACCGACCCTACCAGGCCTTGCCAACGAACCAGGTGAGCGGATTGCCGCAAAGTTAGGCGGACTAGAACGGATGACGTTTCTAGAAATGGCGATTGGCGGTATTAAAAATATCTATCCACCCATAACCACGGTCTCGGTGCCAAGCTTCACTACGGAGGGTGTGGGCTCAGATACCACGTTTTACGTAGTGCTTCCCCGGCATTTGTTTTATCACACTTCTCTACGACCGCCCCCTGGGGTCATCCCCATGGAAGTCGGAAATCCAGCCGGTCTCATTTCCAGTTGCCGGCACGTCCTCTGGTAACCCTTTCTGTTACTCTTGGGTCTTCAGCTGAATATCCTTGCCATGGTGGAATACTCCCCGCAATTTTCCAACGTTAACTCGTAGCCTCTCCACATAATGTCCAGACCCTCTTGTCTGAGCTTCTTCATCAACGGCAAGGAAGACCATACCAGAGGCTTCGGCAATTCGCTGATTGGTCAACTTAGGGTTCGCCGAGGTTAATAAGCTTGAATAAGCTATGGACGAACGTGCATCGTGTATCAGGCGGTATGTCGACGAACTCCTGTATCATTTACCCGACCTTCCAGCAGGTAACTGTCGAGTAATTCATATATCCAAATTGCCCGTAGATCTGGACCACGGCGGGATCGTAGATTGTTGAAGACCCTGAGTCTGCTTAATGATTCTGATTAATTCGACTGATTAAGCAATTACTTCATCATCATCAAGAGCAACGTCTTGTCATCACTCGCCTTGTTGTCATCTATTTTTGTTTCTTATATTTGAATCCCACGACGGCTCCTTCAACAGGAGTAGCGTGTAGCAAGCATACGCAAGGGATGTTCTCAACACGACCCATCTGCATAATTCCTATCGCCTAGAGGCGTCTCTAGACTTGCCCATATATATTTTTGTATACCATCTTCCACGTAGGCTCTTCATCATGAGCGCCGACGAGGTCACGATCTCCCCGACGAGGACCATCCTCCTCTCGGCATGGAACATCTTCAAGGAGCAATGGCCGCTTCTTCTCCCGCTCTTCATCATCCTCCGGATTTTATATAAGCGTTATGCTTCACCGTTACGCGAGTATCCCGGTCCCTTCGTAGCCTCTTTCACCCGTCTCTGGAAAGTCATGTCCACGATCTCCGAACAAACTCATCTGCACCACATCGAACTGCACCGCAAGTACGGTCCCATCGTACGAATCTCGCCCAACGAGCTCTCTTTTTCATCTCCAACGGTCGCTCGTCACGTTCTCTCAGCCGGGAAGCGCTTCTATAAGACGGACTTTTACTCGGTCTTCCCGCCGCCGGAGAACCCGGATATCTTCACCGAGATTCGCGAGGATGTGCACGCCATGAAGAAGAAGGTGGCCAACGTGCCGTACTCGATGGCCGCCATGCGCCAGCTCAGCCCTTTCATCGATGACACCATCGACTTCCTTGTTAGCCGGCTCGACCAGTTCTGCCCTGACACCGCCATACCCGGATTCCAACAGGCTGGTCTCCCTGGCCGAAACACTATTGTTAACCTTGGCGACTGGCTGCACTTTTTTGCCTTTGACGTGCTTGGTGAGGTGGCCTTTGGAAGGTCGTTTGGCTTCTTAGCTGCCGGCGTCGACAAGGAAAACGCCATCAAGACCATCGACAACAGTCAGAAGTACAACGGTATCGTTGGTCAGATTCCTGAGATCGATTGCCTGCTAAGGAGGAACCCACTCTGGAGGTGGATTCCCGCCTTCGACCCCAACAACGCGGTCATCACCCGCATCGCCCGCGAGGAAATGGAGAAGCGTCGCCCCTTCGAAGTTGAGCGCGATGGCAAGGGTGCTAGCAGCGATGGTCGCGAGGACCTCCTATCGTCTTTGATCAAGGGCCACCTGAAGGACAAGAGAAAGTTTCACGAAGGTGACATCTTTGCTGTGGCTCATGGTGCTATGTAAGTATACTTGCCCCCTTAACCCTGTTCCTAGCAAGTCAAGACCAAAGGGCCTAGCCAGCTAACACGACGGACACAGCTTCGCTGGTTCGGACTCGACTGCTTCTTCCATGCAATCCTTCTTCTGGCACGTTCTATCTGCCCCCAAGGTACTTGAAAAGTTGGTAGAGGAGATTGATACGGCGGCACGTGATGGAACGATCTCGGCGCAAGGTAACATCCAGTGGACTGAGGCTCAGAACCTACCATACTTCCAGGCGTGCCTAAAAGAGGCGATGCGCATACGTCCCGCGGTCGGTGTTAACATCGCTCGATACGTGCCTCCAGAGGGCATCGAGATCGAGGGCCGTCACATCCCCGGTGGTACACGACTCGCTCTCAACGGCTGGGTTCTGCACCGCGACAAGGCCACCTTCGGCCAGGATGCCGACTACTTCCGTCCGGAACGCTGGCTTGAAGACCCCGAAAATGCCAAGGTCATGGAGCGATATATGTTCCAGGTACGTTACGATGGAACCTCATCTTGAAACATCCGCGCACTAGATACTAACATCAACAATAGTTTGGCGGTGGTGCTCACGTCTGCATCGGTCGGAACCTGGCGCTGCTCGAGATTAACAAGGTGATCCCTCGCCTTCTCCGCGACTTCGAGTTCGAGCTGGCCTACCCGGGCCGTGAGCTCAAGGCGAAGGCGACCTTCTTCGTGGTCCAGGAAGGCCTCGAGGTGTACATCTCGCGAAAGCAGGGCGAGAAGGAGACGCAGAAATAAAAGCTTAGACTTATACCATAGTTCTTCAAAGAACAAACTTAATGATGCTACTAATAATAGTATCGGGGACGGCGGGCAACGGCGTTGTTGTGTTAGAGCTGGGCTCGCGGCTTACGAAAAAAAAAAAAAAAAAAAAGCTTCACTGCTCAGACGGTTGTTTTTACTTGGGCAGCTTGGGCAGCTTGGGCAGCATGTTTTTGCATACCATTTCACGCAGCGTTTTTTGTTGATTACTTTTCTTTCGAAATGATATTTATACAGCACAGAGGTTGTAGATGGACGAGATACACGCGCAGCGCGTTATATATACCAGGAGATGTGTAGTAAATTGCTTACTGTATATGAATATTTGGAGCGAGTTCGATGTAACTAATGACGATGTTTCGCTACTAGAAAATATTGCGAGAGGCGCAGCTAGTTACACAAACTCGGCGATAGGGTCTAATATTATGTTGACTTTTCTTTTGATAACTGAAGTATTAGGATTAAGAAGCATGAGGTTCTTTCTTTTGAAGTCTTATTGCTTATACCTAAGCCATGTGTGAGTGAAGTTATTGTGAACTACACCGTCTCTCAACGCCCATTTTGCGATATCCAATCAAATCGCGAACTATTCCCATGGTTTCCTAATAAAGGGACTCTGATTGGCCATCTTCCTGTGTCCTACGAATCCTCGGGATGCTTCGAGTATGTAAGTTATTCTCTCAACTGAAAAGACAAGTTCTACTAAATTCCCATTCCAGGTTACCTGAGACGATATTCACGGCAATTAGATTGACCATGAAGCCACGTCGTCGTGTTCATAATCATACGTTGTCGAATGTCTAATATGTTACCTTGTGTATGTTTTAGGTAACGAACACTCACGAAGATAACGGCAGTTGAGTCCCACCTATATAGCCGCCCCTTAACCCTGTATATAGCATTTATAGCATTTTGCATATTCGGTAGTTGATCGAACGAGTTCGGCTCTAATTGGACAATCTGAAATTCTAGCATTTTTTTAAAAAAAATTTCACCCGAATTCGGAGATCAAATTGCGATCTGAGCCCATGACAAATGCAACATGTGAAGAGCCTCTTCGATTTATAAGATGCCAAGCTAATCCCCCATGTCCCTCCTAACGTTGTTTTTGGCCGGATGATTTCTGCGCAGAGCCGCCGAAGTTGGACCAGGGAAAAGCAAAAGCCAAGAGTCCATTTATCCGAATCTCAACCACGGCTTATAATGATACCTACCGGGGCACCACGTTCATTCGCGAGCGCTCGATCTTATCTAGACAGGGATCATATGGCACTTGCATTAATCATGCAGCCTCAGGATAAATTAGGGGGTGTATTCCTAGTGTCTTCCTGGAAACTCTCTCCGTCTCTCAACAACATAAGTAACATACGAATTCGGGTGGGCCTACATCGTATCCCACAAAGAATGCGACGAGGCCGAGCGGCATGATGCACAATCACCGTTACCTAATACTCGTCACATACTCTTAAACGATCCATCCACATCTCATCTCATCGCATCACGTCGATTCTAGACAACGCCGAGCGGGGTAGGCAACGCCACAGCGGCCGGTATGCAACATCGTGAGCGCTGTTAGGATCGCCACATCAGTTTTCTCACATCATACCGGCGAGGTTCGCGCGGTCAGCTCGCTTATAAGCAGCCTAATCCTGTCGCCTGTCGGAAGTGAGCCGGCACGATAGCGAATGGGTGTCATATTGTTAGGGATCACGACCTATCGGCTACGCAGCAAATATCGCTGGGCGGCATAGGCAATGCGCAATGGCGAACAACGCGTTATAGGGGCTAGGGGCTAGGGGCTAGGGGCTAGACCCACGAGAATGGTAATAGGCCGCTACGGCGGGCCGCTGTGGTATCCAAAAGCCAATATTACATGCACTTGCTGGATAAGCATTCTTCCTGACTACGAGGCATCAACGATAGCTGACATGGACTATCATGCCTAGCAGGAGTTAATATGGGACATAGAAGGGACCACTCACGTTCATAGCGGTGTTTGTTTCGGCCGCCGGGACGTGCGAGCAGATGCTCGTCATCTACAAATACGGATTTGCCGACATTTGAGACGGGAATAAGGAGAGCTGGTCCAGTTTTCGGGTGGATGCGACTAGTTTCGGCATATGTGGATCATCCACGACGATCCATGTTGTCTGGAACCGTTTAAGGGGGTGGATAAGCACCCACACTACCGGTATAGAAGTGTAGTGTAGAGGTGCCGTTCATCGTTCTATTCCAGGTCGTCGATAGCCGACATCCAGACTCGGCAAACCTGTACAAATTCAAGCTGCTATATATGGATATGAATCTATAGAAGATACAGAAGAGCTGAGATTTGAGTTCAAAAGCTTAGGATGGTGTGGACAATACCGTGGCCCGTGTGGATAATCACGAGCGCTACGTGGTGGGTTTAAGCAACTTTTGGAATACTGTTACTAATTATATGTTCCTAGACTATATGCGGTTCTACCTGCATATAGACTACGGAATAGACTAAAAGCTCTCTATTCCGTAGGAAATTGCGGGATAGGTATCAAGATATACAATAATTTGCTATTGTTATGAGTCCTTGGGCTAGCAGATTTTTATACTTCGAAATATCACAATGGAAGCTGGATAGTTTCAAAGAAAACGACACCATTTAAACGTGAATTAAATTCAGGAAAGTTGAAGAAGGTAAATCTGCATTTCTTACACTGGGATGTAGTTATCAAGGTCGAAAGATGAATGGGTGACATCTTAGATATGTAAACAATGGCAACCATATTTTCATCATACTGTCAAGAACTCACATGTGTTACTTAGGACGTTCATATAAATAAAAGACTAATAAAGTCATTCGACACTCAAGCAACTAGGTTAGAGTATCATATGATCCATATGGTCTCAGTAGCAGAGTAGTAGGCTGCAAGATACAACTGTTGACTATGTAATCTAGAACGCCGGCAACGAAACTAAGGGTAACTCATCGAAAACAGTAGAATGGTCAGGTAACCAACTTGACGGTCTTCGTCAGGCGCTAAGACCTACCTCCTGATGAGTTGTTGGATCCTGATGTCTCGATCGGCGTATACGGTGAGCTCCTATTGGCTATATTCTTACAGCAGCAACAGCCGTAAAAACATGTAGTCGGCCATTAATTTAATGCCGCTGTGCGAAGAAACACTCCGCATGCATGAACCATTATTTGCGAAACCTGGGTACCTACTAACCTAGGTACCCAGGTTATGTTTAGTAACTGGCGGGCGTATATCTCGCTTTGATGGTTTCATAGGTGCTCGATGCTTGCTTTCCTCGCCCTTTCAATTCGATTCGGCTCCGGCGTATCCCGGTAAGCGGATGGTAAATGCCCTTCTAAAGCCGATTTGATCTGCTGGGTCATCGGTCGAGACCACCAGCGCTGCTGTTGGATAACGTCCCCCATTACCCAGTAATTCTCCATACGTAAGTGACGTTTCCATACCCCACGAACTTCTCCCTCCGCGTCTACCCCCCACGTAGCGTCTAGTCGCGCTACGATATCCTTCGGACCAAGAACATCAGTCTTGTTTGTCATATCAGGATCCGCCTCACCAAGTATTTCTAATGCTATTGTACGAACATCTTTATCAGCGAATCCCGTACACCAAATTACCGCATCTGTATCGAGGACGCTGCTATCAGAAAGGCGCAGTCCAGTTTCGATGTAGCCTATAGGCCCGACACGCCCACGTACGGCGACTTTGCCTTCAGCAATGAGATCGGTGCCGCCCACGTCGACGTAATGCCCACCACCACGCTCGACTAAGATATTTTGAATATCCACTGATGAGTCCCTACTGTCAAGGACTGGGAAGCCTGCTTGTGCAAGAGATAGATAGCGGTCCCTACGTAATCAACATCAACCAACTGACATTAGTGTGAGGACGCGACTAAAAGCGATAGAACAGTTTTACCGAGACTTGATAACTAGGGAGTTATTGTCACAGTATCACAGTAAACTAATGATTACGGAAGGGGGGTTGAAAGTAGACTTACGGTTCTTGAGAGGCAAGGTGACGGAGACCGAGCTACCATCGTCGTCTTTATGCCTGCAGCATGGCAGTCTTGCATGATGTCGAATGCAGTATTAGCCGAGCCGACAATAACAACAGACTGCAAGAGAGGTTAACTGTTGCACATGGGTGACAAGGTGCATTTCTACTTACTTTGATTCCTTGCTCCGATAGAGACTGTGCGTTACGAAAATGGACAGAGTGGAGGTTAAGGCCTTTGAACATATGCTCGTTTTCTAGCGTTGGAAGGTTTGGCCTTTGAGACCCGATTCCAGTAGCTTGGACGAAATGCTTGCTTGTGATGGTCTTTCCAGGCTTCCCATCTATAGTCTTAAGCTTAACAGTCCACTTCTTCTCCAAAGTATTGAAAGAGCTTGAGCTTATAGTCGTTGATATAATAACGTTGAGGCCAGATTCGCAGCATATTGACGCAAATGTTCCGTTACTTCGTCCTTGGTAAACCGGTGCGGACTCCGTGAATCCTTTCTACAACCGTATAAACAACTATTAGTCAAGTCGTAGAGCAATATTCTAGCATATAAAAACCCACGTGCATATGGTATCTCACAGCTAGAAGTTGGCACGTGAAGCCTGAGACAGTCGTAACGATGCATCCAGTTATCGCCGGGTTAGGCATTGCGGTCAATGACCACACTATCAGCACCTAGGGCTCTGAGGCGTGCTGCAGTCACAAGGCCGCTAGAATTTCTTAGAAATCAACTAAAAACAAATACCGAGCATGACTGACGAGCTCCTGGCACAAACAATGAGGACGTCGGTCTCGATGGTATCCAAACTATCTAGGTTCTTACTGGAATACGATAGCTGCGTCTCATCTTCTGGATGTTGGACGATGTTCTCGATCCAAGTCAAGGGGGCCCAAATTTTCCATGAAGTAGAACCAGCAGCGACATTGCTTTTCGCGGGTAGCAATAGCATTTTGCCCATGCAGCTCAACGCAGGTGAGGTTGTGCGGAATGATATTCCACAATCAATGAATATCGCTAAGATAGTGAGTAAATTATAACTTCTACTTTAGGCGGGAGGAATACGGTCATAGGACTCACCATCACAGGGCTTATTACAGCGAATTGGGCATCTCCAGCGAGTTCAATATTGCCAACAACCCCACGAAGATATTTCATGTGTAGTAAAGCCTCAGATATGGTGCTAGGCCTCGAAAAGCTTCGTAAGTGACTGGTGAGGGCCACGATATCTAGCCAGTACGCCTGTTCCGTATAGAAACAGTTTACCAACTTCTCGACGTCATTGCTGAGTAAGGCATTCTTAAAAGCATCTACGACGACCTTGGCTTGAATGGTGGGCATATCTCCAGCCATCTCATCTGTATTGACGGCCCCAGGAATAATTTTAGGCAACGGCTTGTAGATGTCCTTTCGAAGATCGGCTTTAAGAGGCCACTCGACATCCAGTGGGGCCACTCCAGGGCTACTGTCCCCTATATAGTGTTAGAATGTTGCCCTTGATATAACTTCGATTTACAAACTGCGGTATTGGTTCTTACTGGAAGACATCTTAGGCAATAATGTCACCACGTTGCTCAAACTGGAGAAAGGGGGGATAGTTTCTTGTATAGAGCAGGATCTATCTAGCAGGCTCAGAGGAGAAGGATTTGAAAAAGAGCTTAGTAGCCTCAAGATACAGGCATGCTTTATCCCTAGTTTCGGAAACCAAGCTTTGTTTCGGTTGATCGAATCTTGGCTCGTACAACCAATCAACAAACTAGAATATCAGTATGTGCATGTCCCCTTTACAATCCACAATCCTACAGTTTTCGTATACTTCCTTAACACGGCAAAATCTCAAAATGGAGTGAACGGAGCCTGAGTCTACGTAGAAGTATTACGACTCAATTCACTCATCACAACGTTCCAAAAGTTCTGTTTGAAGCAAAATCATCGACAACCCCTTACTCAACTTGGCACATAAAACTTATGATTAATGTGTACGAACAATTGAATATATCGTGATAATAAGGGTGGGATGACGCATGCGATAAAAGAAAGATTCAATGCGAACCCAAGAGATTGTTTCAATTCACCATATAATGATGACTGTGTTATTTTTACGTACCCGGTGTACCACTGCCAGCCAGGTCAGCCCGAAAACCAAGTGTTGATACCCACTTGTAGACCGGCAGCTCAAGTAAATGTATGAATTTATTTACATATCTCCTAGTAATAATGGGAATGTCCACATTGATAGTCCCGGAGTCAGTTGACAATACACGTGGATTTTATTTGGCAACATCAACGTGGAAAATTTCTACAACAGCGCCTAGCGGCTAATTGGGTCCCCAATGATGTTTGCTTATACCAGGAGTGAAATCCGTTTAAGTCAACCATTGTCGACTCACAACGTTAATATATTTGATATACAGACGTTCCCAGCTGGCGAGATCATTGGTGTTTAAATCGTAACACAGTGGTGTCTCTCTACTCGACGGTTTGCTGCTTCTACGTGATTCAATATTGACTGGAATTTATAAGTAATGCAAGAAATAGGAATAACATCTATTAACAGAATTAGGTTTCCTCTCCTTTCTTCTGCCTGGAATCGAACAGAGCTAATATCTACATCCATCGATACCTAGGAACCTACAGCCTGATCGTAGTTTATCGTCATGGATTTTGGGGTGGGTAACTTTAACCTCCCAGTAGGGGGAGATTCTGACTTCCGAATGGAGGATTTCGATCCCCAAATGGAAGACTTCGGTGACCAGCTGGGAGATTTTGACTTCTCTATAGAGGGTATGGATTTCCAAATAGCGGGCAACAATCACCAGGCGGAGAATATGGAATACCTATTAGACAACTTTACATACAACAACCCCAATCCTGGCAATGTGTCAGGCAATCGATCCAACCGCGACGAGACGGTAGAACAGACACCGGAAGGAGAATCTAGTGTTCCGTCGAGTCCAGATTCTCAAGTCTTTATTAACTATTTCGAGTGGACAGAGAACAACCTACCCATCGGAGTATCGTTCGACCCGAATGCCCCGGCTGTTACCCCTGAATTCTTGCGCGGATGGACTTACAGACCTGAACTTCCACAGGACGAGAATCAAGTTATCTTCGTGGGTTCGCGTGGAACTGGGTACCGCTCCGAAATGGTTCCGCCTGCCGAGGTTGCCGGTAACGAGCCCGCAGTTCGTCGATCGACTCGTCGCAGAATTACCCCTCGAACTCTATTCCCTAATCAGCGACCAGCATGGGCGATGCTCGCGACGGATTTCAAAACCGTTTCCACTATACCAGATGATGTCTCTATATGGTGTCCCTGTTGTACACGAATACTCCCAAATAGCAGTTTTAGAATGTCGCCTAGAAGTCATACCCCGATGGAGACGTGCATGGACTGCAGAAAGCGACAGGTAACACCTCTGCATAACATGGTCATCTGCTGGAGCTCATCTTCGGATCTCAAAGGTTGCGGAAGATTTCTTCCCCGGGCTAATTTCTCTAGCTTTCACGATTACGCAACGTTTACAGGTATTCTATGTCAAGATTGTAGAGCCTTCGGTCCAGGTCGGGCGAGATTCGATGGTAGATACACTGAGAAGAAGTGATAAAAGGTGAGGGTCATGATAAAGCCTCTTACCTAGAAGCAAGTTAAATCTGTGTCCCATTCTAGGTGAGGGATTCATGTAGCGAGGGAGTTGATTGGAGTTATCTACAGCGGGAAATTGCGAAGACTTATGCACATCTGGTATTATATGAGGCCTCTCTATAGAGGTAGATTAATATTTACTTAGTTATTCACCTATTGAGATGTACTTATGCTGACCAGACTTTTGTTGCTTGCGTGATGTGATTAGAATAACCACCATGGCAATGGTAGTCTTAAAAGGGGATATTTATCTCACAACTAAAACGCATCTACGCGGCTGATAGTCTTGTGGAGGCATCGGGGCTCGTGCCTGGCAGTTACAACTTCAATCGATAGAAAGAAAGAAATGTAATTGTTTGATAAAGAAGTTCTAATAATATGGGATGCTCCCTTAGTTCCAGATTTACCTTTGTATCTCAATGCTTACATTGGGCTAGTCAGACCTCAGGATTGCAGTAACTTACTTAGCTAAGATTTGATGTGCTGTGAAATATCCCATCCCATCTGCTCCATGCCACGACAGTTGCCTTTTCGTTTTCCGGGACAGTGATGAGTTGTTGTGGCTCCCGTTTAGGCATACTGGGACATTGTATAAGACGTTATAGAAATTGCTCTAAGCTCTTGAGGTTTAATATCATATGCGTCAATCCGTGGCCATAATTAAACTAGGTGCTAAATGAGTCTATATAGTTCACTGCTCTTTAGGGGCATCTTCTTAGTTCACAAATAAAGATAGTCAATGGGGTTCCTTTGGACCCCAATCATTCTTTACGATTAACATAGGCACTGTACATTTTTATAGGCCCCAATGGAGACTTTGAGGGGATATTAACCATGTTTTATTAGTCTATAATGTACACCTTATAGCAAAACGCCGATAGGTGGATGACGGCGTGCGGATTGAGGCTCGAGACCCTAGTTACCTAGGTATGTATGAGATCACGAGGCAGCCTTGGCTGGATACAAAGCTGACGAGGAACCTGTGCAACTCAAAGGGCTCGGTTTAAGTGAGGTTGGCTTTGGCATGCGTAGATATAAATACTTCTAATTGATGAAGATCAATAGTGTAAATCAAGTAGAGCCATACCTTGACATCAATCTTAATTGCATGAGAAAACAATTAAGTGAACTGTACATCCAATATGACTTATTGATATACGTAGCTTTTAGACATGCATTGTTAGATAAAATGGATTGATCGCGCTGTAAGAATCATGAATAGAAGGTTTAAAGAGTAGACAGCGATGTCTTTGCACCGTGAAATATTAAGTACCTATCTAACGTAATGATATTTATGCATACATATTTTTATCGTGATATTCCAGCTACCTAATGGTCTTCCATTCTTCTAGAACTTCCTCAGCATCTCTCCAGTCTTCATTTGATTGTATTCCATCCCCAATTGCAAACCTAACTAGCCTCCTTGCTAGCCGATACGCAGGGTGATATGCGAATCGCATATATTCTTTTCCAGCAGCTCTTTCGAATGCTGTCTTGAGCTGATGTCCTTCTACCGTGGGTGGAACATCATTAGCTGTTCGCTCGTCTTCATCTTCGTCATCTAACCAACCCCATAACCAGAGAGGTGGCGCGCAGGCCATAAATTGGGGTGCGAATACGGCGGCGTCCCAGTCGAGAACCGCTGATATTATGGGTTGCTTTAGATCAGATGTTGGGTTGATTAATATGTTACGAGGGGCAAGATCCAGATGGGCGAGGCAGTAGTGAACATTGTTAAACCAACCTCTCTCTTCCAACTCCCCTGCCATGGAGCAAAGCTTGTCTAAAAGGCCCAGCTTTACAGAGGCCTTTGGGAATTTTTCTAAGATATATGCCATTTGATCCTCAAAGTTGCTTAATAGTAGATCGCGTACTGTTTGCGTAGTCGTTTTGGTATTGCTGTATGGCACTGCTAAACTGGTAACTTTGGATCTATACGGTATAACACGGAACTCTGCCTTGAGGTCTTCATTGTCTGAGAATACTAAAGAGCCAGCTTTGTGGCTTCTTACGGCTAGGATCTGGCGGAAAACGTTCCCAAGTTCATGTGCAAATCTTAGTTTTTCGGCGTGATTAAGCTTAGGAAAGCCCGATAATACATCAGTACCCGCAATGCGATTCTGGAGTATGTAGGGAGACTCTAATTCGTTGTCTGGGGTATTATCGAATGTTATGACATTGGGTATTGATATTTTAGTATGCCTCTCAAGAAATTCCAAAGTAGCCACATCGCGGTCTACAGGTGCATTTTTGTACCGGGGAATCCGTATGATATATTGGACTTCGGCAGAGTTCGTACGACTACTTCCTTTCCGTGTTAACCCAATGATGCGATTGAATCCACCTCCTCGTAGCCTCTCTATTATTATGTCGTCGAGAATTGCATCAGGCCAAATGTTATTTAGTGCGAATGAGAGGACATTGAACTGGAACGTGTCGAATGCCTCTTGACCCCACGCAACCGTCGATGTTAAGGAATTCGTGGACGATCCAGAATATGGTGATGCCATTTTTGCTGACAGATTATTTGGGTAGTATTCGTACACCACTTGGGAAACCAGGCTTATAAGATGGAAAGATTGGGCTAGAAACTGGGGTGCATCGGAACAAACTCTTTGTCAAGGAGTGGCTAAGAATATATAGTAGTGTTGTCAACACTTGAACTAAGGTTAAACAATTGTGTATGTTGGTCGCTTTGTACATGTCCAGCTATTATTAGATTTTAATAGATAAGATGCTTTGGCCGTGAGACAATCCTTTGTTCTTTATTAATGACAATGTTTAATACGGACCACGAACTCTCACGTTATTATAAGAACTATCACGAAAGGGACATTATTGAAACTAAGTCAAGGCTATTTGTAGATGTTAGGCCAACACTAAATCACGGACCCCTAATTACATCATGTTCGTGATTAGAAAGGTTTGTCACTATTAACACACATAACTACCGGAACTATGTAAAACTTTATGTCAAGTTCCGATTGGGAAACCCTAACAGGTATATATGCGTTTATGTTATGAACTTAAGTTTGCGTACGCCATGATTATTTAGACAATATCCTCACCCCTTCGCGCAGTACCGCCCCCAACCGGCTTCCGCTGGAAACCAGTCACACCGCCATGGCCGCTTGCACCTTGCGCATTACCGCCGTAATTAGAGGCCCCGGCACCCCATCCGGCCTTGCGTGTCCATAGGGCATCCATAAGCTCGGCGCTGTCGTAAGTGTATAGACATGCCTGTCCGCGGTGAAGGGGAACGTGGTTCCAGCGCCAATCCCAAATCGCGGCGTAACACATACGGTATGCGGAGAAGGCCATAACGGTGCCGATGATGCCGCCCGCCACGACATCGTACCAGTTGTGGAACTCATCGATCGTCAACGCGCCAGCAATCAGCGTAGCCCCCAGTACCGGCGCATAGATCGCAATAAGCTTCCACATCGCCGGGTGGTAGTTTGAGAAGACCTTTAACTTGGCGTTCAAATAGAGGGATAGATAGATGAAGCCTGCGAAGGCTGCCGTGCTATGACCTGACGGGAATGATTCGAGAGAGTCATTGATCTCGTTCTCGTCACCAGTGCAGATCTCTTTAGTGTAGTAGATGTTCGTGAAGCCAGCCCCGTTATAACCAGCGCCCTTAACGCCGGGAGCGTTGCTAGCGAGGCTTACATCAGGCTTGCACACGGCAAGGAAGTGCGGACGCAAGCCGCCGATAAGCCATTTCAAAAAGACCTGGAAGACGGCGGCGGTGATGAGCGAGTATAGAAGGCCAATAACACCATTGCTCACATCCCAGAAGGATCTGATCCGGATTTGCATGAGAAGAATAACGACGATAGGGACCAAAGCCGCGAGTAAGGCTGCTGCCCAGATAGGGACGATCTCCTTACGCAGGGGATATGCGAATTGCGGATATACGACCTCGCCATCGGAGAAGGTTACTGGGAACGATCGAGTCGGAGCTGGTTTCGCTTCGTACACCTATATAGACGTTAGTATGAAAAGGGAAAGACTTGGTGATTGAGGCTATCTAGAAGTGCCAAGCTGGTATGGGCCTAGTCCATATGGGGTGTTGTAACTGTTATCATATGTAAGGTATAGGAACTAGATCTTCCCTCCTAGTAACTTAAACAATAAAACATCATATTCAACACATATTGTGATAGTTGTGATAGCAGTGGAAAGTGGAATTATGAACAGGAAAACATACACCAAGCCCTATAGCGCCCATGCAAGCCATCGTAACGATATCGATCCATGTGACCTTAAGCCACTGACCAAAACTCGGACGGACCGCCATAGGATAGGCTACGCTATCTTGAACATGTCCATTCTGATGTCCGTTACCATTCGTCCCGTCGGCACGACGACGGCTGAAGAGGCCCATGCTGGCCGGTTTATTATATGGTAGGCGATATGGCGTGTACGAGAGATCTTCCTATTCGAGTCCCGGTAAGGGGATGCCCGAAACGTGTGGAGGATGCAAATGAGGCTTTAGTAATGGTATACGAAGCTAAGACTGACTTGACTGTAGTACGGTTGGTAAACATTGACCTGGTCGATCATATAAATATCAGTTGAAAATGGATCATGACGGATTGTAAAGGGGCTTCGTAGTATGTCAAAAGTTGACGTCATGATTAAGCCCTCCGAGCCATGACACGAGTTCAACGCAAAACTGACCAACTCCAGCCAATTCTCAGCTTCGGCAGATGAGCCGAGCACCGTGCTATGCAAATAAAGATGAGACGGTCTGGGTCACATCGTCCTTGCTAAACGAGTCCAATCATCTACTTTCGAGTTAGCGAATCGAAACCTAGAATCGCGATGAGTCGTGGTCTGTTAGGTAAGTTGAGCATGGTGTTGTATCAAATGTAGATATTGACTCCATCTGTTTGGTAGATCTGATTCGTCAACCCCAGAATTGAGCGTCATGGACTGCCCAAAACTTGGCACAACTTGGCAAATGCTTGTCTAGTTGCCGAATCGGGAAATTGGCCATCTTAAGAGTAGCCTCTATGCCATCACGAGGGGAACATATTAGTCCTTGGGTCTGGTTACCATTATTCGCCGTAGTCTTGATAGACTACCATATAGTCGCATAGGTTTAGACACAATGTGGATTACAGACCAAACTCATATCACCAGGTATTCTAGAACCACAATTCTTGATATGCAGCATACCTGAACTAACTTCATAACGTTAGTTCGATCAAGAGGATCACTAGGGGCCCCTGAGCCGTAGTGACGGGCACTAAATCGAGGGCCTAGATTCTGGAAACACAGCACGAAGATCCTTCTTCTTAGCCTCTGTCCTTATTTGAGCGGAATACTATGCACATATCCTAACAACGCGGAATAGAGGGTTACGCTGCCATCGACACTAACAAGGGTCAATCTTGGTTCACACCTTAAGGGGGTAAATAGTTCGGCCACTTAGATGCTTCCCAATTCTATGAATGCATTGGTATACCAACGAGTCTATAGGATATCATTCATCCGTCATCAAGTCGTTAACACATGTAGCTAATGTACAACGAAGCCGCCGCAACGGATTCGGCCCCCTTATTCGACACTGAGCCGCTCCACACACAGCTTTCGAAAATGTTCGCTTCCTGGTATAAACCCCGGGCATTACCAGCCAAACTCCGATATGAAGACCAGACAAGAAAATAGCTTATAATTAACCAATGGGGTAGTTAGCCCTACCATGCCGTGTGGCCACCGTCGATGACAAGGTTGTTCCCAGTCATGAAACTGCTAGCATTGCTCAGCAGAAACAAGGCAGCACCTTTGAACTCGGTCGTCTCTGCTAATCGACTCACTATGAAGGTTCACGTTAAATACCACTACGCATTCTGAAGATACAGAGACCACATACTCATGTTCTCTTTCTCCCAGGTTTCGCGGAGGCCTGGGACTTCCTCGAAGTTCTTGAGAACCATCGGCGTTAAGATGTGACCAGGACTAATGCAGTTCACCCGGATACCTCCCGTGCCGTCTTTTCGAATAGGACTAAATTCCATGGCGAGATTACGTGCTAACTGAATAACTGCAGCTTTTGAAGAGTTGTATACCTGTATTTCATGTTAGTTATACGAGAAGGGGATGATATGGGTTTACTTACAGGTGATAGGAGCCCTTTATTAGCGACACTTCCGGACATGCTTGCGATGAAGCACATGCTGCCGTGGATCTTGTACTTGAACATCTGACGGGCTGCGCTCGTAGCTGTCATCATAACACCCGTGTAGTTAATATCCATCATTCAATTTACCTCGTCTCTTGTCCTAGCGATGACATTAGCATGCTTATTCTTTACTTCGTTTGGTCTCAAACACACCATTCAACAGCCGGAGACAGATGCTGAACGCCCGCAGCCGCAATGAGGCCATCTAAACGTTTATGTCTATCCGCAACGGCTGCGATAGTTCGATCAAGCCCCTCAGTATCTTGTACATCTTGCTGCTTGTAGTGAAGAGAGCCACCAAACTTATCAGCTCGCCTTGCCGCTTCGTTCCAGCCCTCATCTGCTTCTGGCTCCCGATCAAAACAGTAAACTGCAGTTTATCATATAAGCATATCAAAGTTACAGAGATATTCTAGACGAAAGCGCAGACATACCGTCCCCTCCTGTCTCAGCCAGCGCCTCTGCCAACGATAGCCCAAGCCCCCTAGCGCCTCCCGTTACGATAAACACTTTGCCGCCGAGGTCAAAATCCGCCAATCGCTTCTGGCCGATATTTTCGCTTGGACTTGGAGCATTTCCAATCGTCGGGTTTTCCCTTGAGTCTGGCGGCTTGGGGACTGTATTGGTTTTACGACTGAATCCGGCCATGATGCTTGAAGTTGGCGCGATCGAAGTTGGTCTCGATGAATGGATCAGTCTAACTTGCGTGGTAGGAACAGTGGCGAGAGTGATTTTCGCAAAGTTGGACGATACGCGGGAGCACCGCCTACTAAGAGCTCTTGCGCAGATAGACATGCTATACGTTTCCTAGGTAGTAAGCGACTTGGCCGAATGTAAATGAGAACGAAGATCAGTTTATTTCCATGAACTACGAGTGTTCGATATAAGTAGTCTTGGTCCTAAGACGTCTAGTAGCCAGATAGAACGGCCCGCATACGGAAACGTGTAGTGATCGTAGCTCTATCTAATGACAACTTTTTAATACGGATGTCATCTGCGTAATGGCGCAGACGCATTTCTCACCAGAACTTCGTCTTGCTAAAACGGACCTAAGTCCCGAGCAAACTCCAAGCGAGACTGATCAGCGGCTCCAACAGATTTCATCTCCATCCTGACTGTGTCTCGCCTAACGAGCTAACCTGTAAGCCGTGTATATCAGCCAATCATCATTCATAGAAGATACCCCCACGGGATTTGCGTCAAGACGAAGACGCAGTTCTGACGTCTGACAAGAGACGAAGCATGGAATTCTGTTCAATTCTTGAAATCCCATCTAACCGGATCCATTTTCATTTATTCCCGTCTCAGGGTCTGTCAGAACCAACGTGTCGGTGCTTAACCGATATACAAGTGCTCAGACACAAAATACTATGGAAGCGAATGTCAATGACGTTAAACTGGGAGGATACCAAATCCCATTCGAACCTTCTCCAGGTTCTATCAGATAGGATCCCTACAGCTGGTAGAGCTTCTTAGCCAATCGAAAGCCATACTGGTTGATATGTACGTAGCAGGGAGTACGCCGACTAGGAAGATCTTCACCTGATCTTAGCGATCCTAGCTGAGTGTTTCTAATGGGTCGAAAAACGTGCGGCATTTTGCCGGAATAAATGCTCCTATTAGACACCGCCAATAATACCAGTTTAGCAGTGTCAACGCAGGTCATCAGCATGGAACGAGTTGAAAGGTACGAGTTACATATAGTTGATTTTGTGGTTGGGTACTTATGATACCTAGTATGGAATTTTAAGGTGAGGATGAAGGAGGATACATAAACCTGTGACTGAGATATGGTATTCACTGCGTATGATTCTATACCTCGCAAGCTCGTAAACGATAAGGGAATTAACTATAGTGATATGTAACGTAATTAAGCCAAGGTAGGGCAACTCTGATATGGTGATCAGTTACTGAATGGTTTTTTACTGTATTATAGTAAATTGTTGTTATTCGTTTTCCTCCCAACGTTGTCACCCACGATAACTTCAAGTCTGTGCTTGGGGTTTGGATTATCACATCCCCACTATTAGGAATATCCACTGACCCGCCTATTAAGGTATCAATGTAAGTGGCTAGACCCAACAATTCTCCGAACTTACCAAAACGTTACATCGTGGGACTCTACACCACTGTTCTACCATCGCGAGTAGAGGAAGCGCACGGCAACAATTCCGGAACAAAAGCTCCGGGGCTTATCAGACTCAAGACTTCCGGGGACGATGAAGTATAGCAATGATGATACGGTCTTATATCGAGCGCACATCCGTTAGCAAGTGCGAGAAAAGGTTGGCATATTACAGGCATAGATATGATCAGAGCGCTTCACGATGATTTAACCTTGGTGTAGATACACGTACACGGTGCTAGGATATATGGGGTTCCTACGCAATCAATACACTGCGCCGGACACCAACACCATTGCCATCAATTTTGATCCATGTGAAATACAGTAATCTCTAAGAGGCGGGGGGTCGTATAGGTCAACCGACTGGCTCCAAGCGCCTAGAAGCATGTCGTCAATAAACCAATCTTCGTATTGATATCACTAGTTTTACCGCCAAACGCCATGCAATGCCCACGTTGTGAATCGACACCGTACCGATAATGCGCTGGTATTGAATTGTCCATTCCTATCCGTGTTACCGCCTGCCGCCTCGTCCGCCGCCCATCATACCACCCATTCCCATACTTTCCATCATCTTCTGCATGTCCATACCGCCGGGTAACCCGCCTCCGCCACCGCCGCCGCCAAACATCTTCGCAAGGCTTGCCATGTCCGGCATGCCACCAGCACCGCCCATACTCTGCAGTCGCTTCTGCATGGCGGCCATCTGCTGTGCCTTGTTTCCTCCTCCCATTGCCTGCTGTGCTCTCTGCATATTTTTCATGCTTCCACCCATCTTCTTAGCCATGCCTGCCATCATCCGCTGCTGGGTGAGCAGGTCCTCGACTTCTCTGACGCTGACGCCGCTACCGCGAGCCACCCTTGTCATACGAGTTGGCTGCTCGATGAACATCTTGCCGTCACAGTCGAGCTCTTTCTCGGTCATACTATCGCATATGTAGATCATGCGTTTTAGCCGAGAGCTAGACTCCTCGTCATCCATACCTGCCATTCCCGGGAGATTAGACATGCCGGGAATCATACCGGCCATCTTGGATAGGGGTCCCATTTTCATGATGTTGCTGAGCTGGTCTCGGAGATCTCTTATCGTGAATATGCCTTCCGTTATGTGCTTGATCGTCTCTTTTTGGTCGAGCTTCAAAGATTGCACGTGCTCCACTAAACCTGCCATGTCTCCCATTCCTAGTAGCTTATTCACAAACTGTTGCGGGGCAAACTTTTCCAAATCTAACATGTGCTCGCCCGTGCCGATGAAGACGATGGGCGTATGCGTTGCCGCAACAGCGGAGATAGCACCACCTCCACTCGCGTGGCCGTCCGTCTTGGTGATTATGATGGCTCCGAAATCTGCTGCGTCCTTGAAAGCCTTTGCCTGCGCTTCGGCTTGCTGACCGATAGAGGCGTCAAGAACCATGATCGTCTCGTCTGGTTTTACAGCTTCTTGAATGTCCACCATCTCCTGAAACAGTGCCGATTCCTGTCGGTGACGTCCGGAAGTATCCACGATGATAACCTCGAATCGTTCTTTCTTGAACTTCTCCACTCCCTCCCTAGCGACCTTTGCCGGGTCCGTCTCGGTTAAGGAACCGTAGTATGGGATCTTCGCCTTGGTCGCGTTCTGCTTCAGCTGGTCGAAAGCACCGGCTCGGAAGGTATCGGCACAGACCAAGCATGCGCGGAAGCCTCTTGCTTGGTAATGTCGCGCGAGTTTCGTACATGTGGTCGTCTTTCCGGCACCCTGTAGACCAACGAACATGATGACATTTGACTTGCCTTTTTTAGGCTTGAAGGGTTCGGCATGAGGATCGACGAGCTTGACCAACTCGTCGAAGACGGCTTTTTGGATTAATCGTTTCTTATTAACGCCGGGCGGGAGGTCCTTGAAATTGACTGTAGTGCTAATCGAGTTTTTTAGCTTGCTAACCAGTCGCACGTTAACGTCGGCTTCGAGTAGGGCGCCAGAGATCTCGTTAAGCATGGCTTTGAAGGCCTGAGATGCATATTAGCGAATTCGCACCATCACATCGCATTGCGGGGTGCGACGCCGCAGTAGAATGGGCAAACCTTTTCGTCGAGGTTAGGTGCGCGGGTAACATCGTGTAGGGCACCGCTAATGCGGCGGCCAAGATCTTGAAGAACCATGATAGGTGTTGGCTATCAAGCCGTGGCGGATGTTGAGGGCTCTTGAGGGCTGTTGAGGGCTCTTGAGGTAGCGAAAGATGAGAATGTCCAAGGGAATGAATGTATGAAATGTACGAAGTATAATGTAGGTACCTATGTATGACTGATTGCACTAAACTCTATTGACCAACTGCACAAGTGGCAGAGTGGCTAACACCGACTGCGGACCCACAGGGCATGATTCTCGGAAAATCGAGATCCTCCGCCCCGCGTTGTGTCCAGGTTAAGGTTATCTTAGTAGAAACTCAAACTATGCTTAGGTACGGCTTAGTGTGGGAGAGATTACGTAATTACTGGCTATACTGAAAATTAGTGGGCCTCGCCCACTAATTATAAACCTTTCCTAATATAACATCTATTCCAACCCTTATATCAGTAGTTATCACGAATCAAACAGATGACAAATATTATAAGGGGTCAAGAACGAGATGATTCACTTAATACCTACACCAACAGCCAACGTGTGCCATAAAAGGTATTGAAGGATTCTAGAATTGTGACTAAACTACAAGCCTCGATACGCAATCGCTACCGGCTTTAAGTCGCTACGTCCGGTAAATCCAACAAGGCCATTTTTAGGCACCTCGAAATACTCCATAGACCCCTTTCTTGTAGAATCTTTGAATCCTCCTCTTTCACTCCAACTCCGTACGTAAGTTAGAAACACCTAAATATGTCTACGAGTGACATATTACATATAAAGGGCCTCTTTCCCCATCGGCAAGTAAGCCTTAACATGGTAGTTTCACTAAACACATTCGACCCCTGAGACCACCTTACAACAAACAGGCAACAATCAAATCATAATATGCCAGTATTCGACGAGACAGCGACCAGCGAACAGGTCGTCGAGGCCTTTGCCTCGCAGATCAAAGGTCGCACGTTCGTTATTACGGGCGCCGGCCATCCTAGTATTGGAAGTCAGATAGCCGTCTCACTTGCGAGAGGTGCCCCCGCGCACATTCTAATCGCCTCGCGCACAGGCAAGAAGGTCGAACCAGTACTGGAGAAGATCGCCGAGATCGATAGTTCTATCAGGACTACCTTTGTTCAAGTTGACTTGACGGATCATGAGTCGGTAAGACGAGCAGCCAAAGAGATACTGGCAGCAACACCCAAGATCAACGCCCTTATCAACAGTGCCGGTGTAATGGCTATCAAAAATTACACCCTAGATAAACAGGGCATCGAATTGCAGCTATCAGCCAACCATGTCGGTCACTTCTTACTAACGAACTTGCTCGCACCCGCACTGATCGCTGCCGGTTCCGAGCCGGATGGAGCACGAGTCGTTAATCTCACTAGCTCCGGCTTTTTTCTTAGCCCCTTCCGCTTCGGCGACTGGAACTACTCGGGTGGTAAAACCTACGATCATTGGACCGGGTACGGCCAAGCGAAGACCGCAAACGTTCTATTTAGCTATGGCCTAAATAAACGACTCGGTAGCCGCGGCGTGACCTCTACGGCTACTCATCCGGGCTACAACCACGACACCGAGTTAGGAAACCACCTTACTCAAGAAGACTACGCGGAGATACCTGGGGTCGTAAGGCGCAATACGGGTAAAGATTGGGAGTGGGAGTCTCCCCGATCAAAGACATATACGCAAATTGCTGCTACATCACTCATCGCAGCTCTAGATCCTGACATTCCCGCCAAGTCGCCGGCTTACTTGATGAATAGCCAGATTCACGAAGCCGCTCCATATGCGACGGACCCCGAGAACGTTGAGAAGCTGTGGAAGCTGAGCGAGGAACTTGTCAAGCAGAAGTTCGAGTATTAATTGCGTAAGGGATGATTTGCTCATAGCACCGCTGAGCGCACGAATAAAAATATCAACTCGATTGAAAAATCTTTAGTTCCTTGTAAAACTTCCCCAGAAATTCCCTTCTGACATCTGGGGTATCCGGGATTCTAGTTTCCGGTTAATTAAATTCCGTGACACTGCATTTAGAGGCTACATATATTATACACCCCTGCCTGGTAAATCTACCATTTACCACGCACGTTTCTCCCAAGGGCCACCGGCTAATTAGGGGCTAGAGTAAGGATTAGATGCTAAAACTTATTATTATGCCCATCGGCTATATTTGTTTAAATTTCGCTATTTAACAGGTTTGCATTGAGTCGAGATCGTGTGACTTGACGACAATGGTAGCCTATGTTGAAGTCTTTTTATAATGAACAAGGGATCTATGCGCAGTATATAGCAAATCAATAACTCCAAAGGCGAATATTCCATGGGTAAATCAGAACCAGAATGTAGCAATTAATTCGCCTCATAATGCCGCATCCTTACACCGAGGACCCTCTTTACCATCCTCACTTCGCTATCTTCTTTGTTTCACCTTTTCCTCGGAGTTACAATAAAGATTGGGCTTAAAAATAAGAATACGACATACATGGAATCATAACTGCTCAACATGTGAAAGTGTTGGCAATACGACCTGCAATGCAGAGAGACAGGAAGCTAAATTATAGCGTACCTATTTTCAAATTCAACGTAGTATATTACTCGGCCATCGAGGAACCCCAAATGCCTACTTGGACTTAGCTCGGCTTGGCTGACTTAGGGGTTAGTCAGTCCTCTGCATCCTAAGCTGTAACTACGAATACTCTAAAAAAACAAGGCCATAGCTGAGAGCTTTTCTTATTATAACTGACCATGTTATCAATGCATGCAACTTCTCGGAACGCAACTTCTCGGAATACTACCTAGCGAGATTCCTTCATACGGACACCGATTTTAATAGAGCATCGAACCACCCCGTAGCTATCGGTCGACTCTCTGCTTGTGATGGATTGGATAGAGGTATTTAGGTAATCAATTCATGCTCTCGGTCATGATCCTAGCTAACATCTAGACAAGTCTTAGCTATAAGCAATCGCCGAGGCAATTGTATTTGAACTGCCCCTCGTTCATAGTAACAGCCAGCATGTTGCTTTATCGGCCAGTTTGATCTCCTTCCGCGTTTAGAGATAGATACGAGAACCAATTGGCTAATAATTGGATTATATTCGATTAAATGAGCTGGGAGCAAATGGTAGCTCTTCCATACATCAGAAAGCTTGACAGCTGCTTTTTACAGCCAAGCCCCGCACCGGAGTTGTATCCATGGCTCGCATATTCGAAGGCAGCCATGTCTTGGCTTCGGCAGACACTGACATGGTTACATGCGATATGAATACGCGCCGCGGAACGAATACTGTGGTTAAGCGCTTCTCGATGTCTAATTGGATAGATGCGAGACGTCCGGCAGTTATGGTCGTTCAGAAGTGCTGCATCCAGCAAGGCGATGTAGCTTTGATGCGTTCTAGGCTAATCGAATCTGGGGTAAATAAAATGTCCAAGAAACTATTAAAGGACAAGATACCATCTACGCTAAAGGTTGTGTGAGTTCGGAGTAGATAAAATCCAAACCGAAGCCCGGATACATCGTTCAACCTCTCTCTTCTATCCAACTCAGCTACGACTGAACCAAAATCGAGTCAAGATGACGACCAGAGTAGGCATACTAACCCATTCCGATGAAGAGAAGGGGCTGAACCGGTCGGATACGACCGTGACGATGCCGCCGGAGCTCTTCGAGAAGGTAAGCTACCTCCTAATACTAAAGTCATCACTTCAACATGCTCATAATTATAGCTTTACCTTACTCCCAAAGTTCCTCAGGTGGGCGACTACAACAAGCGATTCGCCAATCCGACGCCTCTTGGCATTGTCGGGTAAGTCCCACATAGTCCTAGAAATACACACGTCAGAAGATACACTTTGGTAACTAAACAGTTAGATTCGTGATCTCGACCTTTACCTTCTCCATGACGTTGATGGGCTGGGGAGGAGCTCAGGGAACAACGCCTGTGGTGTAAGTGTTTTCTCCCCCTTCCTCCATATTTTACCGGCCCCACAACGCATGCCATCTGTTCAGCGCGGCTAAATCGTTCCACCAATCACCAGGGGAATATTCTTTTTCGTCGGTCCCGTCCTGCTGCTAGTCTCCATGGTCTTCGAATGGATCATGGGGAACTTCTTCCCTATGATGGCCATGGGTCTCTACGCCGTCTTCTGGCTATCGTTCGGTATGCTACAGCTACCCACGTTACAACTGGGACAGCCCTACGCGACAGCTGGTGACCCTAGCGGTCAAATGTCACCAGAGTACAACGCTGTGCTTGGGATATATCTAGTCGTGTGGGGCTTTGCTCTGTTTACTTTCTTCCTTTTCACGCTCAAGGTCAACCTGGTATTTGCCGTCATCTTTGCCTGTGCCACTTCGGCAGTTTGGATCCTGTCTAGCTCGTATTTCAAGCTTGCGGCAGGTAACTACGAGGCAGCAGCAACGTTGCAAAAGGTTCGTTCTTTTTGTGTTCGTAGGACATAGAGATCTCAGCTAATTAACCGCATAGGCTGGTGGAGCGTTACTGTTCGTCGTGGCAACATTAGGTTGGTATATGTGCGTCGTGATCATGGCTGGAGAGATGCGCATCACTTTGAATCTCCCTCTTGGCGATCTTACGCGGTTTTGGCCGCGCACGGATATAGACCTGGCAGAGGCAGCTGCGCATCGCGATTAATGGATACGACGATCGAAAACGGGAATATAGAAGTGCCATATGGCGATTGTTATGCTTAAGTATCGATTATCAGATTCCCTAGGTACCGCATATACATTGAGCTCTCTGAAAGAACTCGGCTTGTTTCGTTACTGTATGAATGACGTTTCCTTGGATAGCTGATCGAGGTGAATAAATGCGAGATGAAGTGTGAAGAACGGTTTAGATATAATGCCGAAAGCAATATTTCTCGCGTTTACTTACCCCTTAGTATGTAGGTTAGTTTCATTTCAAATGAATTCTATAACCCGGCAGAGGAGCTACAATCCTAAATTTTTAGCTCACCTAGTGCTGGAAATACTCTCTGTAGACAGTATCTATATACTCAGCGCGTCCGTATGTTGATCTACTGTTACAGCTCGAGTATTTATCCTTATAGGCAGAGCGCTAACATATCGTCCAGGCCGTTCTCACTCTACTTCCTCGCACCTTCGATATTAGTGTGCTCGCCTTTTTAGTGTTGGAAGAACTATATTATAAATAATTGATTGTTCACGCCTAGACTCATTCGCTTCATGTTAGATACGGAAGCTTGCTCTGTCTCTGTTTCGTTTAATCGAGAGTGTCTCCCAAGATGGTAATATTTTACACAGGGAGGTCAATGTATGCGCATAGTACAATTCTTTCCATATCCAGCCGCTGCCTCTGAAAGTCAAGCGAGAATTTCAAATTGCACGCTTCACAATTTCGGTACCTAAGCCTTCTCAGCCGTACATCCGTTCTAAACACCTTTTCTAACTCGACAGTGACGAACAAGATTCCTGTATACGCTGATAACATACCCTTTTGAAGTTGAAGCCAGACAGAATAGACATATTTTGGTAGCTTCTGAGGAACCGAAAAGCGGGTTGGCATGGATGCTCTGTTTATGACAATCCGCGTAGGATGCCATAACAGTGCCTCTCATTCGAGTGGGATTGATGCCTAGCTAAATCTCGGGGGTTTCGAGCGTGAATTCGCCGTCAGCGAGCATAACGACCCACTCCCCATTCCAATATCGGGAAGTGGTGTTCCGCCTTACAATACCCATAAGAGCAATTAGCGGCACAGGAATCATAACTGTTTCGAAAACACTCTCCACACGCTTTTCAGGCGATCACTTAATGGGGAAAATAACAGTCTTCTTGATGAGGTGGAGGAGTGGTTTGAAGTTTCGTTAGAGGACTAATTTTAAACCTGACAATTTCCACACTAGTTATAGCTATTCTCAAAGTATTGTGCGGAGCTGCTCGGTGATTGGGTTGGAAGGGTAGCCTGAACTGCCGGTCAAGTCATAAGAACTACGATAAAGAGCTGTCTAAGATCTGCTGGGATGCTAATGCAAAGTCTTTAGATGTACGTAGAAATGTAATCCAGGTTCTCAGCTTAACTGTAGGTCCTCAAATGCGGACGGTCTGACGAAGGCGGGCATGCTCGCGGGCAAATACCAGGTAAGCAAGTATGTTTCGTATACAAGCACCACTCGTTCGAACACTGACAAGTGAATGAACTTGGAATCTCTCTAATAGCTCGCAGATACAAATAATCTATAGTGTAGATCTTTTTCAAGTCCAATCATCAAATCCGAGTTTTGCGTATCGATGCATTAGTTCCGTCTCACGTAATTTATAGCGAACTAGTGAACAAGAAGGGTATAGAACATTACATTGCAGAACTATAAGATGACGACAAAGAGGAGCCCATCAGGGGTATAAACGAAATGTGCAGCACCTAGCTGGCCGACGATAGTCACGGCTTCGATCTATTTACTTAAATAACGGTATACAATTCCTGGTGGAAAATCTATTGCACTGCAACAATATCTTCTCTACTTACATATAGAATATTCTACATTTAGCGACGGGCCGTCCTAACGCACAAGAAGATGCGAAACGCGTCTGTGAGATCCTAAAAGGAGGTGGTATAGCAATCTGCCCAGCGGATGTCGGATATGCCGTTATGGCAACCAATGCCAAGTCTCTTGAGAAAGTCTTCTTGACGAAGCAGCGAGGAGCTCACAAGCGGCATGCTGGAACCAGGTCGTACGCTATTCATAAGGAGATACACATCATGGAACCTCTACAGCACGAAATAACCGACCATCTGATACAGGACCTCGATATTTCGGTTGGTGTCATCGCGCGGTACAAGCGCTATCATCCAATGGTCAAGAATATCGATCCTGTCACTATGGAGGCATGTGATGTGAACGTGAGTCTTTCGGTCCTAGTTAACGCCGGTGCATTCCGGGATGCGCTGACAAGTTTGACCTTTGCCGAAAACATCCCACTCTTGGGTAATTCGGCAAATTCGTCGGGCACAGGTATGTTCTTCGATTAAATTTTGATCTGATGATATTAATGGATGATATATAGGGACTAAATACCGTGTGGATGATATTAATAAGGAGCTCATTGAAATCGCGGATATCGTAATCGACTACGGGCTGCTGAAGTGGTGGGTTCATGGTCGAAGTTCTACGCTGCTAGATTTCAGCGGCCCTTCCGTAGAGGTAATCCGGATTGGTGCTTGCTACAACGTAATCAGGGACGTACTTAAGCGTCAATGGAACATTGAGCTTCCAGCAGACCCGGGAATGGAGTCACTGAGGTTTAGACACTTGACGAATCTGGATCCGGTCAAGTCGTTGCAGGACTTAATTACCCCTATTCAAAACCAGTAAATTGACTACAGGCTGAAAGCAGTAGTACTATCGAGCATAGCATAACCTCGTTGCTTTTAATTTTTACTCGTTGCCTTGAGTAGATTTATTTATGACCTCTACTCGAAACGAATATGGTGATAATAAAGGATTGAGAAGAGAAAGAATCCAGTCTCGGCCCGGGGCCTATGGTTAGGTTTGTGGCTAAGTCTATGGCTAAGTGCGGCTTCATAAGGGTTCCGGTGAGTGGGTCCTTGTCCCCGGACCGCATCTCGGTCAATATTAGCATTTGCCGAAACTTAAAATTCGATACTGGCAGACCCATAATTTAGGAGCAACCGGAGATGTGGATCTCACTGCGAGCGGGACGAAGTTGAGTCAAAACGAAGTTGAGTCAAAACGAAGTTGAGTCAAAACGAAGTTGAATCAAATAACTATATCATGAATGAACAGCTTCTACGTGGATTAGAGGTGGCTACCTATATAGCATTTCTAAAAATCATAACGAATGAGAAATCTAATAAATTCGGAGGGGTGCAGGTGAGTTAGCTGTTGAATATCTGAGTTTTGATGTGGGTAAGAATAAGCGAAAGCATGTGAAGGGGTTTACCTATGTAGAAACTTAAGAGGGCTATTCCGCTTAGAGTTCCACTCTACGGCTTCATAGCTACATGGGTGTGAACCGTGGTATGATATTGAGTAATATTTTTACTTGTACCATAATACGTTAAGCTCAACAACCGGCCATGGGGCCCCTAATACCCCACAAGACTATCTCCGGTTTACGTCGAAGTATTTGGATGCGGTGAACGAGAAATACCCACTCGTGTTGATAAGCCTTCCATACTCGATAATCTATTTGACAGCTGCGCTAACTCCACATCGTCTAGACCGCGACCTGAAGCCGATGCATTCCAAAAAAGACATCCGGACGCATGCCAAGGCCGGACTCGCGTTAGGTGTAGCCGGCGTCGGCGCGTAAACCTAATGGTTGCTTTCGGGGTTTCCTAATTTAGCAAACTCGTCCCAACACTATCATGCTGGAGAGCGTAATAAAATATGACGGGTTATAGCTAACACTGGTGTTTGTTCTTTTGTCCTGTGAAATTATCGTTAGACGTCTTCATCATCGACCAAGATGATACGCCAAAAGAGCCAGATTAACGGCAATAAGCTGATCGCTATGATCACGCTCGTCGATGCGCGTAAGGAATTTGCATGTCTAAAATTTGCAGAGCCCGGCTGATATTCGTGACTCCAAAGTCTCAAGCTGTTGGTTCGGCTATGATCAGGTACCTACTAAATGCCAAGGACTTGGTTAAGCAGGGTAGTCCGTTCTGACTTGCTACAGGGCGTTTTTGCTGGTGTTATCGTATCCGATAATTTCAAGGAACAGTTTCCTCAGGTCCTCGACGCCAACATATCAGGCATCACGTCAAGTTGCTTCTTCGTAAGAACTGCCCTGATATTTTCTTGCTTTTGATTCCAGAGCGATTTTTCGTCGCGCGAACAAGACTGAACTCGTACAGATTGGAGCCTTCCTAGGATCGATGGCGGCTTTTATGCTAGGTGATAGACTCGGACGAAGAAGAACCATCGCCTGGGGTTTATTGTGCAACTTCCTGGGAGCGATTCTCCAGTTCACCGCGTGGCATCTACCCCAGATGATAATCGGACGCTTGATAAATGGGTTCGGCATAGGATTAACATCAACTACCACTCCCGTCTACCTATCCGAATGTGCGAAATCACACCAGCGAGGTAAACTAGTCGTCATCGGTACCGCTTCTAATGTAACATCGTTCGCGTTGGCGAACTGGATAGCCTATGCCTTATACTCTCAAAATGGACCATTTCAATGGCGATTTCCTCTCGCTTTTCAAGTCGTTTACTTCTTCATGATAGCACCACTTCTCCTTCTGGTTCCCGAGTCGCCTAGATGGTTGTTACTAGCTGGCAAGGAGGAGAGTGCTCTCAGTGTTCTTAGCCAACTCGCCGGGAAGGATATTCCGACGAACGACGATACCGTCACGGGAGAGTTTCGCTCTATTAAAGTCGCCATAGAGCTTGAGAGAGAAGACCGCGCACCGATCATGGATGTCCTCTGCTTCCGCGACAAGGCACATAACTTCCGTCGCTTGATACTGTCTTGCGGAACCCAGTTTATGCAGCAGTTCAGTGGCATAAACGCGTTAGGTACGGCTCTCCCCGTGCCTAGTTCTTGGATGGCTCTAATATCCCGACAGGATTTTATCTTCCTACGCTGTTGGCGCAGGATGTCGGTTTTAGCCAAGAAATGAGCCGATTGATTGCTGCCGTCAGCGGTACTGTTTACCTGGTTTCGGCATTCGGAAGCGTGATTATCATTGATACTCTTGGTCGACGAAAGTATGCATTTACGCTTAGGTACCTATCCAAGAGTTCGAACCGGACTGTTAACATAAGCTTAGGATGCTACTATGCGGCTCTATCGCTATGGGAATATGCCACCTGATCGCCTCCCTGTGTCTCAGATCGAGCGAGCTCGATATTTCCGGGAAGAAGCTGGTTAGACTATTCCACCCTGGAGTTTGGAGCCGCGCTTACCATAGCTATAGATGGGAAACGTAACCACTGCGATGTTCATTGTTTTTCACGTATTTTTTGGTTTGACATGGGCTTGGTACGTATGAAAACATCTCGCATTATTAATTTCGAACCCCTTTCCAGAATTATCTCGAAACATAGTAGCTAATGTTCAGTAGTAAGTGTGATGGCTCCATCACTTTGACTGGCTCGAACGTGATAACGCTCCTAAAATTGTAGGGTTACAAGCTGACAGGATGCCTGCATAAATTAGGCGTACCGTGGGTATACAGCGCCGAGGTAAATTCACTAGGTTGGCGATCTCGAGGAGCGGGAGCTGCCACAGCCACAAATTGGCTCGGCGGATTCGTGGTGACTCAATTTACCAAAGTAGGCATTGATAACCTAAATTGGGCCTTTTACCTAAGTAAGTACTTCGTTTGTCGGGCCTTGATGTGGTAACCTGAGGGTTATGCTGACTACCTAAAGTTTTTGCCGTGTTCTGCTTTTCGTATTTCCCAATAGTGCTCTTGTTTTATCCCGAAACCTCAAATCGGACGCTTGAAGATATGGACTATATGTTTATACAGAATCCATCTATATTCGTATTGGGGAGACAGGAAATGACCCAGCGGAGACGGCCGGCAAGCTTCGCGACGGCAGAGGCCGACCGCATTTCAAGGGGATGAAGCAGAAAATTATGGAATGTTCTTAGAACTGGCAGATGGTGATACCCAATAATTCAAAGGTTAGACCGGATAGAATCAAATCGAAATATGAACGGTAACCTGAAAGTTGAGACTTATTTTTGCTCCCAGTATGTGCCGAAACCTCATACTCCTAGTATAGTTCATCCCCTAGTTATGAGAAGTTTCTAGAATAATGTAGGCATCGGGTATAGGTGAATTGTTCCTAAAGAACAGTGTTGGGTGTTATATTACCCTCCGCTCAATCTCTTCCGAAAAAGAGCCGACTTGAAGTTCGGCTATGGCTAGGAACCAATCGCAATCATTCTGTATGAGTCGTTGTCTCCTAAGATGCATGTGCGTCTATCATCCCGGTAACCTCGTGGCATTTAGCCGAAATGTAAAGGAGGGATCACGATGTCAGTGATACTGGTTACTGAAATCTCGACTGCAATATATAAACCCGGCGACGACATTGACAACTGTCATGAAGTCTAATGGCGTTTATCACCGTGTTGAAGTCGAATTTGCAGTTATAAACTACGAGAGTTATCCAACTATCCCAATTTCTCTTACAACATCACCTTAGATACCAACAGAAGCCCTAGACATGCAAGCTGCGGCCTACTTGCGATTATTGGCTATTTTAGCCATCTCTGGGTTTGCCGATGCGCGACCTATGAAACACTACGAAGGGTTAGCAGAGACATACATACAAGCTTTCGGGTCGAATATGATAGCCAATGAAACTGATTCGGCGGCTACATCTTCGTCCGTGACGTCTACCTTGAACGCGAGTCAGACCAAATCGGCATGTAAGCCGTTCAAGACGCCAGCAGTGCCTCCTCACTGCCTCATGATGGCTGGCGAGCTCGTATGTCACGGCCAGTCGCTGTACTGCAGATACCCTACGGATTGGGGTGTTGGTTACGATTCAGTTGGCGAGTGCTGGACTTGTTAAATCGCTAGTTTAGGAGGACTGAAGGAACATGGATCTATGGAGTTATATGGAGTTATATGGAGTTGTATTGAGGTTGGATCTGCTAAGGATCTCGTTTCGGCCGATGGCGTCAAATAGGAATACCCAAACCCGAGTGCGATAGGAGATCGAGCAATCGGTAAATACGGCGAATTGGAGTTGGCGGAAATTGTTGATATTAGAAAATTGTTAATCAATACATACACTTGTTCAATTGAAAGGGTAAAGTAAAATTGCATAGGTAGTGTAATCAGGGGATAAATTTACCTTCAACGTCCTTTGTTCTAATCCCGATGTTTCATAGTTCCCTTTAAATGTGGGATTAGCTCCAGCATCATTGCTAATCCAGATGAATGAAGTCAATCACCTTCTAAATCCTGGTCCCCGGCTGTTCCCAAACTCGAAGCGCTCGGAAGAGGCACAGTGGGGTGGATCGTGTACCTTGATGGCCCTTGCAAACACAACTAAGTGCGGTAACACCACCCTTCATCCACCCGGATCGTTGGTATAAGATCTGTAGAGTACCAAGGATTAGAACGTGGGGAAGCTAAAACCAACATAATAGGTGAGCCGCTTATAGCTTACCTTGACGTCCAGAAAGACCGTTGGACTCGGGGTCTAACATACTTCTGTGTGGTAGGTACCTAGTTATGGGATAGTATCTATAGGATAGTATCTATGAGATATCCTGGGTAAATTAATTCCCTAGCCGGTACAAGTTAAGGATGCGATATCTAGAGCCGAATAGAAAATGATATCTGGCTCTATTAACACTAACCGGTGTCTAAGGTGACATATGCACATGTAGTAGGTATTTTGAGGGAAGATCTTAGGTGCGGGATTGAATAGGTACCTAGCTAGGTATATGTGGGAAAGGTTATGTGATAACCTCCGCTACGACCAATATTGGCACATGTCCCACACATCCAGATATTCCACAGCCACCGCCACCAAGACTACATATCCTTTAAGAGCGGTAAGTATACTATGCGCGGTCTTTAAATACACATCCTTTAAGAACGATAAGTAGACCATGCGCTGTACATGCGATCTTCCTGCCCTGGGGTGAACTCCTCGTAGCAAATACTGTATTCAAAAGTCAGCAGATATAACTCAAAGATGGCAGGTAGACTGAACTCGTCACTGTAATCAAGGTAGTTGTGTATAGGGTCAACACCGCCGCCAGGGCAGCTGTCGCGCCCTATTGGACACCCGCTCGAACCAGAAGCTTGGGCAGGAGTATCTGCGATCGAGTCACCTGGATCCGTACACGCCCCTTGAAACGTATGATAGAGATTCATCCAGTGCCCGACCTCATGTATAGCGGTGCCTCCGAGATCATACGGAGCTGCGTTACCCCCAGGAACGGAATGCGCTAGGATGGTGCAGCCATCTTGATAGAACCCAGTCGATCCATCAGCAACGTTGTCTGGGAAGTAGCAGTACCTAGCAAGAATATCAATGGCTTCTCTCATATAAAATTATAAGGAATAACTAGGGGCTTACCCAAGCAATCCACCGCCGAGATCGCCGAGGAAATAAAGATTAAGGTCCGAGTAGGTGCCTTTGCGAAGCGCCCTCTTCATTGCAAGTTCGTTGCCGTCCGCGGCCCAGCTGCGGTTGATCGTCCAGTCCGTGCTAACCAGGTTGAAAGTAATGCCATGTACACCGTAGGCCGCGTTCATAACATCGAGCTGATCGTCAATCATTTTTTGCTATATACGACTTAGTACGTGAAGCGTCTGGGACGATGCTCTACTACTCACGGTAAGGTAACCGTCATCGAGCGATGTTGATGCCGCTACAACGTGGAAGTAGGTGTTCACGCTGAATGATCTAAGGGCCCGGAATTCGCCCTTGGCGCGCATTTCCCGCTCTTTTGCGAGCATAACTTGCGAGGCAGCTATTTGGGCTTCGGTAGGCTCAGGGGTACCGCAAAGCCTCGTAGAGTTTCCATCTGCTCGCGGGACCACATAATGGGCAGCAGCTGTGTAAGCCAGCAGGGCTGCGGCAGTGACGGACTTAAACAGCATTATACCGAGGAATAGAGACTAGGGTTGTTACGAATGAATGAAAGATATCTGGTTGGTATAGGACTATCGAGAAAGCTCCCAGAGACATCTTATACTAAGTCAGACATATACACCCCCAAACTCTTCATATCCACCTCGGTCTCGCGCGAAGCCGCTGAGAACTCTGTTACCTGCCTATTTTGCTCCATCACGTATCTACTGCGTTTTTTCTTGCGCAGAGATTTCTGCAGTACGAAATCGTTGGTTCGTTACGTGACTCCTAGTTAACCAATCAACCACCACCCTTTAGCATCTGAAAGCAGAATTAGTCGAAGTCTACTTTGCGGTGTAGGTCACCACTAGTAGCTTTCAGCGTGATACTGGACCATCTATAAGGAGAAGCTGGATGAATCCTTGTCTTATCAAAATTCCTGCCCTATCAGCTCAAGTACCGAAAGTAGTACGTATGGGGTTGGGTGTGGCAAGCTCGTAGCTATAAAAGAAAATCGGCCAGGACAGACCACGGCCTCTTGGCGGAGGCGACTCTGATCAGAAGCGAGCGCAGTAAGCTACCAAAGGTCAATTCGCGATAGGCAGTATTCGTAACCCACTCACGCCGCCCAGCAAGCGGAAAAGCTATAGCTTCCCTTCCTGTCACTTACCGGCTTGCGGCCGTCCAATCGGCGTCGGGATCTATATTGATGCACGTCACGCATCTCGCCGTAGAAGATAAGATCAATAGCCCAGCTAACGCAAATCTGACCGCTTGCCTGTTACGGTTGTTACGTAGAACCATCACCCTGGTTGCAGGACCATGTGATTTATTATTAATATAAATACCAAGAATATGTAAATTAATTGTCAGATGCGTCTTGGCTATCCTGCCAAAGATAAGGTATTAGGACCAGCTTTGTGAAATGACCATAGACCAAAGCTGCTGTGGTATTCTTCAGGATACCTTACATGCCAAGCTGCCAAGCTGCCAAGATTTGCAACGTTGAAGCTTGTCAGGCGCATTATCATGAATGGCTCCAAGTACTGTTACATATCATATCAGATTCCATTTTATATGGGCAGGACTTTATTAATACTCACTACTCAGCTCACTGCCCCTGAAATTGGCTGACTAGAGTTCAACGATAAAAGCTGCGGATAAGCAAGATGCTATGTATACACTTATGATAGTCTCCGCGTTTGAATACTTCTTGATCAAGTTTACTTCTTTTCTGCTTTCATAAGTAGCTAAAGCAAGAGGTCTTAATATCTCTACGAGTAAAGTCAGCGAGTTCCACAAGTCAGGTCAGGTCAGATAATCGTATATACTTGGCTCGATACAAGTCAGGTCAGATATATTAAGACTTGAGATTTACCTAGCCGTCCATATCGTTGACTTGACTTATATGCCCTTATAAAGCCACACATAGCCACACATCAGCCACACTATATATTCCCCCTAAACCCTGGTACCAACAACCAATAACATTGCCTCAAACGGATGCTAATAAAATACCAAATAAAAAGATTTGACGCTTAATTCGAATAGAGAATCATTCCAGCCAATGGTTGGACGTAGCCGGGCTCGGGAAGTAAAATATGTTCCGACAAGCTCCACTCGCCCCGGAGTACGGCAATCCAGGCCGTTTGTATTCTAGTAGTACTCCGTGACTTGAGGGCCTCCGCATAGAAGAAATCTCGACCTGGCCTGAGTAGATCGTATTTCGTATTTTGTGTGATAATAAAAATTGAATATATGATTAGTGCATCTTTTGTGGCTAGAGCTGACATCTCTGAGCTATGGCTTTATAAAGGCTCCCAGGCCAGGTCGTGAATATGGCCAAGGTAGGCATCAAAAGTCAACATACCTGACCTGACCTCCAGGCGGTCAAATCTGTATGGTCATTTGGCCTGACTTGACTTATCGAACTCGCTAACATTGGCTAACATCAACTCTGATATTAACAGCCTAACATTCACCAAGGAGCATTGTGAACGATTTCTGAAATCACAAATTAAGATTCCTCCTATGTTAAATGCCAATTAGCAACTAATCCTCATTTAACAAACATGAATTAAAAGATACGGTTTAATTTGATCTTTGAAATAGAGGTACTAGATGACTAATTCATATTATTGCAATAGTTTTCTAGAATAATTAGGCGTACCGACGATTTATTGACCGAAGTTGATGTCAAGGAACAAGTGAAGCTAGTACGACTTAGGTATAGATCTACGTAAAATAGAATGTATATAAGGGGCGCTGCGTACCCTCGAAAGAGGATAGATTCATACTACTATACGGCTAGTTTACTGCTGCTTCGCTGCTGCTTCTAACATTCACACCGCGTATAACGTCCATTAATGGGTATTTCTGACTGTCAACCAGTAGAAAATATAAGAATTAGCTACCTAATTGATTACGGAAACAGCCACTTACTGGTCATCCGTGAAGCTCAGACGATACCATCGTTAGTTGGATACATTAGATACAAATTGTCAGGGGACAAGTGAGACTAGTATGAATTAGGCATAGATCTACACAGAGCACATATATAAAGGGGCGCGAAGCGCCCTCGAAAGAGGATAGAAGGTCAAGCGTTAATAGATTTATACTACTATACGGCTACTATACAGCAGCTTCGCTGCTGCTTTTAACATTCACTCTACGTATAACATCTATTAAGGGGTATCTCTGACATAAATAGTCATTTCCTGACTAGACCCTCGTGTTCTTCACTTGTAGTTATAACTATCTGCTACCCTTTTCCACCTTACATTAACCACCTACTTTTACCAGAATTAACGACAAGGCATAACCGCCAAAAGCCTTGATTTACACCGAAAACCACTAACTAGTTCATTCGCAGTGAGTTCCTTCTCTTCCGTAGGAGCGATTATACTTAGCTGGATAGTATTGGCCGTAATGTCAGCCTTGTTATATCGTGTGATCCCACCAAGTCAATTCTTCAGCCTTGATTTGTAATGCATGGTATGATAATGGTAATGTATAATCCTCAACCAAAAACAGAATAGAAAGACGAGGCTTTAATTCGTCCAGACCTGTCAGGCTGTCGCATCCGATATATGTTGATTGGACATCTCAACACCCAGTTTATAAAGCAGTCTATAACGGTCAACACATGCTTCAAGATATCCAGGCAGTAGCTCATTGCGCAACGGTGTAGGAACCTAGTCTATGAAGTTCTTGGTCACACTGCGATCCTGATACATAGCCCTTCAAATCGTTAGGAGAACCATAAGTGTGCCAGATATTATTAGAATTCGGCCCACCCCAAAATATAAGAATGAGCTACCCGGATTCATCATCGCATATAATAACCCCTAGATCATATTCAGATTATACCATGCACACACCTCTTTATTCTAGGGCCATAACCACATATATTCTTCTAGCCGTTACGCCACCGTCCTAACACATTTGTCTTGCATCGGATATGATTCTCGTACGAGTCTCTCGTTCGATATGTTTGGCAGATTATTCGGCGATGTTGATCGACTAGAGATGTCGTGAACTTGGTCATAGGTAACGTGGAATGTTTGCTGTACATGAATCGAAGCTTGATGCGACCTGCCTGCCCATGATGTCCTGGTCGTCTGAGTAGATTGCGAGCTGAACATGCTTTTGGTAGACAAGATGACTGGTTCCCAAATCCATTTCCTGAAGAGGAACTGGATAGTCGGTAAACATGCTGCTAAAACTCCTATGCCGCATTCGATCATTCCCCAGTATAAACAGGCCGTTGTTCCAACTACGGGGAAATTAGCTTCCATTTTGAAAGAGGAAGGGCTACCAGTACCTACGAATACTATCATTTGTGATATTAATGCTTCCTAGATAGCTTCCAGCCATGAGTACAAATCGTATTATTGAAGCGATAAGAGTCCTTGAACACATTAGCACAATCGCGGTTCATTATTGGTAGCACCTTACCCGCTTCCGAGAAGAAACAATGAACAGACTCCCAATTTCTTCCTAGGGGATAATTGCAATCGTAGCACCTAGATCTATATTAGTTCAGTGCCCAGCAGACCAAACGGAGATACCCACCAGTGGAATCGGAATACCGATTATGAATACGTCAGCGATGAAGTCGGTAATACATAGAGCAAGAATGAGCTTCATATAACTGGAGCAATGCGCCTGGAATTCCACATTCGAGTTCCAGATAGCCCAGAAATTGCGACCGCATTCAAAGAACACCCCGAAGAAAAAGGCGACGGCCCATACCACTGTAAAGACGATGAACGCCTTGAGAAATTTGTTGATGGGGCTACGCTCCTGGATCGCAAAGACACGCATATAGAAAAATAGAAAGCTCGCCTTCATACATCCTGTTGCTATGGGGAGCATGAGAAAGAAAATCCACTCGAGCTGTTCTACGTTGTTAGGCCCTATTGACTTCGCATGCCTCGGCATCACTTACTTGTGACTTGAGACTCAGCTGCGGAGTAACAAGTTCGACAGGATTTCCTTGAAAGCCGTCCGGTATTATAGTTCGATACCCTAGTGCCTTCTGCGAAACACCGTAGAGTTGGCAAATACCAATCCCCACGGTAATAAGCTATGTGTAGAGCGTTAGCATGGGCAGCGAACCGGGGCCATTTTTGGGTTATAATACTGTAGCAGGCACCATGAGCCAGTCATCAGCCCTGACTGGCTGTTTCTGGACTTTGCGGGCCCAAAATCGTAGCCCAACGACGAGAATATCGATTACGGAAAGGGCTATAGCTGCTGCGATGACATGGCCAGGGCGCATGTAGTAGAATGGCTCCTCTTCTGCCATATTTCAAATATAATTTGAATTTATATTAACGATAGATCGCTGGAAACCCGATACACTGAAGCTGGCGGGGAATTATCAAGGTGCAGATAAAAACGGATCCATATAACTATGAAAGAAATAGAGCCAGCCTCGTTGGCAAGAAGCACACACATCTTGAATGATGAGAGAGTAGATTTGAAAGAGCGGGCAGACTTGTAAGTCTCTCTTGAACTTCATGACATTTTACCTACGCCGTACACCTACTAGACATATGATTTGCTCGTAAAAAGGTGGCTTGCATATACTCCTACCCTACGGAGAAATGCCAACCATAAGCGACATCACACATGCTGGAAGGGGAGATAATCTCCAATGCAACCTAACTAACCCCCCCAAACAGAAATGTGGCAATATGCTGTCATACATTTCACAAGCAGAATAAGCTGGCTCGTTTCTAGTTGATGTCAACGCGTCTCTTCTATCTAAATCAAATACTAGTTATTAATCGCTCTTTTAATTATTCAATTTGCACTATGATGTAGAGTTGTCAACTTTGTAGCCAATTTCGGCATCACCGACCCTCTTTAAGCCATAGATACCAGCCGGTCATTTTGGAACCGGGCTGCTTACTCGAATCTACAGCATCTACAGAAGAGGGAGTACTGACAACTCGGAGGATGTGTACTTATGCAAGTTGCACTGCATCTACGGCGTACTCCACGAGATCGCATCCCATCATTGGATACTCACCATTTGGGGGCGTCGAGCCTACAATCCATCGGTAATAACTCCGAATTCCTTTTAATTCTAACTAGCAGTTTTATAGGACGGGGCATGGGATGTAAGTGTCATTCTAGGCTATTTAAATACCAGTCATTTCCTCTTCGATGCTCGGTAGGAAGATAGGTACTATTTAGTTTTAGTCCTCAACATCGAAGGCCACACCTCATACATATCTGGTCGAGGCTCTGGATGCACCCTTAATAAACTCTCATATGACATTTGCCACATATGCTGCTCACCCTTGCTTTTGTCGTGCGACATTTAAATACCAATCACAGGCACAAGTCATATCACGCCAAAGCTAAAGGAAATGTTGATCCATGTACATGATAAATTCTTCCGTTTCTTGACTAGCTAAGGTCAATCAACCGAATCAATTTGATCCGTTGCCATCGCCCCGCTTCTCCATGAGACCTGGCGATGGATAATTGTGTAACAATAGACTCTAATTTCGATTCTTGTACGGTCTTTAGGTAGCTTATGACTTCTCATATTTCTGATCGAGGCTATGTCTATGTTAAATATAGCCTTCCACCATTAATGAAATCTCTCTGGTGTACAGTAAGCCTGCCGAGAGAGAGAGTGAAAGTAGTACTGAACAAATCTCTTTGTAAACCCATTTCCCCTATTGATAGGTCTCCCCTGAATTTTCCACAGTACATATGCACACTTCAACCAACTTAATCATTTCTTCCTGCTCAGTACTAGACCTAATCTGTAGATGGATAACTTTTAAATGGTACATCTTGTCATGTGGAGCCGAGCAACATGCAAACAGTTTCGTTGCTCCATAACGAACTTTGAATTTCAAGTACCTATGTACCTATGTACTAAAGATTCAATATTGAAGCTACATGTAGGTATTTACATCGAGAGTACCTAGGTAGGTACCTGTCCTCTTTATGAGGAATGTTTGAAATCAAAGCCTTGATTGAACTGGTGGCCAGATCAAGGAATTTCCATTTTCTAATCAGTAACTTAGGTACGTATTTCTTTATTAATTTATCAGTTAGGAGGTAATATTCTAGCAAGATCAAGATGTGAAATGGGAATAATGTAAGGCAGGAACCAAAATTCATAATCATAGAAGGAATTTTCCTAGAATTGCTTGATTAGGCAATGTAAGTACCTTAAGTACGTACCTCTTAAGCAGAGGGAAGGTGCAATAAATCAAATTTTAATGTACCTTGTTACCTGTCAAACTGATTTAGCAGCTGCTGTGCACTGTCCCAGCCCCGGTTCTTTCCAAAAAAGGTAGGTAGTGTAGTCTAAAAAGCCGGCCTGCTCCGGCCTTGAGACCCACAAATCCGGCCCCACCAGACACCGAACAGTGACTACAAGTGCTGCTCCGGCCTATAAGGAGCCCCGAAAACAATAAAAACACCAATCATTTCAATTCCCAGTACCTCAATACATTCAGTGATTTCCAAAGTTTGTGAATTAGGCAAACTCTGTTGATCAGACACCTGCCCACTTTCTATATCTACTTGCACCTTCCTACCTTTTCCAGCCAGCTGATTTCTCTAGGTTCCCACCCCAACTGCATCTATAAATACAGACTGCATTCCTCCCAAAATTTTCTCTTACCTTTTACTTCTTCCATCAATGTCAACTCCTTGAAGTTCTTCGGATATGGTGCCTTGACCAACAAACCCTTTTCAAGCTCATATTTGGAGAAGACAATTTACATTTCATAATTCGACGCGCAAGACTTCCTGTACTTCGAGTTCTCTTAGTACTTGTTTACTACTTGCGATCTCTTTCGCGGTTAAGAAAGACTTCCAGCAAACTTCTCTTCTTTTCCGCACATAACTTCGTTGTGCCGGAATTACCTAGGCTACCGAGTCCTTCATCTTCTTTCAACACCCAAACCTCGAAAAGCGACTCTTGAGCGTCCTAAGAGTAACTAGCCACAATTTCCCAGTAAGTTCTCTTTCTACCTTAATTGTCTATGTATTAAATCTTCTTGGCGTACATACTAGGACTTTACCTCATTTCTTATTTCACTTGCTAACAATTTAAAGGTTGAAGTTGTTCTTCTTATCAGTCACTTAAGTCGGATATTAGGTCATTCTAACAACATGGCTGCGCAAGGTATGTTTAACCCAAACAGAAAGCTATCAATTTCGATAGTACATAATTATACCTAAAACATCCTTACGTACCTACCTAGGTATGTATTAACCTCATTAACATTCTCCTAGCTCAATTTGCTTGCACCTCTTGCGATTATGTCGCAATGACACGACCCAACCTTTCTGATCACATTCGACGTATGCACATCGGTGTGGATTGCCTCTTTCAGGGGTGCAACGTTCGCGTGACTTCGGAGGCCCTACTCCGCAAGCACATCTCGACAGTACATGGCACTATCGCCGCCGTTGACGACCTCTATGAATGTCCATGGGAGAATTGTACACGAGCCTTCGACACTATTAATAGCCTTCACAGATGTCTATTCTTTCATACCTACGACACCAAGATGGCCAACAATGAAATATCCCAAGAAATTCGTAACTTGTCTAACCAAGTGGCCCAGAACCACGCGGTTGTTACGGCACGATTGGATGGTTTAGATGCCATCGCGACCAGTCTTGCTGCCTTGCATGAATTGACCCAAGCCATCGCCGACAACCAACCCGGTCGTGAGAACGCAGATAAGCAGGGGGAGTAAGGGTAGGAGGGTGGTGGCCGCGCCGCTAAGCGCTCAAGGCCCTAGATGAGAGGAACAGGCCGTTTCAGTTAGAAAGAATGTTCCTGCATATTAGTTGGACTCTGTGGTTTAGCTTCGCTCTGCTTGCGGTTGAAAGGCCTGTTTTTTCTTTGCCTCTATGAGGCTTCGGACACGTTTAATAACTACCTGGCCTGTACGATAGGAACTTATTCTTAGAGGATAATGACCAAGGCTTCAGTGACCCTATCAAGTGCATATTTTAGGCGTAAAGTGATATCCGAGACTCGTAATGCATGTAATCAACAACATTCAATCATGGGGGTAGCTATTTTCTTTTTACGCGGTTATGAACGATACCTACCTAAGTACGGACTAGGACGACCTGATTTATGTCTGAGGGACAACTAATAATTAGTGCATGGACTTGTGACACCTGACATTCCTAAATTAAGCTTTCCCATCGGCGATGCATTTATGTGACCGGTTATCTCGATGACATAGTATATGTGGAAGCAAGTAGCATGTGTGGCTAAATTACTGGATAATTCCCTGTTTAGTCTCTGTTCAACAGTAGCAACCAATCAGCATCTCCAATACGCCATATGACGTAAGAAAGCAGCCACATTGCTTCGACAAGGACCTCTGACTTACTTATTAGGCATTCTTACGTCGACATTAGTATCAGACAATATGAGATGTAGCGATGGATAAGACGCAGGCCCTTCTCTTTTGACATGGGTTTATTTCTCTTTCTCTCAGACTCTAAATTATATTTCCAATATTCCCTCGAGTTCTATATTTCCCGCTGTTTCTGGATACAGGGACGGATCGAACTACAATAAATACAGTAGGAAACATCGCTATGGAGTGGGCAAAGCAGACGTACAACGAGCAATACGAGGCCTGGATGCCCTGGATCGAAGACAACTTCCTCAGGTATTTCACCAAGGATAACAAAGCTAGCTACGCGACTAAAGGTGAGTATCTCTTTCAATTAAATCCCTTTAACATAGTCGTATTCACCCTAAATTATTCCCTACCCTCCCGGAAAGTCGACTCGGACTCGGTCTTGGGCTAACCAGGACGTATCTCACAATAGAACAACTAGACAAGGCCAAAATCACCAATATCGAGCAGGTCAATACGCTGCAGGATGGTGTACACGGCGTAGTCGCTGGACAAGTAGGCCAAGGAGGATTGCTACAGCCAGTCGGGGATCTGGTATCCAAAGAGGGCCTCAATCGCGCCGAGCGAGGCGGAAAAGACGAGCAGGGAGGAATCCTACCTACTTCTATTCCCGGAATTCCCGGAATCCCTGGCCTATCGAAATAAAGGCCGTACATTGAAGACCTCCACGAGGATTGTTACGGGAAACGATGCAGGGTCTTATGTGATATTCGTAAGGGGGGTATGGAGTCGTAATAAAAGAGCTGAAGGTATTCGATATTGGCATGTACTTCATAGGTAGTTTCGGTAAAAAGGTGTAAGCAATTAGGCACAATTCGTTATAAAGTAAACTCCCTAATATATGCATGTAATCTGACATGCATCATCTCCTTGATGTGTGTATCAAGCCACATGCGACATCATGATCCCATTTTAAATAATTACCTAACCTATATTAATTGATGAGGAAGATACCAAGGTTACTTCTATATGCTACAACGTCATATGCACGAAGAATCGAAGACCAGGTATTCGGGACTACCCCTGTAGCAGATCCCGTTGGAGCTTGTGGGCGCGAAGATAATCCTTAAAATCACAACGAGGAGTCCGACGCCCTTTCAGTAAAAGTAAGTTCAATAAGTACCTAATTTATCTCGATATCTTGAGATTTATATAGCTGATGTATTTAAAGGAACCCGAATCTCCGAAAAAAAGAGAAACATGATACTGGATGCTCTAGAGTCTAGAATGCAAACGAGATCTCTGACGGGTCTAAAATGAATGCTCCGAAGGTAACAATGAGCTTCTATTCTAGGTTCGGGCTTCGATGGCTGCTTTAATGGCTATTCGCAAGTCAATATCACGTTTATATTAAATGTTAGTGGGAAATTAACTTACCATCACAGGTAACTTTAGCATCGCCGAATAACATCTTCGTTCCGGGCATGTAGAACATGGGATTGGGAACATCGGCTATTCAAGCATTAGCGCCTTGGCCCTTGCTTCTTTGCAAACGGTTAGGATGAAAACAAAATTCAACTTACCATAGCCACTGGCCATACCGCGTTTCATGACGATAACTTGCTTACTCTTCCAGGCGTGGAGGACAGGCATTCCCGCAATCGGACTACCAGGCTCGAGCGCAATTGGGTTAACCGTATCATTCGCACCGATTACGAGCGTAACATCAGTGTCCCCAAAGTCGTCGTTTATCTCGTCCATCTCCAGTACGATATCATACGGGACGCTTGCCTCTGCTAATAGAACGTTGCACTGTCCGGGCATACGACCTGCGACAGGGTGGATGGCAAATCTAACGTTGATCCCTTTGGCCCGGAGCATACTGGTGATCTCGCTAATAGCATATTGCGCTTTCGCGACCGCCATTCCGTACCCAACTACGATAATGACATTCTCCGCGCTGACGAGAGATTCGGCCGTGTCCTCAACATTCGTCTGCGTTACTGACCCTTCGATCTTGTAGTCTGTTTTTGCTGGCGCCGATATACCACCAAATAGTACATTTGTGAGGCTCCGATTCATTGCCACGCACATGATGTACGAGAGGATTGAACCAGACACGCCTATAAGGGCGCCTACTGTAGTGAGCAATGGGTTCTCCAACATGAAGCCTTCCGCTACCAACGCAAAGCCGCTGTATGCGTTAAGAACCGTGATCACGACTGGCATGTCCGCTCCGCCGATTGCCGATGTCGTAGTAAACCCTTTAGCAAACGACAGTATCGTGTTCGCACTTAGTGCCACAGCAGCGATCATAGGCGAGCCTGGTGCCATAGTGACAAAAGCGCCCATCGTCCCTATGTTAGCGGCAAGCATGCTTGAGTTAATCAGGTGCCGCCCGGGGAGAATCAAAGGCCTCGAAGACATCCTTCCAGCTAACTTCATGAACGCGACGATAGACCCGGTAAACGTGATACCACCAATTAATACCCCGAGGTAGGCTGTGACAAGGTGAAGAGTCGAGATATGAGAAAGGTCACCCATGACGCTGCCGATACTAGTCAATACCGCAGCTAGACCAACAACAGAATGGAGTGCTGCGACTGTCTGAGGAAGATCTGTTGGAGTAATGCGTTTGCCAATGACGAAGCCCAAAATGGCCCCAACCGTGGCGAGAGTACCAAATTGGGTCAACACTTCAGGACTGAACCCTACGGCTAACAGAGAGGCGAGGACACCAGAGCCAACACCGAGGATTCCAAGCAAGTTGCCCATTCTTGCCGTGGCCTGAGATGCCAAGCCGGACAAGGAGCTGATGCAAAGCACTGAGCTGACCATGTATCCCGCTTGCACGAGCCCTGCAGCACCTGTCGAAGCCGCCGCAAGATAACCCCCTCCGAACAGAATACCGGGAATTGCATATAGCCATGGGTACTCCGGTGGATCAGTTGATCCTACTCCTAATTAGCACGTAACAACATATCCACAGGCTAGTTGACATCACATACGCTTAAACATATCTAACATCCTCTTCGTAATTACGAAGCCGCCCGACACGTTTACGAAAGCTAACAGCACAGATGCTGCACCAAGCGCTTGCGGGATGGTTTCAGGGACATAACCACCACCCAAGATGAAAAGACCACCAATACCGACCATTCCTATGACAATACGTCAATAACTCCGAGCTGAGAAGCATTGGGACTGCTTACCAGATATAGCATTGGTGACACTCATCAAGGGGGAATGAAGGGCCGGAGCTACGCCCCAGACAACTCGATATCCGATCAGCGAAGCCAGTGCAAATGTGAAGGCGTTTCCCATGAAGATGGGCCCAGTAAGCTTTCCAAGAGCGAGAGCAGTGCCCATACCAGCAGTGACCGTAGCCACTTCTCGAGATGTCTTCTGGAATGGGGTTACCGCAACGACCTCTTCCTCAGGCTTAGCTGCAGCTTTAGGCGTAGGGGCTGGTGGAGGGGCTGGCCGCGGTGCAGGAGGCAAGATATCTCCTTTATTAGTAACGATAGCACCTCGAACAACTTCGTCGCTCAAATCGATGCCAAATGACTTATCCTGAGGCGACATCGACAGAAGGAACTTGACAATATTATTCGAGTACAGAGTCGACGACTGCGTTGGCAGTCTAGATGGCAAGTCCGTATATCCTTTGACGATGTCAGCAATTCGGTAATTTTTCAACTGACACTTAGCCTAGGTCTTACCAATGATTTTCACGCCGTTGTACGTTATCAGTTTACCAGCTTCGGTCACTTCGCAATTGCCCCCTGCTTCAGCAGCCAAGTCCACGACAACAGAACCAGGTTTCATAACTTCAACCATATCCTTAGTGATTAGCTTGGGTGCTCTCTTTCCAGGGATAAGAGCCGTTGTGATAATAATATCAACGTCTTTGGCCTGCTCAGTGAATAGCTTCATTTCGGCAGCGATAAATTCAGGAGACATTTCTTTAGCGTACCCACCAGCTCCGGATCCATCCTCCTGGATCTCAACTTCGATAAACTCAGCGCCAAGAGATTGGACTTGCTCTCTGGCGGCAGAGCGTGTGTCAAAGCCGCGAACAATGGCGCCCATCCTGCGAGCAGTTGCAATCGCACTCAAACCCGCCACTCCGGCACCGATTACGAGAACCTTACATGGGGGGATTTTCCCCGCGGCAGTGACCTGGCCAGTCAAGAAGCGGCCAAAATTGTTGGACGCTTCTAGAACCGCCTTATAACCGGCAATGTTCGCCATTGAGCTGAGAGCATCAAATACTTGGGCGCGGGAGATACGAGGAATCATGTCCATAGCAAACGATGTAACCTTGCGAGCAGCGAGGCGCTGGACAATATCCTTATTCTGGGCTGGCTGGAGCATTGAGATTATTGTTGCGCCCTCTCTAAGTCGTTCGATTTCCTTGACATTAGGCCCTCGTACTTTAAGTACGATATCCGCTTGTCTCCAGATCTCATCTGTGTCGACTAGAGTAGCGCCAGCTTTCTGGTAAGCTTCATCTGGAAAGTCGGCCAGCGCACCAGCTCCACGCTCTACTAATACATTACGAAAGCCCTTCTTCTTGAGAAGGGCAACATTTTGAGGCGAGATTGCCACGCGTCGCTCATTAGCAAACGTCTCACGAGGCACACCTACAGTGAGATCTGCGTAAGGCGTGGATGGCGTCTCAACAACGGTCGAGTAGGCTATTACCGGAATTGTTCTATTTGCAACATTCCTACCACTGTCGAACGTCTTCTTTGACAGCGCGGGTAGAACTGCGGGCTTCCTAGCATGAGTGCTATTCCACTGTCGTCGACAGCTTACAGCTACCGCTCGAGATTGTGCCGTACAGTCTATATATTCCGTCTACTTAGTATATACTGCGGGAAAGGAGAATATGCTGAGATGTCTGGACACCTCCTCATATCCCATGCATTGGAACGAACCTAGGACATGTGATATGGCGCGACGTGTAAGGCCCTCTGTCGCACGAGGCGAAGCGGGATTGGCGACCAGCGCCGGCCGGAGCAATGACCAAGACATCATATTGACAAGACGCAACAAATGTCTGCCATGCAGCGCAATTTCAAGGCTTCATTTGTCATCCGCTATACCTCCCTGCGAGCTCCTAGAACGATATCACATTACGAGGAGAAGCATAGAAAAAAAGGAAGTTGGAATGTCGCAAGAGGCAAGAAGTACAGGAGGTCAGTAGAAGAGAAGGGTTCATGCCACGCGACCAAATAGGAATAAGAGCAGCAACTAGGGAGGACAAATGAGAATACCCAGTCAAGCTTCAGGTATGTATATTTGATAATAGATGCCCGAGCCTTCCTTTCATCCTCCACTCGAACCTACCATCCCCCGCTTCCAGGGATCCCGGCTACATGGAACTACCAATATTCAAATAATAGGTTGATAGTTGTTGGCATAGCAGTCTGGATCATCTGAACAGTCGGCGAAACAAGCCGCACCAATCAATGGCTTAGGGTTTCTAGGCTGTGTTCTTTGTGGTCGGTATAAAAGAACAGCCGATGTAGGAAAAAGAAAGAAAAAAGTGATATGTCTAAATCACATCCCACATCGAACGACGCGTTTAGGAGAGTACATCGAGTACATGAAGATTCTGCCTAAGTCGTCAGTCGTGTTCGACAAAGGTTACGCAAGTTGTGCATGTGGGCGTCTTGTGAGAGGTTGACTGGGGGCGAGTCGATGAGACGTAGACCCGCAAAGGATATCCTGATTAAGCAAGTGGGGCACGTTCCGTGGCAGGGCATGCGGAGAAGGTGGGTTTGCGGGCACCAATCAGTAATGACACGGGAAGCTAGCTGCCTCATCTGTTATATGAATATTCAGCTTACAGGGGACGGTAAAAGATAAAGTTCCTGCAGCTGAAGTCATAGGCTTTACCTTAGGTACACTCAATAACTGCCAAATACGGCACTGGTATAAGTGTGCAAGGAACATATCAGGTAATGAGGCTCTTCTCAGTTATAATGATAGTATCTCTAACCCATTCCTTAGATATCAAAGTACAATCCCCCATTCCCAGAACTGATGAATCCAATTATATGAATCCAATTATAAAGCTCAACACGTCGATCCCAATTAGTTCAGCCTGTTCAGTCTGTTCATCGACTCCCACCAACATCATCTTCATTTAGTATACTTATCAACTTGCTCGTTGGTCCATTCCCAGAATTTCTTGGCCGTGCCATTTCCGCCCTCTTCTTCGGTCTTAGTCGCCTCTAACAAGTCCTTTCGAACCGAGCGAATTCGCCCCCACGGAATCACTATATACAAGTCGGGAGTTAGCTATCATACACCTCAAATTCCCCAAGGCAATTTTCACTAAATAGGTAGCTACTTACCCCAACTTCCGGTCTTCTCAATGGTAATGTCGGGAGACAGGCCGGCATACAAGAGAGTATAGGCACCATTAATAGAGGGGTATGTTATGAGCGCTGTGACAATATTCATAAAGCCTGATTGGTCGCGGTATAAATCCGAAGCGAGATTTCCAGGGTTTAACGGAATGCTAATGACACCGTCGGCCTTATATCGCTTGGCGAACTCGACGCCGTGCAGCCAGTTACCGGTCTTGCTAAGGCCATATTTTATGAGGTATGATTTGTCATCGTGATAGTCTAAGTTGCTCATATCGATACCGATCGACTTTATACCGATCAGGTCTGCGGCCGAAGACGATACCCAGATTACGCGAGATGTTCCCTCCGTCTTAGCTGTTGAGATGAGAATCGGCGTCAAAAACTTCGTAAACGCGTATGTTCCGATGCTGTTCACACCAAGATGATATTCGTAACCCTGAGGCGTCTTACTGGGCTCTGGAAGTGGGTTCTGGACACCAGCATTGTTAAATAGGACATCGAGTTTCTTTTCCTTCGAGAGAAACTCGTCGGCTGATGCCTTTATCGTAGTTAAGTCACCAAGGTCCAACTTCAGGAAGCTTAGGCCCCCTTTCGAGTTAGGGAAGGCTTTGCTGATTTCGTCGATTGCCTTTTCGGCCTTTTCTTGGGAACGTGCGGCAATGTAGACTTTCGCATTCTTAGAATAGAGAATCCTGGCGGTTTCTTTACCTACGCCCGCGGTTGAACCGGTAACGATGCAAACCTGTAAACCGAGCAAGTAAGCATTATGTTCTACAACCCGTCTTAAATATAATATAGGAAGACATGCTACTTACCTTGCCATGGAGATCGGATATGTTTTTCTCAGTAAACCCCGGCTTAGGAGGGAAGAACTGAGTTACGGCGCTTGAAAACTGGGCACCCATTGCGCTGGCTATAATTCAATCAACGATAATACGGGTTTAAAATATAACATAGCTTGACTACTCAAGGATTCTAATTCATGGTACCTAATAACTACCTTTATAAGTTTCCCATACTTCCCTTTATTAATCGAACTCAGCCACGCCACGTACGTTTCTATTTCCGAACTGTCTCATCAGCTCATGAAGTTAAGATCATCTCATGCTGATAGGTTCTACGAATCCAACCAATCAAGTTTCGTAGTTTCCGAGCACACCAATCGCAGTGCCGGATTCAGATGTGGGGCTAATAAAGGCCCCTGCCGTGAACGTTCCCCGGGAGCCCGATCATAACGATAGAGTCCCGTTTATACTATTCGATCATAGCACAATTCTTTACAAGCCGCTCATGTTCACACTCTTAGCTCGGACTATTAAAGCCGCTAGTTCCGTCCAAGGATTTATAAAATTAGAGCTGCGTTAGAAATACCAGCCGGTATTACCTAGTATCAATAAGCCGCTTATCTGTATCAATTGGGTAGAGAGGTACCTAGGTCGTCGGATTAAATCATTGGCTTTAAGTCTTGAAAGAGTAATCTGTACCTAGTAATAGGGGAGTAATCTCCTTTAAGGTAATATGATAGTTACATATTATAAATCTAATCAAATATAGAGTTTTAGGTAAATCATCAATCAAACTGGAACAGAAAAGAGCGGATTTTATAGGGGTTGGTTGTTTACTCCCTTCAATGTTAAAGAGCAAGCCAACTAATAAAGAAAACAGTAAATCGACCAGTGTGACGTATAGGGAGTTTTGTAGACCGTCTGGGGGTAAATCTGAGACTTAGCAGACAAAGAAGTAAGGTAGGCAATACCCATAAAACTTAGTATATAAGGCTCGTAACTGTTTCTTACTTACTCAACTTTCATTGTATCAGTTTCATAGCATAATCCCTTTCAAAAAGAGTAGATTCAGCGGGTCAGTTTAGCTTAACGATGGTGACGATAGAAACGTTTCATGATGAGAGGTTCTATAAAAGTAAAGGATGGATATATGACTGCTTTCTAGAGAATATGACATTATAAAAGATAAGATTATTTAACAATGAACACATTACTAGGCTGTAATGACTATATAAGAGTATGAGTAGAAACACGACAAAGGTGGTGTTCTACTTGATGTATCGGGTGGTAAGCGGATGTCATGTTTGACCAAGAACATAATTTCCAACTCATGATGAACAAGGGCTTTATGTGGTAGTCCTATACACAGCTACGTCCAAACCTCCGGCTGTGTACTTAAACGTCCTTGGGGATGGCATATACATTCTACCTAATCTTACCACCTGACGTTTATTAAGGGCCCGTTGCTTACTCTCCCTGGGAAGATCGTGACATGTACAATGCTATCTGTTCTACAACTTGATAGGTAACACATCTATCACATAAGGTAAACACATCCTCCGTCGCCAACCTCATAATAATGTACGTTAGTTACAATACATTATGTTTGTTTAGGAAAGACGAAGCGTACGGATGATCACATCCTTGTCAGTTCACCAACAACTAGATTGCCCTTGATCAAGTTCTCTGTTACACATACTGTTGATAGATGTTGTTGAGCCACAGCTTTGGGCATATATATATGCCATATCCCCCGATTATGTAAGAATACTTTTACCATTCGCTCCTTTACCCTCGGGGTTTAATTGATACTGATTTCGTAGCCCATTACCGTGCAACGAAACTATCACTCATGTGTTATCACGTCACTCTGGAAATCTGCTGCGAGGAGGAATTTTCAAATGCCTTCCCAAATACCCTTCTACTAGTGAGGTTCTTCGTCCTCTGCCACGCAGCGAAGATAACTTGGGCACTCCAGGAACTTGAACGTGGCGGGCCGCCCCGTCCCCCGATGCCACTGGCTTGTACCGAGAACTGCCCAAACTTTGACCCCGCATATGTTAGACTTGAACGTGTATTCTTCACTAGGTGCGAGAATTGTGTTAGAACAAAGGGCCCAGAGAAATATGGACTCAATGATGATGATATGCCTATCATTATACACCATGATAAGCTTCTCCGTGATCAGCTCCATGAGGCAATCGCTTTTAAACCATACGATGAAGTAGTATTGCGGCTTTATATCGACTTTAATATCCACGAACGATGGATATTAAGCGGCTCGCGATGGACCGTGGCTCATATACATATCGGAGGGAATGATCCACTAGGTCCGAACCCGACGTATGATTTAGAGGGCGTGAGATGGTGGCTGGAACAGAGGATTGGCGGCATACGTCAAGATGTATTAGAATGGCTTAATAGTCTTCCACCATCAACGTTCGGCCCCGATGGGCCACAGCCATCATGGGCCGAAAAACGTTGCCCCTCACTAACTAGTAAATGTCCTTCACTAGATGAGGATTCCGACCCGTCACTCAATGGTGAGGACGATGAGGAAGATGATACTGAAGATGATGAGTACTACCGTCCGCAATCAAGAGCGAGTGTAAGTTCGGATTCGTCGATGGAGGGCTATGAGTGGTACGACAATTGGGCAGAAAATCACCCCTATTTACCTACCACCTGCACCTATGAAGAATTTCGTGCCCTGCAAGCAAGTCGCCGGAAGGGTAACTCGTAACCTCAAGGTTTGACTGGAGTAATACCCGAAGCGAAACCATGGAGAGCATAGCATTATCGCCTAGGCCTTGAATCTTTAAACACAACCCCAAGGTTATGATAAGTAGCGTAAAGGCTACGAAGTCGCCGAGTCGAAAGTATTGATATGGCATAGTTAACTAGAATCACGAACGATCACTGGAGATTTGCTAAATGATGCTTAACGGTGTTTATTGTATCGAAGGGATACCTCTCGATATTTAAATAAGCCAACGTGCCCTATTGGCATGACTGCGACTGTTAGCATAGCGTGTGCTTTCCTACTTTATGCCTCATTCTATTAGATTATTAGTAGTATCAAATCCCAATACAGATGTTTTCGACTCCTATATTTTTCCCGCACTTCTCTTCTCCAATATCCCTAGCAGTCCCTTATCATAAACCTCTTAAGCAGAGCGGACAGCGCAGTCGACCTCCTGGACGAAGTCGTGGGTCCATTCCGAGGTGGCGGGGAGGTCGTTCAGAGTCGCGCACTGGGGCACGAAGTTGACAGGGGCGCAGTTCTCCGGCAGAGTCTCGCCCTCATACACGTACCGCACGACTTGAATGTTTGCGCGCACGTAGCCGATGAATCGGTCGCATATGGCGTAGTAGCCGGGTGCGAGACCACTGAGCGCCACCGAGTCTCCGGACTTCTCAATCGTAAGTCCGTTGCTGCCGCCGCCCACATTGATGCTCGCGTCGTGCTCGCCAGGGTAGGTAGCATCGGTGCTTTCCGAGTCTTGTACGATGAAGCCCCACGGGAAGTCAGTCCCCAAGTCGTTCAGAACGTCAACCCAGCCCTGTGCTTCTGTGCCGTTGCTGTAGTAAGGCGTGGAAGTGTCAGGGTTGCTCGTAGATACAACCGCGATATTCTGACCAGCGCCGACGTGGATGCCGGAAAGGTAAGTGCCCGCAACGGAAGGTTCTAAATCCTTGGTCTGGTCTCGGAGCTCTGCCTTGAGGTGGAAACCTTTAGATCTGGAGAGTTGTTGGGTAGCCCGAGGCACTGGAGTAGCACCGGCGAGGGCGAGGAAGGTAAGAGGTGTGATGATTGAGGCGAGCATTTTGAATATTATGTGATATTTAGTACGATATTAAGGGTATGAAATATCAATTAAATGTATTAGGTATTAATATGTAATTTGTTTGAAGTATTGGTTGATTGAAAGATGGTTTTTTTTTCTTTATTCGAGAGAGATCATCCCGACCTTATATGTATTCCCCTGGCGGTCGTAACCGAACATCTGTCGTGGCGATGCACGAGCCCGAGCTAGTTACATAGAGACCAATTCCGATAGAGAATCACATTTCCAATTCTTCATCGGGAACGTCAAGGCATCTCGGACAACGCGAGCCAACAATTGTCAAAATTGTCAACACGAAAGCTGCGGTCACCCGTCAGCGGCCTAAGTAAGAATGTCTTGAGATCGTAGACCCACGTATATTATAAAGATGTCTGCTGATTGGACGAAAACTAATTTTTCCTTCATCCATGTAGATCTGGACTGTGTTTGTTTAGAGGCTGAGCTTGAGATCACGAGGCGGCGCGGTAACTGTGCCGTTGGACAGCCGCCGACCAATCCGAATGAAGTCGATCACGTCTCGATTAGTCTTTTTCTTAAAATAGCGCGGTACGACGCATGATATGTTGTATTACTGCTAGGCAATATTTGGGGTTTAGTGAGTGGTTTCTGAGTTATGACAATAGAGGTAACCTAGAGAACTAGGAGGTATCGTGATATATTTCATACTATGTACCACTACTGCTAGATACATACTCTTCATCACAACAGCTATACGCCACGAGAAGAGCCGTGACATCATGGAAAAGGTATTTGATTAATAATTGGCGGAAATGAGATACTATTCAAAATATTCCGTACGTCATTGACCTTTTGTTACCCCCTGAGACAGTGCGCAAATGGACTAGGGCAATCAATGGCTAGAGCATACGATAGAAACCAAAGGATCACCCATAGAATAGGCTAATAAGCATAAGCAGAGTAGAATTCGGATTACATGTAACTAACGAGTGACGTTGCATACTACGACTTTTAGCTTGCGTTAACCACACAGCGGCCATCCCGTCAAGTAGGTGGATGTCTTAACAAACTCCCATTTCACCCCTTTCCGTATGCTTAAATCCTATCCCGTGCTCATGCGTTGATGCAAGGCTTGTCGCAATGGGCGATGAAGTTGGTGTCAGCGTCGTTGCGGCATTTGCTACTGCAGGCACACAAGAGCTCAACGCTAGACGGCTGCTCGTTCATGCAGACAAAGACAGCCTCGGAAACGTTTGTCTTGGGCTTGCTATTTGTGCAGAGCTCCGAGAGGCCATTGCAATAAGCCTTGCTGATATCATTAGGTGCAAAATCTATACAAGTTAGTAAGTAAATATTTCCCTAGTTCGACTACCCTCCCGCCGGGGATCGTACTATGACCGCTTTCAGTGAGCATATAGCCACAGTAGGTATAGCCTTTACCACACTTTGGACCAATGCCCTGGGAACCGCTTGGTACAGGGGCCACGCCGGATGTAGACGAAGAGGCTCCAGCCGGAAAAGGAGACTGGCCGATTGACGAAGTGAAAGGCGTGAGCGAAGAACCCGCCGAGTCAACCCGCGGAACCGGTCCTCTCAAAGCCAGAGAAGAACCGGCTAATAGGCCGGGACCGAGAAGAATGACGTGAAATTTCATACTGGAGCAGAGGGGAACTGCACCAAGGACGTGCTTAATGTATGGCAGTTCTTAGCTAAACGAGACGAGGTTATTGATGACTTCGCAGTGACCCCTAAATATCGCATCATCCATCGCCTTATATAGAGCTGTCTCGAATGAATATATACAATAATAGAATACGAAGCAATACTATGATTCCAGTGCAGCAATTGCCACAAGCGGCAGACGACCCAGATGTCCAAAGACTACGACACGTCTCTGGTGAGACATCTTCGTGATATGATCGGATGCCTCATGCGGAAGTGAAAAGCGAACCATGAGAGTGACAGCCGCCCTATATTGACTATCTATGTATATCTTAGATGGACTGTAAAGTTGGTTTATCTCAATATGTTCGTGCTGCATTGCGCGGGGACACAACGAAGTGTAACTTTGTGGGCTTCCTATTTTAGGAATGATTACCGGCAACTATATGTTGACAAGTTCGGTATCACGCACATTGTATTAAAGCAGATAGATAAGTGGTACTTGAAGTTGGAATCCATAGGCTTAGAGGCTTATACCGAGTGTTGTAACGTCGGCCAGACATCTAAAGCCAGGAACAGCATCTCGATATGCGTATCCGCCCTGCATAATCGAGCAACTAGCGGTGGTACAAGATGTAGCCAATGTATGCTGTGAGTCCTTGCCTAGTGTGAATATGATTCTAGAACTTGTTATGAAGGCCCGAATCGAGAGAATAATATGGAGGTTAGTTAGTAAGGTGACGTGGTTGTGAGAACGTTTTACGATTTTGGTGTCTGGCCAAGTTGCTGATGTGAAGGTATAGGACAACTGCTACATACTCGGAGCTAGTCATCCCTAGCACCAACTGCGATGATGCCTTGTCTGGAAATATTATACCCGAATAGGGGAATGGCCTTGGCTCGCTACCTAATAATACTTCAAGTTACGGACATACACGGTTCCATGAATCGGGAGTTGCTTCGGGAATTAGGAAAAACATCCCGTAAAATTGTTCGAAACAGCCTTACTGTTTTAGCCTTGCTAGGCTTGTCCGAGTAGAATTGCTTTAAACTAAACTCCCTCGATGAATCTCTTATACGGTAAGCAGTTCTAATACCAAAATATAAAAGACGGAAGGTTTCATTTAGCGGAGGACGGCCGATGGACATGCGGGCCGATGCCGATTGCCCCTGCAGGTCCATCAAGGGTCTAATGTAAAGAAAGAAAAAAAAAAAAAAGAAAAAAAAAACTTTAGATCTATCGATAGGTACATTCAATTGCACGCCTTATATACGAGACACGGAAGTACCTGATAAGAAACGCCCCGCAGCTGACTTTGAAATTGCCCCTCCATCTTCCCGCTCTACCAAGTCTAGACCCCGCGAAGCCCGCGCAAACTTCCGGCCTCGTCTCAATCAAGTTTGCCTACCAGGTACTTCCGACAGTGACTAGGTCCCTGAACATACATGTATGCAGGAACAAGGCTTGCAAGAGCACCGATTCTAATTCCAATTCCAATTCCAATTCTACATATTTACCTAAAAGTCCTCTAGCAATCCTAATTGTGCTTTCCCATCTGCATCCGTAGGAAAATATGTCGACCTCCGCTACACAAACCGTTATAACATCGTCGACGTCAGAGGCGCCGAAGCTCACGATCAGGGTCGGCACGCGCAAGTCAAAACTGGCCCTGAATCAAGCCGACTATGTCGCCACCTCTCTAAAGCAATTACACCCAACGGTCGATTTCGAGATCAAGGGAATGCACTCGACAGCGGATAAGGATAAAATAACGGCGTTGTACAAATTCGGTGGCAAGGGGCTATGGACGAACGAGCTAGAAGCAGAACTTGTGGCAGGGGAGCTCGACATCATTGTACACTCTCTAAAAGATATGCCGACGACGCTACCAGAGGGGCTCATTCTGGCCTGCGTAACGCCTCGAGAGGACCCACGCGATGTTGTTGTCGTCAAGAAAGGATTAGAAGACAAATACAAGAAGCTGGCAGACCTACCAGCGGGTGCCGTCGTTGGAACCAGTAGCGTCAGACGCATGGCGCAAATTAGACGACGGTACCCTCATTTGGAGTTCAAGGACATGCGCGGCAACATCGACACTCGGCTTCAGAAGCTCGACGCCGAAGACAGCGGGTTCTCGGTGCTGATCCTAGCCGCTGCAGGCTTACACCGGATGGGTCTGGACGGGCGCATCGCACAATACCTCGACAGCACTACGGAGGGCGGCGGTATGCTGCACGCCGTTGGTCAAGGTGGCCTAGGCATCGAGGCGCGAGCAGACGATCAGAAGACGCTCGACTTGCTAAAACCCCTCGAGGATGTCCAGGTCATGTTAGCGGCAGAAGCAGAAAGAAGTGTCATGAGGACCCTAGAAGGCGGTTGTAGTATTCCCATCGGCGTAGAGACTAAATGGGTAGGAGACAACACGCTGAGATTAACAGGGACAGTTGTCAACGTCGAAGGCACAGAAGCCGCCGATGCCGAAAAGGTCGAAGAGATCAAGACGCGGGAGGAGGCCATTGCGTTCGGCAAGAAAGTAGCCCAGCAGCTGACGGACAACGGCGCGCAAAAGATCTTAGACGTGATAAATGAGGAACGAGAAGCCAACAAAGATAAGGCGGAACCATGGGTACCAGCGTAGAGTTACCATATAGAACGGGGGCATACAAAATCTGGGCTTGTAAGGGAAGATTGCGGACGATGCTTTTTTAGACTTGAGCCGTCCATTCTATGTAGCCTTTATGTAGAATCTGCGCGGATGCTTTCGCCATGACGATGAGAATACCCGAAACGAGTTTATGATACAAGGTTGAGCCCGTCTCTGTCCCACTCGCTGGTTGTTGAATGCCAATATCCATTTCCGGTGAACACCTGCCCCCTGCCCCCTGCGCCCCCGCCCCCATAACACATCACTTACACATAGAACTCCTCATCCCTCTCGTATACGGGTCTAGTGTGCCTCCGAGCCGGTAAACGTCTTGTACTCCTCGAGGTCCATAAGAGCGTCGAAGTCCTTGGCGCCCTGCTCGCCAACCTGGACCTTAACGATCCAACCGCCGCCGTGCGAGTCGTCCTCGGGAACCTGGTTGATGGTACCAGGCTTCTCCTCGAGGGCTAGGTTGACGCCGGTAACCTTGCAAGCGATTGGGGCGTTGATATCGGCGGCGCTCTTGACCGACTCGACGGCGCCGATAGCGTCGCCCGCGCTAACCTCCTTGCCCTCCTCCGGCAACTCGACGTACACAACGTCGCCCAGCTCCTCGGCGGCGTACTCCGAGATACCGATTACGCCAGCCGTCTTTTCGGCGTTCAGATCGATCCATTCGTGGTCCTTGGTGTACTTGCGGATATCTCCTACGGTGGCGGTTAATGGTGGTCAGCAACAAGAATGCAATGCTTAGGCTTAGGTGTGCTCGTGCAAGCGTCTGTAAGCGGTATTTTGGGGACTCGGGTGGCCTTGGTGGCCTGGTTGAAGGGCGACATCGGATAACTCACTTATCGGTGAAGCAGAGAAAGCTCGCAGCGTCGCTGGTTGCCAATTGGATCTTGTGCGTGGTGCTTGTGCTAGTCGAGACAAGGTCGACGGTCTAGCTGCCCGAAGGCATCGCGCGATTGAGGCCATTATGGGAGTTGGAGTATGACACGATAGTTCGTAAGAGGGGGAGATGTTGTAGACCGCAGCTTTGACGAAGCTAGCTTTTTGTTTCGAAGCTTTGTGCTTAGGTAGGTACAGGTGTCGGTACAGGTGTCGGTACAGGTACTGGTACTGATATCGTATCGATGATACATACCACTACTTTAAAATTGTCAAATGTTGGTACGATCCTCAGCTTGGCGCCGAACAGTTGCCCGATATATGAATCCGCACTGTTTATCTTAGTGTAGCATTCACCGAGCCGTACAGTGCGTTGTCGCAGGATCCGATAAGGTATTAGCCAATCCAAACTCCTCAATTGCCCCGCGTCATGATGAAAACTCCGGGTTATTCCACATCTCAATTGATAAGAAACATCATTATAAGCATATCCACGCTCAGTCGGAGTATTTAGGTACATATTAAAATATACCATACAACCAATGGACGAAACTCCCATAGTTCTTTTATATGGAAAATGCTTCGATAAGATCAAAGGCGTGCTACTTGAAAAAGAACACTTTTACTTAGTACCGGAGACACTCAATTATTCGCAAGGGACGATTAAACACATCTCATTGGCCTAGGTTAGTACGTATAAGAGTATATAAAGAGAGCAGGGTAAAAGTTAAAGGAGATATGGAACTGGAAGCAAGTCTATCTCCAAAGGCGTTTACAAATGGGCAGTTAGAGCCATTTTATGTTTAGTAGTGCTCTATGACCCAAAGACTTAGCCCATAAGTTACTATGCCGCAGTAGAAGTCGGTTATCATCATTGTGTATCCTGGGTAGTTAGATTTATGTAAACACCCCCCAAAGCGCCTTTTAATTCGATATCCTTATGTCTCTTCATTACCGCCATAGCAATCTACTTATTAAGTTGTCTATGCATTTCTGCAATTAAGGAGGACCAATATCATACTTGGGTGGGACAGTATAAAGGTTCCACTGCTTGAAAAATAGGTCGGGTCTGGTGGGAAGAAAATACTGGCTGAGGCCAACACGAACCGTGCCCAGATGAGCGGCATAATAATCAAAGCTTTAGCGATGCCTATATGAAGTCCGAAGTACTCTGAATTGCGATCCAAGTGTTCCTAGATATTTAGCCGTAATGCTGGTGGTTCGCCTCCAAATACTCTTTACATGATAGTCACTAATAAATCCAAACAGCACATCTAGAGTTACAAAGGAAAACAAACGCATACATACCTAATTAAATAACACAGAAATAAAGGATCTTAACAAAAAAGTATGCAAAATAATTTGATGAATAAATCAAATTTAAATGGGATACTTTAGTGTGATTGGCCTGGACCCGATGCCAGTACATACGCCCTTTGGAAGACATATGTTTGGGCAGGGAGGAAAGGGGCGAAGGCCCCCAAGAAAGAAACATCGTGGTATTGTTGGAATTTCTATCTCAACTCCAGCGCTACTCGTTCAAAATTCTAAATATTCAATTACGATCATCATTGTCACTTAGATCCAAGCAACCTAGTAAAATTTCTAGCATGACATTAGACCTTATGAAGACATGTCTCTCAGCAGGCTGCGAGAATAAGGCCGAATCTTTACAATGCCCAACATGCCTGAAGCTGGGTATCGACAACAGCTACTTTTGCTCACAAGACTGCTTCAAAGGTGCTTGGGTAATGCCCCTCCTGGCACCTTAACCCACACGTTCCAGACATTCGCCTCTAGGATCTTTAACCTGATCATCTCGAATACTAACACTATATAACAGGCCGAACACAAGAAGATACATAAAACTATCCTAAATAAGACGCAAAATGGTATTTATCAAACTAATCATGTCGGGAGTATTTCTAAACTATGTAGCTATAGCGACCGGGACGGGAACGTATAATCCATTCCCTTCATTCTACTTCACCGGGCCATTACGACCGGTTTATCCCCTCTCTCCAAGGCGCGAAGTCCCAAAGACGATACGGCATCCAGACTATGCAGAAATGGGAATCCCGACAAGCGAGTTAAAGCTTACTAGGAATAAGATCGACACCCTTGATGCCGAAGGACAATATGCCATGCGTAAGGTCTGTAGACTAGGACGAGAGGTACTGGACCTCTTGGCAGCCGAAGTCAGACCTGGAATTACCACTGATTATCTTGATGAACTTTGTCATAAACTCTGTATAGAACGTGATGTAAATATCTTTATACTAACCCTCGAGCTTTCTGCCGTGTTAACTATATCTAGTCCTATCCTTCCCCGTTAAATTATAAAGACTATCCCAAGTCGTTTTGCACGTCTATAAACGAAGTGATGTGCCACGGCATCCCCGACCAGCGTGTACTCGTCGATGGCGACATCATAAACTTGGACGTTAGTTTGTACCACGGAGGACACCACGCGGATCTGAACGAAACATACTATGTTGGTGACAAAGCAAAAACAGACCCCGATACCATCAGAGTGGTTAAGACAACAAGGGAATATCTACAAGAAGCGATCAAAGTAGTGAAGCCCGGCTATCTGGTCCGAGACTTTGGCGCCGTCATCGAGAAATATGCAAAATCAAAAGGTTGCAGTGTCGTCAGGGACATCGTCGGACACGGCGTCAACACTCATTTCCACAGCCCACCTAATGTTCCTCACTACGCTAGGAACAAGGCTGTTGGGGTTTGCAAGCCTGGAATGTCGTTTACCATTGAGCCTATGATTTCTTTGGGGAAGCATCAATTCGTGACATGGCCTGATAACTGGACCATTACAACGATTGATGGGAAGAAGTCGGCGCAATTCGGTGAGTTTACCCACCTACTTAACTCTTAGACATCTATTTATATGCGTTCGGAGAATTCATATGACTGACATATATATCCTAGAGCATACATTGCTGGTGACCGAGACGGGCGTCGAGATCTTGACTGCTCGGCTACCAACATCGCCTGGCGGCCCTGTTCGTACGCCGGAGGATGTTTGACTGTTACTTTAGCGATACTAACCTAGTAGTTATTTCAGTAGTTATTTCAAAAAACAAGACTGTTCTCCGCGCTAAGCCTAATACATGTGTTTCTTAAATGTAGACCGTAACGCGAGTTTCATATACCATGAACCCAGCTCATTGACATCGTCCAAGATAATTTCCTAAATTACTTCCTCTGATCTGATAGGCTATTAACTTATTAACTTCATATTCAATTAGAATGTCTCTATGGTTTACGTAAATTCATATAATACCAAGCAAGTCAGGTTTATTGCCCCCCCTCGTCAACAGCGCAGTAAACAATTGTCCGGAGCGCCAATTGCAACCGACAACGTTAACAGCTACTAGCTGTCTATTCGTCTGCTGACGGGAGATTTCCGCAACATTGATTTAGGTAAGACATACATGTACGTACCTAAATACCTAAATACCTAAATACCTAAAAGCCAGGATGGTTTCCGATTCGACTGTCCGTATGTCACACGTGAGAATAGACCTGCCTATGGGTAGCTGGCGGCCTATTAACGTTACCAGATTCAGAATAACAACATCAAATGTTTTGTGTTTCCTTTCGCGAATTGACGTTTCGCGTCGCGTTCGACAAGTGATCATCCTCCTGTATTTTGCGATATTTTATTGGCTCGTTGCTGTTGGTACTATAAACTTGGCCGCGCCAAAGCTTGCAACTGTTAGCTACAATATGCACCTAAGGTACTTGGAAGAGAGTAGAAGAAGAAACAGAACCTTACATACCTAAGGAGGTAGGCACTTGCCTGAAAACATTAAACTCGTTAATGTACCTACCTAACCTAATGTACGGATTACTGAAGTAAGCAATAACCCACATGTGCGATAACCCACCTAAAAATAATCCCACCCAAACCAGTTAACCTTGTCGCAAATGCCCCCTTTGCCTTTTGCCCCTCAATCGCGTACATAGTACATACATCAAGTATTTCGTACTTCTTAAGGTTCCACCCGTCACATCTCCCGGGATCCCGCATCGTTAAGCATCCTACCTTGACTTTTGCTCGACTTGGACTTTACCACCATTCCACCACTGCACGTCTTGACCTTTTTCGAAGGCCCGCCTCAGGTACGAAGGTATGTATGTATGCACGAAATTATTACCTACTACCCCGGACAACCTTAGGTTAGGCATTCATCTGTGGGCGACCAAATTGTCAGTTGCTATCGCCTGAAATTCTAAGAAATTCTGGTCCTCATCTTCCCCTTTCCTACCAGATTTGATATCTACCTAACCTACCTACCTACATACCATCTGCATCTTGGGATCGACAGCCTAACCTTGACGGGTTGCCAGTTGAACTCATCCCCATATACATAACCATCAGGACTAACACTCATAGACGCTGAAGTACTCGTACCCAACATTCCTCATTACTTGTCGGAACCCTCGCTATCCATTCCAAGACAACTCCGATGAAGTCGAATACGGGGCTAATCTGAGACCTTCTCATCATCCGTCCCGAGATTCGCCCACATTCCTTGCGTTTGAATAGCGTCCGGCTATCATTTCTGCCTCGTATTCTCCACTGTCGCCTTCCAACCTGGATTCGTTAACCCTTTCGGCGGGGTCCGGAGCCCAGTTCCACGACGTCGTAGACACGATGGAGCAAGATCACATTGCTGCGTCTCTCCCCCACGATGTCCACGATGTCCAGGATGATACCCTTGTTGGTTTCGATGGGCCTATGCATATCGGGGGTGAATCAAGCGGTCACGAACCTCACCACCGGCAATCGCAGTCTCTCGACCGAGGACTAGCCAACAACGCGCACACCAATGACATCGACCCCAACACTATCGACTCAAACGTTGTCGATCCCAGTGCTCAGTTCGAGGCCCATCCATATGAACCTCCTGCGCAGTCTATGTCGAGACCTGCTTCATCATCCGGTCCTGGCGAAAGGCACTACACCGGCGAGACTCCGAGGGAGAGCAACGGTGCAGATCGCAATACTCGAAACCACGTCGTGATCAAGGTCGGCATGGTGGGAGATGCGCAGATTGGGAAGACATCACTGATGGTAAAATATGTCGAAGGTAGTTGGGACGAGGATTATATTCAGACGTTGGGTGTCAACTTCATGGAGAAGACGATCAGCATACGAAATACCGAGATAACGTTCAGCATATGGGATCTAGGCGGCCAGAGAGAGTTCGTCAACATGCTTCCCCTAGTTTGCAACGATGCCGTTGCCATACTTTTCATGTTCGACTTGACGCGCAAGAGTACGCTTAATAGCATCAAGGAGTGGTATCGCCAGGGACGAGGCTTCAACAAGACGGCGATTCCTATTCTGGTAGGAACGAAATATGACCACTTCGTTAACTTTCCGAGAGAGGACCAGGAGGAAATTTCGAACCAGGTAAGCTTGCATGTGACATGAAATAAGGAACTGTAGCTTACAACCGATTTAGGCAAAACGATTCGCCAAGGCGATGCGAGCTGCTCTTATCTTTAGCAGTACTAGTCATAGCATCAACGTCCAGAAGGTTAGTCCCGTCTCATATTCGCCATCTGCTGGTATTTTAAATGGAGCCATGCTAACTATCTCTCTTTAGATCTTCAAGATAGTCTTATCAAAGGCCTTTGACCTCAAGTGCACGATACCTGAGATCGAAAATGTTGGCGAGCCCCTCCTGCTCTACCAGTCGGTTTAATCTTGAACCCAACCTACACTTTGTAGTGTTTGTTGGAAGAGGCCCTGCGTGGTGTTAATCCAGCCCTTATTATAATTGCGTGGTTTCGATTCACGCCACCCCTTTACATTTTACGATATTCAACGGCCTTTACGACAATACGAGTTCCAGCCAGTTCTGGACCTATAAATCCTGTAGCTTTGCCACATGGCCGAAACATGTTCTTGACGCCTGACGGCCAAGCCTTCCAGCCTTAGAACATTCGATGCTTTACCTCGGGAGCATTCCTTTGATGAGCTGACATAATAACGCCGAATCGTTAAGAATACACATCTAGATACATTTCCTTTGTATGAACCGTCGCTAGGCGGACTCGATTTGCACTAGGGTTTATAACATAGTTTCGCATTAAGGAGTACATGGGCAATCTCGACTCGGAGAGGGCATTTGCCAAGCAGGATCGCCGGACGACAGATTGCCAGTCACTTTTTTTTTGGCATGGATAATCAACAAAAAATACACCCACCGTCGATCCTGAATTTGTCTTTTCGGTCACTTGGTTTTTTTTTTCGGCCCGGAGGAGGGGGTTTGGAGGCCATATATGATTTTAATCACTAGTCGTTTGGTACGCAACGCAAGTTGACGTTGTAGTTCCACACGATGTTGGTTTTGAGCTTCACACCCGCCCTACCTACTTGCCCATCTTTGCACATCATCGCTGTATGGTATATGGCAACAATGCAATGCCGAGGGGGGAAAGAAGGGATGTTGGAACTACCACTACAGTTGATAGTAGTGTAGTAAGTAAGCAGAAGAAGAGAAATCAAGACTGATGAAAAGCAAGTACTTCGTGTCCGGTGCCGTGGTTCGACTTTGTGAATGTTGCTTTGCATATAGTTATACCTACCTATCTTAGCTGTTCTCTTCTCAGAACTACATCTTATCGCTTGCTCCTCTACTGAGGAAGCATGATACTTGAGCTATCATGGCAAGGGGAATTTTATTTAATTAGCCTCATCGCACTTCCATCCCGTTTTCTCTAGCTCATGGGCAGTATTACATAGAATTACACGCTCTCCCCTATCCACACCTATGCTAGGACTAGGATCCACCCACTTTTCGTGAACACCGCTATTCTCTCCCCTGTTCTCTACCTCATATAAACCACAAAATATAGGACCCCCCTCCCCCCCCTTTGTATAGGAGCCTCCATTAAGGACCTGCACCCCATAATCGTTTTATCACATGTGAGCATCTCAAGCCGGCCCGCCCTTGTGCACGCCGTCGCCGTCGCCCTTCTGCGGGTCCTCGCGGGGGTGCTCGGCGGCGGTCTTCTTGGAGGGCACGTCGGACGAGCTGGTGGCGGCGCGCGTGTCCTTCTGCCGGATCATCTCCTTGTAGTCCTCGTGCGCGGCCTTCTTGTCCGCGTAGTTGGTCGCCACGTCGCTGTTGTCCGCGCTGGGGGGCGGGACTTGGCGGCCCGTCTGGCTGCTGCCGTGGGCGGCGTTGGGGTTGCCGTCTTTGGGGGGTGGGTTTTCGTCGCTGTCGGAGTCGGAGTCGGATGAGGGCGGTGTGGAGGCGGGAGTGGAGGAAGAAGAAGAAGAAGAGGAGGAGGAGGAAGAGTCTTCGCCGGGTTCTACGGCGGGTGCTTTTTCCTCGTCAGGGACGGGGGCGCCGCCGTGGGTGTGCTCGGAGGTCTTTTTGGAGGAGCTGGAGGAGAGCAGCCATGTTAAGGCTGGGATAGTGAAGACGACGGAGCCGATGAGCCTGTGAGTAGTAGATGTTAGTAGCCTCTACCAAGACAAATTTTTGCTTCTGCTTCCGCTTCCGCTTCCGCTTCCCCGGCAGTTCTCCATACGCAATTGCTCGTACGATATTGTCTTTTACCCTCTCAAAATTACCCAATTGACCCAGAAAAGCAAAAAAAAAAAATATAAAAAAACTACTCACCAAGGCATATCACTCGTCTTTTCCGCGCTCGCACTTCCGGCATGACCACTGGACGAGTATGCTCTCTTCGTAGCCGAGCGTAGTGCGGACTGCCGCCGAGCCGACGTAGCAGCCCGTCTAGCAACGGTGCGCAGGGAAGAAGCAGCAAAGACGCGAGGTGTCGACATTGTCTGTGTGTTTTTTTTTCTCGGACTGCCTCTGGACGGAACAAGAGAGTGAAGTGAAATTACAGGTAACGCAGCTCAGGGAAGCAGAAATGAAGGACAAACTCGATGCAGCTAGAGCGAGGGAATTGCAAAGAAAGTTTGTTTCTTATGTAAGTCGGCTATGTCTCTCTTACGGTTCAGTCTCTTACGGTTCAGTCAGCCGAGGAATTCCGTAACGGCTTGTGCTTGCCGAGACGAATACAAATGTCAAAGATAAAATAAATAAATGTTGTTATTAGCTTTGAGAAATAATTACCTGGTTAATACTAGAAAAATACTATTCCGTACAAGTATTAAAATTGTAAAATGTAAAACTTTTATCTATTTAGAATCTTCTCGCTTGCTCCGTGCCAATTGCTCCGGCAGCTTGGTGATTCTTTTTTCGAAGCCATCCATGTCATCCATTTTATCCATTCTTAGCAGTAGCAGCTCACTGCGTCCATGACCGGAGCTTGTGTGGGGCCTTCCCCAGTTAAAAAGGCACCATTTCCACTAAACAACACCGTTCCTTTACGTCATTAGAATGCAGTACGTACCCTCAATTGCCTAACCTACATGTAGGTAGTCCGAACTGAGAGTAGCTTGGCCGTAGCTCTTTTTGTGCTTTTGTGGCTTTTATGAAATGCAACCTTCACTAGAAACATCCGAAATCAACATTACGAATTAAGGTCTCTTTCATCTTATATCTACTATCATGGAATGTCACTTGAATCATTATGAACCAGTAGTCAGCCGCATACTACCTACTAAAAACAAGCAATCAATTCTTCTTCGTGTATTCCGTAACAGGTATAGCCATAGTCACCGGATACATAGGTAGGTGCGATAGCTACATATTTTCGTAAGCGTCCTGAACTTCCCTTATGCAGCTATCTCTTTATTCTCTTCCCGCAGCGACTTGAGTTGCCGCTCAAAGTCCTTATTGACCCATTCCCAATACTGTTGCCACACGGGGTTTTGTACTGCCTGTGACGCCTGAGCTTGTCCTACCGAGCCACTTGGTCCACCACTTATACTAGGTAGGGTAGTCTTGGTTTTCTCGACCAGGAGGAGGGTGACGCGCAGTACGCTTTTAATAGCCTCCTCTTGCTTCTCTACTTCCTGCTTCACCGCGCCGTCCCTCAGTTTTATCGATAGCGTCTTCCTGTAGCACTCGGCGATCGCGTCTAAGCGCCGAGTCGTCTCTTCGGGATCAATCACGATCAACTTGCTCAGCATGAGATTGCAGAGGGACCGGATGTCATTTTCATCGTTAAGGCCGGCGATGATGCGATCGTAGAATTCGAGAGAACTGACACGTGAAAACGCTGTCTCCATGAGAGCATAGAGAGTCTCGTAAGCGCTCTAGATGAGATGATCAGTAACTTCACTCTATTAGAGACGGGCCAGACCGCAATTACTTACCTTGCGAACCTCTAATCCATCATCCACCTGATGTTTGAATGGCCCCATCTGAACTTCGCGGATGAGTTCCGGTTTGATTACAGACTCTTGTATGACATAGGGTATTAATTCTCCCAGGTGGGGTAAAATCAAGTCGGGTTTGTTGTGTGCTGCTGAATTTAAAGCCGTCATGCCTAGGCGGCGGATCTCCATGTCTTTATCTTTTAGAACAGTCAAGAGCATATCGAATAGCACCGTCTTCAGCATTAGATCAAACGACTCGTCGCTGTCTGGGAGTGTGTATCGAAGCGCTTGTACAGCTACACCTCTAAAGGCTGGTGAAGGGTCTCCCAGAAGTTCCTTCGAAAGTTAGTAGTTATTCAAGAATACGTGTATTGAGACATACCTGTAGTTTCGGGATATAGGTCTTAGGTTCCATAATAGCCAATCGCCCGATGCATTCTGCGCATATCGCCTTATTATCATCAAGTTGAGATGCTGAAAAAAGTAAACGCCAAATTTCGCTCTCGTACGAGCTGATGTTTGTTGACGATGCAATGGCCTGGTGGAGGATCTCTCTGATGGATTGGAGAAGTAGGTACTGTTGGCCGCCGGGCTGCTTGATTGCGTTAAGAATAGTTGGTAGAAATACTGACACATTCCCTGCGCCCGCACGCCCAAGAGCAACCGCGGCAGATACCGAGACTTTGTCTGGCTCATCGTGGAATTGCTGCAAGAAGATGCCCGGTTGAAGGCCAGACTTGGCTCCGAGCCGCAATCCAATCTCTCCCAATATCGCCAATGCAAGACTTTGCCTGGCAGTGTCGGGTGGCGATTTGTTGCTTGACTTATTGAGCTCGTCGATAAAGCCCTCGACGCTAACATCGACCTGCCCGCCACTCGCGACAAACAAAGCACCCGCAACTTTACCCACGACCGCGGGATCGCCCGCCACACCAACTTCTAGAACGCCACGCATTAACGGATTTCCTATACCCGTCTCACCAACGCTCGTCACAAGAGTCACGAAGGACTCCAGCGCTACGCCGGCGATATTCTTCTTAAGAAGTTCGCAAATGGGCTTGATGAAAGTAGGCGACGAGATCAACTGTGGATGTATTCGTTGAAGCTTAGCAACGACGAGGAGAGCAGGGCTCAAGAGATAGCTATCATTAGTGGATATGACGGGCAATATAGCCGTCACGATCTCATTGGCCGTGTCTACTTGTATCTTGTTACCAGCTGCCGGGGAAAGAACCAGGTGCTGTAGAGCTTGGATGCTAGCAGCTCGGAGAGCGCGATTTGACTTTCGAAGTTGACCACAAAGCTCCAATGCAACCTGCTCGATCCAACCAGGGTCGAGGTCAATAGGCGGTAAGGAATGTGCCGCTACGTTGTCAATTGCTCGTACAGCGTATAGACGTGTCGTTTCGTTCCGTAGACGATCCAGAAGCAAGTTCAAAGCAGCCTGGCGCTTATCACTAGGAATAAGAGCGATTCCATCCGGGGACGAAGTTCTCGAGATCAATGTCCCAAGTGCTTGGATGGCCTTCTGGCGCACCTCAGTATCGGCATCATTCGCAGAAGCACGATCTACTATAATCTCGTATAGTTTGTGAAGTTCCGGCTTGTACTTATCGGTCGTCAATCTTGCACGAGGCGGGGTTATAGCCTTAACCAGCTCTTCGGCTGTCCTGATGGCCTCGCTAGAAATTTTATAGAATCTGTCACGGACTGCAGAAACCACCCCCGCAACAATGCTTTCAAGGTAGCGCTGAAATAAGTTTGATGAATGAGTCTTTGCTATATCACTTGTAAAGCGAAGGACCGCTATGCGTAGTGTCGTAGCAGTAGCCGACGCGGCACCCGATAATGCAGTCGACGTTGAACCGGTACCGCCTGTCATTCCTTTGGTAACGTCAATGATGGGTTGCATAACCTGGTCAAAATAGTCGGCCAAGCCACCATTCTGCACCGCGATTAAATCATCCAGCAAATTGATTATTGCCTGCTTCGTGGCTATTTGTTTCCCTTTAAGCAACTTGGTTGCCGACTTGACAATCTGCGGCGTGAGCTTCTTCAGGTCGGCGCGTGGCCCGGTTGGCGGAACTGATTCGCGAGTAGGGGAGGTAAGACCAGTAGCTCCAAGATAGGGAGCCTTGTTGGTGTATGTGATACCGCCGCTGCTCTGTCTTCGACGCTTTCGGTTCCCTACAAGAGAATGTAGGAGCTCCTCATCGGTTGAGATAGATTGGATCACACCTTCGCCCGTCTTTCGAATTAAAAGCGCTACAGTCCCAATTATCTCGAGACGCACACTTTCTTCCCGCTCGTCAAATCGCTTAACTAGCGGAGGGGCAATTTCATTATATAAGGTTCCCTTCTCGAGAAGATCGGTGCTTCGCGTCGAGATCAAGGTATAAAGGGCCTTTACGGCACATCTGCGGACCTTCCAACTGGCGTCGTCGTCGTCATCAAACCCAGCGTCGTCATCAAATTCATCGTCAACATCATCTTCGTCATCGTCATCAGCATCATCTTCCTCGTCCATATTTTCGTCTTCGTCGACCGCATAGTTGGGGTCAAACTTCGAATATCGAAGACATGCCGCGATGACTTCATCGGTATAATCTCTCATTTGTAGACCGCATGACGCCAAGAATGACTCGAGCGCAACTAAAGCCGCCTCCCGGACTTCGTTGAACTCGGGATGAAGTTGATCATTGCCTTCGCTAAGGGCATCGAGCTGGCTCTGTAACTCTTCCTGGTTTAGGGGTGATAAGACAAATTCGATGAGCTGAGGTAAGTGCTCGCCGAATTTATATGGGATCGACCGAGCAAGAGATCCCATTATAGAAATATAGAGGCGGCGCATGACTGGACTAAGTTTGGGTTGTTTTAAGGCTTTCTGGATCTTCGCAACAAACCCATCGAGGACATCAGATGTGAGGTAAGGCGCAAGAATAGCGAGCGCAACAACAGCGCGTTTCTTCACGGGAGAAGGTGTAGTTGTCCTTTCCAGGACCTGTACGACGACATCTTGCAACTTTTCGACTTCCAGCGGCTGCAATAGGGGACCGAAGCATCTAACCACCTCGATAAGTACGTCGACGGACTCTACGGTAGGGTCTCTATTTTTGTCCAGTATTCCGTGAGATTCGCTAGCCGCTTGCCTGGGCGCGCTGGAAGATGGAGGATAGCCGAGGATGCGTGGAATAAGGACTCGGCTGACTATATTGTACGTCTCGATCACCTCTCGAGAGGGTGTGACTCCTCGAACCGGCTTCTGAAGTGACGAGATAGCGCTACGCAGAGCGAGGGAGGGTATCGAATTATCCACCGAGTTTTTTATCTCGACCGCACTAAGTTTATCCAACGTGGGTGAAAGAACTGAGAGGGGGATTTTGGTAACTAATGGCCCGATGCTACAAGGTTATTAGTACTAACTTCTAGGTTGACTATAATTCATAATTCATAATTCACACATACCACTTAACCGCCAGGTTCTGTACCTCCCCGTTTTGATCGTCCAAGGTCTTTATGATATTGTCGACGATACGTGATGAAGTATTATAATCGTGAGTTAAAAAATCGACCTTCTGTTTAGTAAGCATCTGATGAAGGTCATTTAACGACATAAAACGGAAGTCGGGATCTGGGTCGGCCAGTTTGGCCAAGAGCCCAGCGATGGTTTGCGAGCTTGGATTGCTGACTGCCATGGCGATGTACAGGCCGGAGGGGCTGTCGCGAGCTGGGTCTCGGAATTTAGGGCGGAGATATATAGGTGATCAAGATGGCAAGCCTAAAGTGCACAGTAAGTATATGGTATTAAGAAGGGGTGGGACGATATAAAAGTAGTGTTTCTCGGGTTGGTTACTTGCCTCGTGAATCTGATTTCGTCGCAGAGGTTAGGATTACCTCGTCACAGTAGAGGTAGGTTCGGTATCTAGCGAATCTTAGGGCGAGCGTTAAGACCGAGTAATATTGAACTAAGGTCTTCCTGCGCAAAGTCAACATCTATACCTACCAAGCTAACAATGGGCATGCGTTAACGAGAAACATCAGGTACCTGGCTGCCTAGGATACCTAGGATAGGTACCTAGGATAGGCGAGGCGTCCTAAGAAACGTGATAGAGATAGAAGTAAAAGGAAATGGAATCACCAACTCTCCAAAGTCACAATCATGCTGCTAAAAAGAAACCCGTGTGCTGAACAAGAAGATAGGCGAAGAACGTTGCAGAAAAAGAAGAAATATTGGGAATTGTTGACGAGGGACGAATGTTGAAAGACAAATAGTAAATGGTAAATGATAAATGATAAACGAGGAAACCGCGGATGGTGGGGTTGTACCTACCTGTCGTGCCTTAGGTGCATACAGTAGCTTTTTGTGCAGCTGTGGCAGCTATGTAGTTGGAGGGGTTCCAGATGTGGCCGTGCAACTTCCTGCTTTATAGTGGATCTCAGGAGATACGTACCGTATTACAACAAAGCCGTGTTACCTAATCTCATATTCACCCCACAGACTCGATACCTTTTTGAAAGTATCATGACCATTGTTTGAGGAAACTATCATGAGGCCGAATGTCTCACCTATTTTAAGATCCTAAGATGTCTTTCATGGCATTTACCATATCAAATAACATGTTTAGAAGTAACAAGCTAGTTCAAGTAGTAACTACCTAGTTACTACCTAGTTACGCATATTCTAACATACCAACGGCGTAGCCCCTAACCCCTAATCAACAGCTTACAATGCGTAGTAAACGCATTTGGTAATTATAATTATAACGTCATGAAATACCCCTAGCCCTAATAATCCAAGACTCATTCTGAGTGTCTTACTGATATTTTCCTATGCTATGTGACATGAGGGTGCTCCCGGTCTCCTTGAAAGAGACAAGGGCACTATATATACTTTCCTAGTCGACGAAGATACACCAATCCCAGCCTTGTTAGAGGATTGGAAGTGGGAGAGGATACGGGTTAGGGGCACTTGCACCAGCAGACAGGGCGGATTTTAATAGAGTATCATGAACACTGGTATAATATGGACGCAACGCTAATAGTACACCCTTGTGAGAAAGATATGACAAAACAACGCAGTACTGTATATTTTCAAGTTTTCAAACTAATTCATCGCAAACACTCCGCCTATAATTTCTTAATCACATTTGTCCTTCATTTACTCATATCCACAGTAATGCCTAAACACCTAGAGAGTCTAAGCATTCATCGATGTTTGTAATTAGCTCTCGCGCTGCCGCATCAGCCTGTTCCAATTTTTCATTGATATTGTCCAAGTTTTCTTCATAACATAACGAGTAAATTTCGTCTACCAGGTCTTCAAAATCTTTACGCAGCCCAGAAAGGCCATCAAACTTTTTACGGACATCGCTTCTGACTTCTTCGTCGATGCTTTCATTTTCTAGTGCGATTTCGACTTTAGCTCTCTTCAGTGCCCATTCCTGGGTTTTGAGAACGAGCTCCTTGAACTGCTCGCTGTTGGAGGCCATCTTTAGTCACCAGAGTTACTAGAATCGGGAGAGTGAATGTTGTATTTTCCAATTGGCAGGCTAAGACGAAGTATTATCGATGTTTATCGAAGAATGATTGGTGATTGAGGTATAAATGGATGGTGTATGAATGGTTGATAGATGGATTTAAAAATTGGTCCCCTTGCCCGGGTAGAGGAGATTTATATACTGCTTCCTTTCAAACGCATCGTTCAATAGCATGATCAAGTCCTGATTTAGATCACAGTCAGTGTCCATCGTAATGCTAAGACATTATGTGAATCAGTACCTAATTACAGATTCATTAATCATCTCCGGCGGTCAATGGGATAGTCAGTTAGTACCACCAATAATTGATGATTCTGTCACTCTTGTAACATGGTCTTGGGGTACAGCAATTTGATTTGACTCATGAATGAATCTATCCTAACTCACGGCAATCCTCAGAACCGTGACAGAGACCGGCAAGGATCAAATCGGCACGTATGTAGTTATAACTTTTGAATAACATACCTAGAATGGAGCCAGTATTGTATATTTCCTCTTTCCCCAGCCAATGAGTTAGATTCTTAAACTATACGTCCACTATCAATTTACCTATTCATCATCACTTCTTCATACTAAACATTACCAATATCTCATTTCAGCCTACTAGGAAGAACATACAACCTCTCCCCTTTACATTCTAGCAGTAGCCAAAGATGGCCTCTCACAGCCAAGATGTCAAGAACGTCATAGATAATGCCAAGGTATGGTGCACGAAAAGAGTCGCTGTCGAGAGAGCATTGGATGGAAATATTAAGAGGAGTCTTAGAATTCGAGTTCGCGAAAAGTTTAACAGCCTTTCCAATTCGGGAAAACGGTTTGATGGCCTTATTTATGAAATCTTTACGTCGAAGTACGGGATGGATTGTTATTACGGTACTCCTACTGAAGAAGATTGGGAAAAGATCAAAGACGCATATGAAGAGGCCGCAGGGTTGGCTACAGAGCTGCTTGCAGTTCTTAACGATTGCTTACGCATCCTGCGAATTCATGTGTAGAAGATCTTAGGTGACGTATACGAGATAATTAAATCAAAGCACCCTTACGGGGGCCACCCTAATGGGGGCCACCTTAAATTTTTAAACCTTTAAAATAAATACCTTAACTTTAATTTAACGTTATTTAATTAAATTAAATTTAATTAATTTACAATTTATTATATTTTAATAATAATATAGTTTTTTGCTATCGATTTAATTAATAAGGTTTTATTTTTTAAATTAATATTGAAATTGTTAATTATAACTGTATTATTTAATTTTTAAGCTTTTAATTATTTTTTTTTATAATAGCTTTAATATTTATAAATGTTAAATTTAGATTAGGTAATATTTTACGCCGTTTTTACGGTTTCGTATTTGTTAATATTTTTTTTAAATATTTGGTGTAGGTTTTTATTGTAGTTAATTTTATAATAGTTTTATTAAAGATTTTACTAATTTTATTAAATAAAAATTTTATTGTAGGTTTAATAAACGTTATATTGAACTGGTGCTGGTGTATCAGGTGACCTTGACCTTGATCATGTGATCATATTCTTAGTATAAGTACCATTTATGGTCGCACACACCCATTTTACATAGTATCATCCACTTTTAATACAAGTCATTCCTTTCCTTCATCAGTTTTATCATTTAAAAGTCCTTGATATCAGGTTTAATAGGGCTTGATCCAAGGCCAAGACGTTTAAGTCTTGTTCAATATTAATTTTAAATAGTTTTTTAGTTAAAATATTAATATTTTGTAAATTTAAAGGCGTTGTTAAAGGGATTGGGGCTATATTTTTGATAAAATTAGGCTTTTTTGGGTTAAAAATAAAGTTTGGAGGGGCCGGGGTAGTATTAAAAGCCTTTTGGAACATAAACCGGTAATTTAACGGTTTATTTCGATTTTTAGAATAGATTTTTGTAGCTTTTTAGCTAGTTAGTATATTATATTTAATTAAACGTTTTTTTCGTATTATTTAATAAGTTGTAATAAATTTCTTTTTATTAAAATTAAAAATATAATATAATTGGTATATTTTAATAAATTTATAATAATAGTTTTGTTTTATTAATAAAAATATATTTATGTTAATAATTTATAAAATATGTAATAAATATGTTGGGATAAAAATAATATAAATTTTATTTATAAAGTATTTTTAAAAGAATTCTATTATGATATAGCTATTGTAACTATTAAAAATTAATAATTGTTATTATTAACGATTTAATAGTTTTTTTTTTTTTAAAAAAACCTTATAAAGCTATTTAAATGTAATATTATTATTAATCTAATTATTAAAAAATGTAATAAATTTTTAGCCTTTAAATTTAACGTTTTTATTATTAAGAAACCATTATTGTTATATATATTTATTTGTATATATAATAAAAAAATTTAAAAATTAGCTGTTATTATTAATGTATTTAATAATTAACGTTTAAATTTTATTACTATAATTTTTAACTACGATACGTTTTTTATAAGTTTTGTTAATAATTATTCCGTTATCCTTAACCCTTTCTATAATTTCCATTTTGTTAGCGTTATATATATATCTGACCGGGATATTCTTAATTTTAAAGGTTTTAAGTTGGTCGAAAAAAATATTAATATTATTAGCTATAGTTTTATTAATTTATTTATAATTGATTAAATAAGTTTTAGCCGATTTAATATTAGGATAATAAAATAAAAATTATATATGTTAATATTTACCGAAGATATTAAGTTGGTAATTATGGGTTAATAATTTTTTTGCGATATTTTTAAATTGATATAAGGGAGGCGTATGACTAATACAGCTTAACGTAACGGCCTAATTAGCTAATTTTTTTTTTAATACTTCAATAGTTTTTAACGTTTTTTTAAATAGTTATTTCGTGTTTTATAGCCTAATATTTAGTTCGTAAGGTAGTATTATAATATAAAATATTTTTTAAACGTTTATTATAAAGATACGCTATCAAAAACGTTGTTTATTACTGTAGCATAACGCAATTAAGCTAAAAAAGTAAATATTTTAAAATCGTAAAAAAATAAGGATTTAAATAATAAATTTTATTTTTTAATTAATTAAAAACTAATGAAATTATATAATAATTTATATGTGGACTTTATTGCAAACGTGTCGCGTTTTTGAGGTGGCCCCCACTAGGGTGGCCCCCGTAAGGATACTTTAACTTAATGAGAAATGATATTTATTAGCAATACCTAGCAATGCCACTCACTACCTTAGCTATTGATTCGAAATTTGTATTTAACGAAAGCAATATCAAATGAAATAAAATAAGTACCTTGGATATACGTATTCGTAGTGCTCTTTGTTCTCGATGTCTCATCCCGAGCCCCAAAAGAAATAAGGTATCGTCCAAATTAAATAGTGGCTCACGGTATATTAGATATGTGACATTGATTTGACCAAATATTGATAAACTTTACAAGTGTGAACGTATGTAATTTTGATTCATGTGGCATATGGCCTATCACATTTGACTATCATATTTTGCTCTCCTGAAAGTCAATAGTTTCATATTGCATTAATATAAATTAATGCAACAGCCACCAAATCCATCCCGGCCACTCAAGCATGACCGCAATTTGCAATATACTAGCCATATACAACTACACATAGATAGACGCCCCAACTACTTGCACGGCGCAAGAGACTTTTAGATCACCAACCGACCAGCCTTAAGGACTTAACCTCCATAGGCTCAACGCTCCGGCTCAATCAACCAAATCATAATTACTCCAGGGATTTTATCTCAGACCGACGTTTTCCTCCTTGCACCATATCTCTATTTAAAGAATGTCTACGGCTCGTCAGAAAGAAATCCAAAAAAAGCTTCGAGAACTAGAACACGAGCTACATGACCTGAAGAGGGAGGAGATTGAGGCACAAGAGGTTCTAGCTCACGAACAGGACCGTGACACACGGACAAGTTGGAGGCGATTCTTGGATGATGTCCAGGAATTGCAAAGAAGGCACACCGAGGAGAAGCGCAGGCTAAAGATCGAGTATGATCAAATAACAGAACAGACAAGAAGACGTGAGTAAAGTGGGAGTTCGAGACACTAGACCTTTACGCATTACAAGATCTACTATGGTGTTCTAGTCATACTATATGCCGTCGATTCGTTTCGGGTGATTAGGTGTAAGCTACCTGGATATCTACCTGTAAATAGCTACGATGTACACCAAACGTTAACGAATTCACAATGATCATCATCAAGAAATCAAGAATACAGCTTCATTGTTCCGTATAGAATTATAACACAACAACGTAAGGCCGTAAGTACCTGGTAGGTTAATATATTCTACAAGTTTCCTTTGTCCTAGTTATCCTGTTTAGAATCTCAACAATATCATTACTTACCCAAGTACCAAAGACCAAGAGTTGCGCAATAGTGATAGTTTACTGACAAGGTCTTGGTATGATTTGCATATGTGAATATAATCAATACTGAATCCCGAAGCATATAGCTTGCCATATTTAATAAGTATCTTCCGGCGCCCCTGGTGTCGATAATTTCGTATTATAGCATAGACCCATACTACAGCCCCCTGATTTATCCCACCTAGAAAAGCCTTACCGCATCTCGTGATTCCCAACCCAACGGCCCTTACCTTGCGCCCTTAGTATCCCCTTTGCCAAAATGCCTACGGCTTACCAGAACAAAATACAAAGGAATATTCGGAAAATAAACTGTGAACTACATAACTTGAGGGTGCAAACGAAGGAAATGCTAGAAAGAATAGCCCAGGAACCACACCCCGAGAAAAGGAGATGTTTGAGGGGGGCACTAGGCGAGATGTATAAATTACAAGGACTCTGGGTCACGGAAAGGCAGTGTCTAGAGTTAGAGTATGATCAGATCGCGTTGGGGGGAAAGATAGATTATTGAAGCAGGAGCTCGAAACACCGTACCCCTTTACGCATTGGAGACTCTAGAGAAATTGTCTCAGTTAAGTTGAACTTGATTTATGTTGTCCACGCGATCGCTATTTTGACCGCAGTCTTAATCGTTAGCCCCTATTAAGACTTATTAGTTTATTACAATTTATTACACAAACCGTATAACGCCATAGCTGTGGAATTATAAATAAGTAGTTTAGTCACGTAAAATCAAATATCGTCGCTGTAGTTTCACGATATCAAGGTTATACGGTCTACGCGACATACCGTAAATATGAATCTGCTTCGTGGGCAGCTGTATCCAGTGTGACCCCTTTTTCCTTTTTTTTTTCCTTCCTTTTCCATTAGGTTAACTTTGGCTTACGATTTTTATTTGCTGCTGAGGTATACTGGACATCTTTATCGCAGTGAATAAGTTTGAGAAGCTGCCAGGTAATATTTCCCTGTGTCGTATCTTCGGATATGAGCAGAGAGCTCCTTACTGTAGGTAGTACTGGGACATTGATACGATGACCTCGGAACTTACGACGTACAATGCACTTGTACCTAACATTTTTTATAGGAAACCTTTAGCCAGGGAGATTGGTTTGGAGTTTCGTCATCTACGTACATGCACCTATATATAGTACATATGATATTGTGATATTATTTAGCATTTAAAACGGCAGTCGTTAACCATGCAGCGGAAGAGCAACTGGTTTCGTGAGTAGTTGGAAGGAACTGTACTTATGATGAAAGGTAAAAGTGAGCGTTGTAGGCAATATTAGAAACACCACAAGCTCTAGCGTATACTCTCAGCACCTTTACATATTTACTTAATATATCAACTCGGCATCTAGCCATTTGCAGCGCTGAAATCACGAAATTTCTAATATTCATTACGTCTTACCACGAAATCCTACCTCGCAAAAAGCCCCCAGTTATCTATCTTCTCACTTCGAATTCCACTACTCATCATGTCCGACAGTTCCTCAGAACGGTCCATGGGCGACTATATCATCATTCGAATCTCACCCCCGAGCAGCCCACCCTTGGGAGCCGCGGACTGTCCTACAGACGACGAATTGAAGGAAAGGGGGCTAAAATCAAATAAAACTTCAGAGGGAACACCGGATAAAGAACCTAAGCAAGAGCTAGAACAGCAAGCGCCGTCGCCGGAGGTTACAAACCATGCCTCACAATCTGTTGCGAAGAAACCGAAGCCAGAGTTCAAAGGCCCCGTAACTACGGGATTGCTAGAGGAAGAACAAGAAGAGCTCGAAGAAGCGTAGGTCGTATTGGAAGAAACTATGGGCGTGCCTATGGTCAACAAGACCGACGAGGAAAGGGCGTTGTTATGCAAGCTGTTTCTGACCTATCACTTGAGTGTTTTAACCGAGGGGATGCGGCAATTCATCCGCAACGTGCTCGGGGTGCATTAAATTCTCTACTTGTCCCTTATCAGCGAAAATATCGATGGAGGATATCTAAGGAATGATGAGCTTTATTGAATGGATTAGAAGATTAGAAGCGTCAACTTTTACGCAAGCAGCTATCAACCGTGTAGAATAGCTGGTATCAAGCGCAGAAAAGGGAAGGTCAAGGGTAGTTTATCTTATTAAAACTCAGCAAAGTTATAGATAGGTACCTAACCTATAGTTTATTAATGACAAGAGCGGATATAACAAGCTATATTCAGCGTTGGCGATTTGATTCTGAGTAGTCCTTGCAGGTCTTCCTAGGTTAGGTAGTTTATGTGGTCATATTCGTATCTAATAGTACGAAATTATAGCACCGTTCGGTTGGGTATAGTTCCTTTCACCTCCCAGGTCAACTCCAATCTGCGTCATCCGGTTTATTGTCTCACGCCCGTCCCATATTTTGTACTTGAGGTTAAAACTAGAAACCTGATATAACAAGGAGAGCTGGTTTCCTCTATCCAACTCTAATAGTTCCTTACTCGAGGTGATTAGTTTGCTTCTGAACACGTCATCTGCAATATACGCCCCTTTCAACCACCTACTTCCGGACCTAGTATTGAACTGCTTCCGACCGTGCAAGACGCGGAGGTTATCGAATACAACGCACTCTCCAGGCTGCATCTTGTATTCGTACATCCATTGCTTGCCTTCTAGGAACTGTCGGAATATGGTTGCGGCCTCTAGCCATTCGCGATGATTTTGGCTGCCACTGGCGGTCTTGGCTACGCGTTGAATGCTGGATTGGAACGGCGGGGACCAGGCTACTTGGTGGTGGAATTTGGTTAATTTGGCGATGACGGGCCGCGACATCTGATAATAATGCCCGTGCTTCTTGTACTGATACCGTATATGTTTGTTGAGTAGATATTCAAAGAGCGAGCGTGGCCCAAGATCCATTAGATGGGAGGCTCTGATGCCGTCGCTAAACATAGACTCGCCGCCCTCGCATGTGTTCTCAAGACAGTGTAGGAGTTGTAGACGAGGCGGATCTTGCATGTACAGTAGGTCTTGATGCAGTCCGAGAAAGGAGTTTGTATACGCTACGTTTTCTGCATTCGGCTTAGAGCGTACATCCCAAGTCCTCCCATAGAATGTTTCTTGAAGATTTCCGATCTTATTGGCGATAGATACGACCGACTCCTCAGAAGATGGCACGTTGCGTATGAAGATTAGTCCGTGGGTATGAAGTCGGTGTAATCCGGAGTAAAATCCATGCTCACCTGCTATCCAGTCGTCGTAATCAATAGTAAGACGGTCCCGTTGGAATAAATCATTATCCCATAATGTTATTCCGGGTAACTCATATTCGAGTCGCAAGGAATCAAGCTGATTAGCTGTGTAGTAGGACACATGATTACCGGATGATAGAAAATCCCCCTCCCAAATGACTCTAAGACCTCCTTCTTCAGTCGGTTGGATTGATTTGATATCGAGTTCGGTCGGGACATCGCAAGTGCCAAAGTTTTTCTGGCCAGAGTCTGGGTTCACACATATGCTGCACTGACAGGAGTCGCGCAACCAGTGACGATCCAAGACTAACGGTTTCTGGCCCGGATTACCAACGTATAATGAGTCGTCGTCCCTCAGTCGGACTAATGAATAACCTTTTTCTGCTTGGGTTTCTAGTCCTCTTTTATGCCCGATCGAAGTTCGACTTGGTAAAGTTTGGACTCTAAGCCGTGGAACAAAACCTCGCCCCGCGGTGCTGCATCCACGAGTTTGAGTTGTTGACTGAGATCCAACCTCATGTTTCCAACGTAACGAAATAGAGTTCCTGTTTGCTCTATTTATAAGAGTCTGGCGAAGACCAAGGCTTAAGGTGGACCCGCCAGAACATATCTGCAAACTTTTGGAGTTCAGCAAGCGCCGCGACATACTGACCATGAGTGTATGATAACTATGGCTAGAGATGAGGCATAGGCATAGCTAGTGGGAGAATGCCCACTTGGGGTTCGTGAAGAAAGAATGGCCCTAACCTAGTAAGATGAGCAAAAAGTAGAAGAAAAATAGAAGAAGCTAAAAGAAGCTAAATCTTTAGTCGCCATGCACAGACCAACTAACCGAGGCGCTCTTTTCCGGATCCACCCGGGAATGAACGATCCAATAGAAGAGGCTATTTGGAGCCAGCTGACAACTTCCTGTGAGTTTTAATACCTAAGATAGATAAACTACCTACCTAGGTAGGTAGGTACCTAATATCTCTATCATTCATCTTTAAAAACGCGACTTTTAAATTAATTCTTGCCTCAATGATCGAGTAACTATGAGCTATAACTATGAGATATACATATATATTCAACTTTGCTTCTTTGAATCAAAGGGAATGAGTGCAGTCCACTTCTTACTTCGAACAGCACGATAGTGTCTTCGCCCCTTAATATGTTTTTGCCACTGATCTTCCGACTGAAGAGAGACATCACAGAGTTCGCAAGTCTTGACTTTAAATGCTGTTTTCGGTGCCGAATTATCGTCGTCGTAGGCCGTCAAGACTTCGCGTGCCGTGTTTGACACTTCAATTGGTTTGGCTAAAGCATGGCCATTTAAGAACTGTAGGCATATTCTCGAAGCAGGCTCAAGAACACTGGCTGAGAAATTATCGGCGTTGGAGCTGTCTAATAGAAACAGAAAGTCCATTGCCTCATGATCTTTCAACGCGGGGATGGTTTTATGTCGGATCCATCGTAATTGATATCTTGCGTATTGTCTCGTCGCGGTTTTGATATCTTCCAATCCAGCTAATTTTAGTTGATCTGCTTCATTCGAGCTCTTTTCATTTCGTTTGGCCTCGAGGAAGGACTCCATCTGTTTGTATCCTATAGACTGCCATACTCCACGTGTGAGATCTACAGTTTCGCCTTGCTCGGACCGCACTCGCCGGCTTTCGTGCAAAAGCTTCACCTCATCCATTAATCCATTTTCGTACATCTTATCCACTCTCTTGTTAAGACGTTCTTTTAGTCCCTCGGGCTCGGCGTATACCCAAAACATTAACGACTGCCAGGGATGTCTCGTTTGGGTGAACAACGCCCTTGCTTGCTTCTGCTCAGTGTAAATATCCGATGCCCGTCTCCCCGTAGTTAGATATATTTCGAGGGAACGCCTGATCTTACGTCGATCCTCGGGGTGCCACCGATCTGCCGTGTCGGGGTCTACTTCTCGAAGGCGTTTAAACATGGCATCGGTGGGCCCATCCAAGATTGGAAATTGTGTTTTGTTTTCTTCTTGGGGTCGATGATTCAGAATATCATCGTTTGCGCCTTTTATGCTAATTAAACCGTCTTCGAATAATAGGGCATGAATGTAATAGTGTGTACCGCCTACTACGATAGGAAGCTTGCCTCTACGCCGGACCTCGTGAATAATTCTAGTTGCCTCGCGTGCGAACACTTCAACATTCCAAGTCGGCTCATTAGGGTCAACTGTTCCTAGTAAATGGTGTGGGACACCTTTTTGCTCCTCTGGTGTGAGTTGGTTTGTGATAACTGGCAGACCTTTGTACATCTGCATAGCATCGGCATTAATGACTTCGCCGTTGAACTTGAGTGCCAAATCTACCGCAAGCTATAATTAATATTAATTTTGACAAGCACGCAAGGAAGTGGTGGACGACGGTAGAAACCTACATCTGATTTTCCCGTACCAGTTGTGCCCAGAATAGCCACAAGAGGCTCCTTTGGAAATGTCGTGGCCATTCTCCGCACATTTCTGCTAAGGAGGTGGGTAAGTTTTCGTGCTGACGATATCATGGACTGTAAGTATATGCATCGGGAATAATTTGAGCCATCGAGAGATAACTTTTACTAATATAATTGTTTTGTTCTGGAATGAATATCTAACTACAGCAAATAATCGCTAATTTTGACATTAGGTACACTTAGACGCCACAGCCACATTTATTCAAGGGTGTGGCCTTCTGATTGCCCCACAGGTACCTACATTTAGGTACCTAGCGTATTTAGGTAATCAGAGTACCCAAGTATTGTACAATACATTCCCAACGTTCTATAAGAATCCATGCTCCTTCCAATTTAGACGAAAGTTCAAGGGTCCAGTCTGTTTTAGGTTCCCCCAGCAGGCCGGGTATCACGTTAACAAGATTTGAAGCTAAGGTGCAGTGGGTCACGTGCTGCCAGCTGTGCAGATTGGCTCCACCTATCGCATAATGGACACATAGTTCAATTTGGGGAATTTTTTGATGCCAGATCTTTTACCTGTCGACTTGAATCCTTCCTCTCCTTTACCTCGAGAGAAAACATCGCGACAACCTCTACACTAATAAGAGGGCCTTTGTCGCTCACTGCATTTACTTTCTTTTCTACCTTCTCCTTTATTTTATCTATATTCTCTAACATTTATCACGATGAGTAGCTGTAAGTATATCATGTTTACTCGTCTCCTCTGCATCATCCATCCTAGCTCCCTCCTATAGCCTGTGAACCCTGTGAACCCTGCGACGCGACTCAATCGCTGCCATTGACTCTTCCAATTAGCTAACTTCGTCTTCATCAGTGCGGTTTCTTGATCTCGTTAAGCCCTTCGTGGCATTCCTGCCCGAGGTTCAGCAGCCCGAGACCAGGGTTCCCTTCAACCAAAAGTTGATGTGGACAGGTCTGACGCTGCTGATATTCTTGGTCATGAGCCAAATGCCTTTATACGGTATCGTGTCGTCCGATACCTCCGATCCTCTATACTGGCTGCGAATGATGATGGCGAGTAACCGAGGAACACTGATGGAATTGGGTATTACGCCAATTATCTCCTCCGGCATGGTCTTCCAGCTCCTCGCTGGTACCCACATGATTGACGTCAACCTTGACCTCAAATCCGATCGCGAGCTCTACCAAACTGCCCAGAAGCTCTTTGCCTTCATCCTCTCTGCCGGTACTGCAACTGTCTACGTATTCACTGGTCTTTACGGCCCTCCTTCCGACCTAGGCGCCGGTATCGTCTTCCTCTTGATTCTCCAGCTTGTCGTCGCTGGTATGATTGTCATCCTCCTCGATGAGCTCCTACAGAAAGGTTATGGTCTTGGCAGCGGTATCTCTCTATTTATCGCTACCAACATCTGCGAATCGATCATGTGGAAGGCCTTCTCTCCCACTTCCATCAACACCGGTCGTGGTCCTGAATTCGAGGGTGCTGTTATTGCCTTGTTCCACTTGTTGATGACGTGGCCCAACAAGCAGCGTGCTCTGCAGGAGGCTTTCTACCGCCAGAACCTCCCTAACATCATGAACCTTCTAGCTACTCTGGCCGTCTTCGCCGCCGTTATCTACCTCCAAGGTTTCCGTGTCGAGATCCCCGTTAAATCTTCTCGCCAGCGAGGTGCACGTGGTTCCTACCCCGTTCGTCTGTTCTACACCTCTAACATGCCCATCATGTTGCAATCCGCCCTTTCCTCCAACATCTTCCTCATCAGCCAAATGCTCTACTCCCGTTTCTCCGAGAACCTCCTCGTCCGCATGTTTGGTGTCTGGGAAGCGAGGGAGGGATCTGCCCAGCTTTCTGCGATCTCCGGTCTTGTTTACTACATGTCTCCTCCGCTCAACTTCCGCGACGCTGTTCTTGACCCCATCCACACCGCCGTATACATCACATACATGCTTAGCGCCTGTGCTATCTTCTCGAAGACCTGGATTGAGGTCTCCGGTTCCAGCCCTCGCGATGTTGCCAAGCAGCTGAAGGACCAAGGACTCGTCATGGCTGGTCACCGTGATCAGAGCATGTACAAGGAGCTGAAGCGCATCATTCCTACCGCTGCTGCTTTTGGTGGCGCTTGCATTGGTGCGCTTTCTGTCGCCAGCGATCTTATGGGAGCTCTTGGCTCCGGAACCGGAACTCTTCTTGCCGTCACGTAAGTCTCGCTTACACATTCATACATTTTGTTTACTAATTTTTGCTTATAGGATCATCTATGGATACTTTGAAATCGCCGCGAAGGAGGGTGATCTCGCAGGAATGAAAGGGATGATCATGGGATAAGCCTTATGATCACTGATCTGAATTTCTAATCGACCGTTATAACGGCGCAAGGTCAAAGGTGCTATTCTTTCACGCTGCATGTAATACCAAGGGACAACAAAAGTCATGAGGATTTCCACAAGGGCGGCGGTGCTTGGAAAATGTATCAATGGCGGTCATCGGTCATTTTCGTCGAGGATTTTTTAAATTCCTCAGACGAAAAATGTATTAGCTTACGTAACAATATTAGTCATGAAAAGTACTAAGTGTATATCTTGTTATGGTCTTTGACGATGGATATTTCGTCTTATATTGATATTCCCGTCTGGAAGCCTAATACTAGCATCTAAATTTATCCAAACTCGGTAGATGCTGCTTAGTGAAACAAATTCACCACGAACCCAATATAGAGTGCCACTTGGCATTTGGTCCATACCATGAATTAAATAAAAAAGGATGACAAGAGCATTGTACAGTTTGGAAGAACAATAAAGAGAATTTTATAAGTCCTATTAAGCTCCTGTAGTTATAAGACTCATAATAAGTTCTCATCTTGAACCAAAATGTGTCATGGCGAAGTATACTCTTCTACATAGCACTAAGAAATCACAGAATAGGTGACCTTTTAGGTCATTTCACTACTGAAGCTATACAATCTGTTAAAGGGTTATAACCCCCCCCCTTTTTTTTGGTCTATTTTATTACTTTTCTACTTTTTTTTTCTTTTCTACGAATTAATTGACGGTAGTAGTTAATATAACGGCTCATCTATCATCGAAGCTAGCTTCTATTCCAAATACAAAAGTACTTGGATAGAACTAGATTCTTTTAGATGCATCCCGGGCATCTTGAATGTCCACAAAGCGCACATACGGGAATTTCCACCGGAATGCGGTTCCCGCATTGACAACATCCCCAAGCGCCGTTTGCCTGTAAGGAGGTGGGCTCCTGATGTACGAGTCCCTTACCTTGTGTCATAGCTCCACCAGCCATTGTTGATGTAAATAATAAAGGGTATTTTTTATGGGAAACGAAGTATAGTTTGTGGGAAGAGGAAGTTAATATTTCTTATAGGAAATAATACTCTTGAACTGAATAAGTCACTTATGGTGTTGTAAGGTGTGGAGTGATTGCTATGATTGTGAAGTTGAGAAGATTGTGTTTGTTGGATGATTCGATATCTCGATAGAAATCTTGCATGCTTATATAGAATTGATGGGGCAGGCTACTGCTATCTAACACATAAAATGTGTAGCTGTATTGATAGCTTGTTCCCGGACATACTCGTATTTTTCTGCATAACAAAGAAATTGGTTTCCTCAACTTTTCTCTCAACGTTGTTCAGCAAGTTCCACGCTGGTGAAGCTGTTCATATGCTGTAAACTCACAATATCGTTATGTATACATTCAACTTGTTTAACAAGTGACCTAAACCTGAGGCTATACCACAGATACTATGCTAGGTAGCGCATGCAGCAGAGAACCGATTAAAACCACAGGCCATAAGCAACAACAAAACAACCACTCCAATACAAACCATGGATGACGCAGTGAGGCTCAGCGCAGACAGGTTTCGTATTATATACGAGGAGAGCTTCAAACTATGGTCTAGCCTATATCATCGTGCCATCAAAGACCCCAGCTTGCCTACCTCTTATCTATCCCTTCCGGACTTATTTCGCCTACACCCCTCCTTCTCGAATAGCTTAGTCTTGAAGCACACCGAATATGCTAGTTATAGCAGCGTGTATGCCACCGGGTCCTCCACTTGGGGATCACAGCAGACGAACTGCAACTATGGGCCACCATCTTTTCGTCAACAGGTGCAGATTGATGTTATCGCACAAGATCCAATATTATTGTCCATCGCCAAGACATCAAATAACAACCTCAGCTTCGCGCCGTGGTTCATTGCTGGTCATCAAAACTATATCGCCGTCCTCACTTTGGCTTGGACTTATATTCTCTCTGCTCGCTGGGTCGAAGTAATGTCCGAACCTTGTTCTCTCGTATATTCAAGCAATAGTGCAGCAGACTATGAAGATAGCATGACAAGCTCTGAAGTTGATCAGGACGTAGTCAGCGTGGACATTGGTGATGTTAGCTCGGATAAGTTTAGATGGTGGGCTGCAATTCTGGCCCCTGAACATGGTTGGCAAGCAACTATGATTTCGAGGGGGCGCATATTCCTGTCTCCTTGGTCAATTCGCCTTCAATCTGGCCCGAGGTTTTCGTTATTATACAAAGCAACGTCGTCAGCTCCTCCACGCCTGTCCCACTCAGCCCCGTCATTTCGAACCGCTAGCCGTTTTCTTTATAGCTTCTGTTTAAAACATAATATTTCAGATCAGAGCTATGCTGCACTCGCTGCCGTCATACTGTTTCCATCCATGGAAAGCAGTCAGCCACTACAACTACCAGCTCCCGCGATTAACGGCCGGAACAACCCAATGATAACCACAGCTTCCCGAATTTCGCAACATCTTCACTATGAACATCAACCGGGACATGAATGGATGTGCCAAGGAAACCACTTAGACAGGCTTTTAACTTTAAGCTGTAATATTAGGGGTGTACGATCAATGTTGCTCAGTGTCTTCTATGACCCCGGCATAGAATGCAACGCTGTAACCCCTTGGCTTCAAGGAGCGGTAGCTTCCATTGATTCTCTAGCTTTAGATAAGCCCCTTATTCTTGGGCGGATGCTTATGGATCGATCACCGAAGCTCTCTTTCCTATGGCTCGGTATCACTATCCTTGGGTTGCAGAAGAAAGTCTTACAAGACGCACGATGGGGGCTCATCCCAATTGACCTTCACTCTTCCGTATGGTCGTGGACGGTGCAATCATTTATGCAACAACCTATATCTTATCCTTTAGTGGTCAAAGGATCTATATCCCGCGCCGATGAGTGTTGTCTGCCCTTCCTTTCTCAATCTGGGTTTCACAGCAGGGTCCCTCCCTGTCAATGAAAGCCGTTTGGGAATACTCCACTCAATGACACTGATTTAGAAGTACGAATTCATTCCGAATGCAAAGGTCATGGACTTCAATATAGCGGCTTTTCCTGGGATTGTATCACCGATGAAGTGCCATCGCAACCCACGAGTAGCATTGCTACATACACGCCGCTAGGTCTATCGCTCACACAGAGCAGTGAAGACATAGAAGAGGTTAATGTTGACTACACAAAGCTGGATCGTGAACATGAGGTTATATCAGAAAATGCAACTCGAAATATCTTCAGCTGGCTATGCATTGATGGATATGCATCACACGAGAAGGATATTTGGGAAAGTAAGTGGTTTGAAATCTTAAATTCTGATGATGACGACGACGAAGAAGATGAGAGCGGGGGCAGTTCTTACAACGGAGGTAGGCATTCCTCGCGTGTAAAGTCGTGGATACTCGAGTCATCTATAAGTGCGCCATCCCTTAATTAGTATAGACTATTTTGTGTTCTCTATGCTGCCTTCATGATTTCCACCGCCCTTTTCAATCTACATACGCGATTATCATCAACATAGTCACTTTATGTTATCTATATAAATGTTGCTATAGAAGTACGGATAGTCTAGGCACCATTTGCAAAGGACCTCATCACCTACCTCTGCACCGTAGATATTTAGAGTGGTTATCTATATAATCCAGCATATTTCAGACTGCTTACGATAACATAGGTATAATAGAAATTCAGACTAATTATCGTCATTGATAAGTATATAAGAAATGCTAACGATACATCTAAATATGAGCCGACACGGGTGTAATAACAAAAGACTATAGTTGTGAATAGCTTGTTGTCCCCCTCTCCCACAATCGTGAGAGCCCCCAAATACTTATAAGTTACATAGGTAGGTAGTAGATTGAATATTGGTGGCATCACAATCACTACCTCACACACTACACCATGAGCCAACTAAGAAACTGCCGAGCTTCTTAAGACCCGGGTAACCGGATAGCCCCTGTAAGAATACACGGGCGGTTACTATCAAAGATTGGTATACCACAAAACCTTAGTGACTCCGGATAGGACCGAGGTCAACTGTCCATCGAAGATCTGGCTAATACCATTGGGCTGATACTCCATATTTATAAAAATTATTATTCGACGATGCAGCAGGGCATAGGGACGGGAAATTCACATTGGCATTTGGGTATGCAGTTTGATTTGGAATTGCCGAGCCAGCCAGGCAGAACATCCCGAACTGCTTACAGCATATGCGAATTTATAGAAAACCTCAAAATTAATGGACTGTAATTGGCAAGATAGGAGTTTTGAGGAGCCTGGGATTGGAGTATCGTATGTGATTCGCGGAAGACTGTAGTATCCGCCACTGGCTAAATCTATTAATATAGAAGCAATTCTAGATTAAACAACTAGGATAACATGCAGCGGCATATGGAAGAAGTAGTCACTGAACCGTGTATTTAGGAGTTATGTCCCAGGTTATCGCGCAATGGGTCAGCACCTTTCTACTACAAGCTTTCGATCCTCGTAGACAGCAACAGCCATTTCGCCCAAGATGCAGTGGAAAGCCCTCGCTCTTGCGCTCCTCGTCGAGCATGGCTCCGGCCAAATGTTGGAGATGCTGCGTTTCAGTTGCTCGCAGCTCGTTGTCGACCGTTTGGATCCTTTAGTTTCACCCGGCTCTATCCCATCACCGCATCTTCACCAAATCGTCGGAGGTAACTCCTTTAACGCCACCATGGAGCCGATAGCACACGACCTGCCCTCCTCATCAACATGCACCAGCTGTACTTTCTCGGAAGACTTTTCCAACTACTGGACGGCGGTTCTGTTTTTCAAAGCCCGCAACGGGACGTACAAGCGGGTTCCTCAATTCGTCAGCGAAGGCCTCCGAGCCGACGGCGGCATTACGATTTATTATATCCCGTCGACTGACGCCAAGGAAAAAGTTACCGCTTTTAAGCCCGGCTTCCGCATGCTTGTTGGAGACGCCGCGTTACGCTCCCCAGGCGAGGCACGCAAGGTGTGCCATCGCTGTATGCCGGCGACAGGAGACAACAGCAACATAAACTGCGGGGCTCCGGACAGCCAGGAATTGCCTACGGGGTTCTGCGAAGGAGGTATACGCTCAGTCATCACCTTCCCGACCTGTTGGGATGGGAAGAACCTGGATAGCCCGGACCATAAGAGCCATGTTGCCTATCCCAGCCCGGGATCCGGTGACGTCGGTGTTGGCGCATCTGGTACTTGCCCTGAAAGCCACCCCGTTAAGATACCCCAAGTGATGTTCGAGGTTATGTGGGATGTAAGTTTTATTAATATATCTTCTCACTCGATGTTGGAGTGACTGAGTTACGCTCTCAACTCAACCCCACCAAGGATGCCGTATAAGATCCATTTGCTGATATCGTATCCGTCACAGACCCGACCTTTTAACGACAAGAGCATATGGCCCGAGGATGGCTCGCAGCCATTCGTATGGAGCACAAATGACAAGTTAGTCTCTAGAAGCACACCCGTCGGGCAAATTATTCTAACAACAAACGTGCAGGGATGGATATTCGCAGCACGGAGACTACGTCTTCGGTTGGAAAGATGATTCGCTCCAACGAGCCATGGATTCTCGATGTAATGGCGCCGTCTGCAATCAGTTGAAGACCCAGTCCTCGGAGGAAGCAATGAAGTGCACCAAGCCGCGTGTTGTCGAAGAGGATGTTGACGGATGTAAGTCATGTCTCCTACCTAGCTTTTATATAGTATTCCAAAGTTCCTAGTTAAGCTAACAACCTTATAGGGTTAACTGAAATCCCGGGCATGTCAATGTAAATTGTTATTATAAAACGATAGCTTTGCTTTAAATTTACGAAGGGTTATGCCTTGATTTTATAAAAGGCTATTATACATAATAACCCTCCTAAAAGTCAGGCAAAGTATACCTTTATTTATCCAGACATGGATCAATGGAGGATACATGCATATAATTAGGTACCTTTATTACTTCTTATTTATTACGCCTCTTTGTGTGTATACGCCCCATCTGCTGCATCCTGTCCAAAAGTAAACAGACTGGCGGCTTAACGCCCCATTAAATAATGTTGAACATCAGAGGGACCTGTATTTTCGCACCTTTCTCTACCAATAGCCGGACCATCCTTTTGCGCCCGTATCTTATTGCCCACGCTAACGGCGTTTCTCCTGCGCTATCCTTAACCTCCAGGTCACAATCAACTATATTTTCGATTTCTCTTAGAAGATCAAAGTAGCAAGCTATATGTAACGCAGTTGCTTGCCCTGTGCTAGGGCGATGTAATGGGCTCGTCCACATGAAGAATTCGGCTGGCACTTTGACTGGATCTGGACTTTTCAAAAATGACAGGACCTCCTGGCATAACGGACTGGCACGGACATGATGCCCCAAACTTTCTATAACATACTCATACAAGGGGTTTGACCAAATTTGCTCTTGGACCCCGCCTGAAAACCATTGAAAAGAAAGGTACGCAACGCAGACTTTCGTTATAGAGAGTTGCGCTTCTGGAAACCATCGGTCTTGTGTTCTTTCAAAGTATTCTTGGACTGTATAGTGAACTAACCGAATAATATTGCTTTTTTCGTCGATAGTGACTAGCCCAGCACACACCGAGAGCATCAGTCCGATATCTACGATATTGTTTTCGTCAATTTCTTGGTCGCCAACCTCGACGGCAAGCGCATGTTGGATCTCCAAAGTGGTTAATGGCCTTTTGGCACAGGTGATCCACGATAAAATCCGGATCGCGAGATCTTTGAAACCTTCTTCTTGCCCATTTATTCTTTCCATCGCCGTCTCATAGGCACTATTGAGGATTTTTATCTTATTTTCTTCCGTTTGCAGTCCGCTTTGCTTTCCAAAATCATCCAAAGCGGTCTTAAGCTTCCTGGGGGTTGTCTTCGAGCGAAGAGATCTAAGGTATAGTTGTGCCAATAGGAACCTAAGTAGCCATCAGCACCTGTTCTACTTATCCAATGCTATTCTAAATACACCTACATTCCATCGGCTGCATCTGAAATAGTACGTATAATTTCGTCTTTTAGTCCTGGTTTCCCAGCAACGAAGGACGGTAACTCCTCTATATGATCATCAACGTACTTCTCCACATCCGCCTTGCTTGCGCGGATCTCCAACGTCGTATAGCCTTTGAAGCTCGCCGTGATATCTGGAATGAACCTCGAGGTAGCTAGAAAGTTCGTCTCGTGCTTTTGTTGGATATTAAAGATGCCTGAGATAAGTTTGGACCCAGTACCATTAGACACCTGGCACTCATCAAGTGCATCGACGATAACAAACACTCTAGAGTAAGAAGAGATGACTGTTTCCAACGCTCCAGAGACCTCATAGTTTGATGGTCGCATCCCATCTCGTCCATAGCCCTTGTAGAGGTTCTTTACCGCATCCGGGAGGGATGGTCTCCTTTGCGCAAGCTGTTTAAGTAAACTCAGGGTTATATCTGTCATTGTCTGCCTAGACTGTCGTCGAAAGTTGCAGTAGATATATGCAATGCCAACCCCATTATCGTCTTTAAATCGACTAAAGAGGTCATCAACAACTATAGAAGACAGAATTGTCTTGCCAACACCAGGGATACCTGGACAGAACAGCGTCTGCTTCTTCGTATCCACCCATGATCGATACTCTAGCGAGTTAAGAAACCAGATCCCAGTATCCGGCTGCCTTCGGCTAATGAAATCTGTTTGCTGAGCATCATAGTCTATTGGGGTAAGCCAGTCAAGAATCACACGGCGATCCTGGTCTTCCTGACTTCTTGCTAGATTATTGATGGTACGACTAGAGCATTGCTGTTGAAATGAGACTAGTAATTGAATATTCGAAGTTATTCGGCTTCGAAAGTCTCTGATTTCGCTAGCGTCCCACCTAAGCCGTTCCCATACCCTTTTCCCTCTCTTGATACCATGCTGTTCTGATCCCAATGTATCATACTTCGAGATTGCCTTTCTGAGATCGTCTAGGACGCGTTGACAGCTACTCGTAAACTCGCCGAGGTTGCGTTTCTGCTCGTCGCTGAGCTCCTGGTTTGATATGTCATCATCATCTTCAACGTCTTGAAGTATGATCATGAGGCTTCTGATCCTACGGAAAATTTAGTGCTCTTCCATCATAGGTGCCCAACGTTCGGAGACCGACTCAGCCGAAATCTCTTGAAATTGACTCGGAGCTCCGGCAAACTCCTTTCGGACTTTGCTAGCCAGCTCAATGACCGCAAGAAAGTCACCGATACTAAAACCGAAACTCATATTTACAGTAACCTGATCGTATTGAGATCTCAGTGTAGAAAAGATACAGGTGCGGTATTCTTAAGGAATAAGTCTTGAGAGGCAGACTGGATTTGGGGGCGCGGTTTGAGGTGTTTGTTCTCGCACAACCACACTCATCCAATTATCTACTTTTAATTGGCTACGGATGGGCGAATCAATTATTAAGGGAGAGATAAGAGATATAGGCAAAATGAAGCATAAAAGGGTTGTTCCGTAAATTCAAGTTATATTGGAGTTTTAGACTCCAGCATTCATATGAACCTGATATTGAACTGGTGTGGTGCCACATCGCCAAGAGCAAGGGTATTATTATGTAATCTTAGGTCACAGGCCATATAAAGGTCTAATATTCGTCGTATTCTTCTGATCAGATAGCCACGATCATCATCATTCAGTTATGCATTCAATATAGACACATTCGTTATTTTCCCATATTTACAGCTTATGGCCCTATCTTGCGTATTTATCTTATATATCCTATCCGATCAGTAGATCTTTACAGTTCTTTCAGAGTATAGTGCTATCATCAGCTGTTTAGGGCCTTTCACGAGGATCTAGACGTTGAAGTGATATGCCATACTCTGCAGGAGATACCAACTCCTGTTCAATATTCTATTGAGGTTAATAGGACGTACATTATCAACCAGCATATTAACAGTAGACCTCACGACCATACTGAAAGAAAATTCACCACAGTTAGTAACCAATTTAAGCTCAGCCATCGTAGTAGAGCCTTTGCTCTCCGGTGAGAGTGTGCGTTATATCCAATCATGGCGGTCCATACACTGAGTACCTGGTACGTTAGTTGAACCAATTAGATTTTCAACTTACTAGCCTAGTGAGCAATGTGCGATTCTCGTACTTCGGGAGACAGCATTAGTGCTTAGGGGGTATGAATACAAAATTGAAGAATCTATATATAAGAGTCTGTGGGTACCTAAAATAATTGAATGTCTGAAAGTAGAAACAACTAACATTTTATATCTCGCCTTTTTTCATACTTGGGAAAGCATGTTAATAAGCATTTTTCATATGTTCAGCCACTAAGATTGGCAGTGTCTCAATAAGCTGTATCCATGTACCCAAAGGCCGTCTTTCAACCAAGGTGAGAGATATTAACATATGTATCGTCAGGCTTAAGCATAAAGTAGGGTCTGATGACACGGGAACCCCATATCATGCAGTCGGTCTAGATCACGGTGTGAGAAAGGTAGGCGAGTATCCGTCAAACATACGCATGTCGGGGGTAGTGGTGGTAAAGAGTGCGGATATAGATATATGCTTTTTCTGTCTCTTGTTTCCGACCTTCGGCATAGCTCCCTAACCTATCATATTGGATCACTTACTGCCATGTATCTATAAAGTTTGAGATACATATGTACAAAGCCGTTAAACTTGCATACAGCATAACAAATCATGCCTGAGACATTTCAAAGTTCGAACCGAGATGGGTAGCCATGTGTAAAGACAGTGTTGCATACCTAATATACTGGATTATAATATGTCCTCAAGTGGTGTAAGTTATCTCCAACCTTTAATCGGCATATAATCGACATAATTTGACAAACAGGGCCAATTAAAAGTGTTGATTGCTTTAGGTAGTCTCATGCATGCAGGCAGTACTTGTATGTACTGTTTACGTAAGCTTGACCGCACCTTAAAAGGTGCTGCGCTTTAATTAAGCATTCGGCTAGTAATTAAGGATTGATCCGAAGTACATCCGAAGAGGCGTGTCTCTTTTATTTTGGGGTATTTTCCAACTTTCATCCATTTTCATATGTATTATCATAATTTCTTTTCCTTGGGCTTTGTTGACCCCGCATAAGTTTTAAACGCGAAAAGGAACCGGTGAGGTCGACTGACACACCCCACTTAGCCTGCATGTTTGATGCAGCAGGTTCAAACGTTATTTGCTTCCCCAACTCCCTGATTCCCCTGTTCCTTTTTTAAGTGATTAAGTGCATCAATAAGTTTGCCATTGCGACAGAGCGTACATTATGAAATACCCTAACCTAGTAGAAAGATTTTACTTCCACGTTTAAGTAGTTGAAACCAACTAAACCACATTAAAGAATAAGTGTTTAACCTAAGGTATTAGTATTTTACAATTTGCAATATCTCCCTGCTTAACCTTAAGTACCTAAGGTATTTGGTAAATAGCTGACTTATTAGTTAAGGCTAACAATATAAGAAATAACGTAGATCGAGATAGGTTGCAGATCATCTGGTTATAGATGCATGTTCAACGTTACAACTAGCCATTCGTAACTAAAGTCAGCACACCTCTATTATTTACTTCTAGGCCAATTGTAAATAATGATATCATTTGCGGCGGCGAAACGTTCGAGATCAGGTGGTGGGTACCACAAACATAAAGAGGTGTGACGAGCTTGAATACATATTTGCAGGGGTATGTTTAAATTATCTTGGGCATAGTATCGGGGATCTTTATATCACTGTTCGGAAGTTTTCAATGACTTACTTTTAATATGATCTGGTTTCCAAGACAGACGAATAAAGCGTGATTACTCACATACCTAAACTATAATACCTAGGTACCTAGGTTAGGTAGGTAGTTACTATCTTTATAACTAACTACCTGAAGTTTTTGTTTTACATATCTCCGTACATACATAAATACCTACCTAACCTACCTAGGTATGTTTGCGCCGGTATACTGCAACGGGTATAGTATAGAATGCTAGGTTAGTACAATCGTGTAACGCACCTTAGTCACCTACCTCATATCTATGTAATAAAGTGCCAACTGTATATTGCGAAGGCAACTGCATTCGGAACGTGTTTAAGGTGGGATAGTGGATCTGGCTCGCGTGCTAGCCGAGAGTTAAGGATTCTAAGCTTGGTCTAGTTAGGTCCGTTATCAGGAACGAACCAGTCTAGCTCACCGTAAATCCGTAATTGTATGTATCTCTTCGGATCAAGGCAGTTACATAGATCTTGTACATACATATCTGCCTTCCCCAGGTACATATCGTCACTGCATATATGTACCGGAATACACCGCGCCAATGAATAATCACCTGTAATGCCCCATATGCGGAGAACTATACTCACTAAGTACTGACGGATACATACTATATGATATATGTTTGGAGGTTGCGCTCGGGTATTAGCAAGCCTACTCGGCCCCACTAATAGAAAAAGCTACATAAGGTTAGCTCTAGTGTTAAGCTAGCTCCTGTATATTTTATCATCCATCAATCGCAGCATCTTTTGGACTCTTTTATGCTATCTCCCGCTCCACTCCCCCCCAAAAAGTTTCCCGATTCGCACGCAGCCATCATCATCATCATCTTCTTACCTCTTCATTTCTTCCCGTTCGCGACAAAGACCATAGTCACGTACCGCTGCGAGTAGCTGTGTTGACTACTCTCCTCGACAAGAAGTCAATTGATTGTAGGGACCGATAATACTACCACATCAATCTGGTGATATCGTCAAAGCTTTCTACCACTTTCTCGAGTGGGGCCGGGGAGACGTAGAGGAAACATGAGCTTTGCCTCGTGTACATGGCCGATATGGCGGACTGATGACTTCACGACATGTTTTCAATCCGAGTTAGTACTTCTTTATACTCTTGTCCAAGTTTAACGTGTATTGCGCCTACTAACGGCTTAAAAGCTATCTTCAGATTCTCTTCCCGTTTATACTAATATCTCTCTCTATCCTTCACCTCCTAGTACAGACTATCTACCGCAACGTCAGATTAAAACGAAGACACGGTTACGACCAGATACCCGACCATCAAGATCATACCGAGGTGCCTCCGGAAGAGGATGACTGTCTAAGCACCGATGACGATGAAGGACTGGCTATCAATACAAATGGCGGTGGGCGTCTTGCCCTGGTTAAGACCACCTCCAAAGGCTCTATCGTACAAGCCGACACTCCGCCTGCTCAAGACCTATTGGTGATTGTCGAAGAGGTCGCAATATGCGGGCTGGTAACTATCAATGTTATCGCCCTCATCACCAATTCTTTTAGTGGCCGTGGGCAGCTTGCTGCTATCGTGGGCTTAGTCACTTGGGTGTATGTCTTGGTCCTTGCAACGCTTCGATTATTTCTGAGAAACACCAAATGGCGAGTCCCGCGGCTATGGAATCATACCGCTTTTATATACGGATTCCAGTGGCTCTTTACTATTGTCATATTTCGCTCCGTCCTAATTCATGCCAGCTCTAAACTTGTGCAGGTCCTAATTATTATCGAGTTTTGCTTAATAACTCTACTATTTGGGATAGCTTTGAACACTAGGAAGGGCAACAAGACAGTTGTCATGGAATGGGAAGGGAACCTCGAGCCATCGCGCGAGCCTCTAGCTTCTGTATTGTCCCTAGTGACATTTTCTTGGATCGACTCTATGCTATGGCAAGGCTACAAGGAACCTCTCGAGATTAAACACGTGTGGAACCTCTTGCCGCGCGATAAGGCCGCTACTGTGCTCGCCAACTATCGCCAAGTTAAGAAGACGACATCTCTCGCTCTACACTTACTGAGGTATTTCAAGGGCCTGGTTATTCTTCAGTGCGCCTGGGCTACGCTAGGTGGTATTCTCACATTTGCTCCGACTCTTCTTCTCAAGGCCATCCTTGAGTACGTCGAACTACCGACGATCGCCCCAAGAAATGTTCTTTGGCTTTACGTTATCCTACTACCTCTATCAGACCTCATCCGCTCTATCGCCGATAATCAAGCCTTGTGGATTGGCCGAAAGATTTGCATCCGGATCCGCGCTATCATTATCGGTGAGATCTATGCTAAAGCCCTCCGGCGCAAGGCGGCAAGCGGCAAAGATGCCGTTCTCGGCGATAATGATGCGAATAGTATTAAAAAGACGAAGATGGAGAGACTAAAGCAATTCTTAAGACTAAAAAAGAAGGCAGATAAAAATAGCAATGCTCAGAATGGTGATGTCGCTAAGAAAGACGGATCTAAGGACACAGACGAGCAAGCAAATCTGGGAACCATCATCAATCTCATGTCAGTCGACAGTTTCAAGATTTCCGAGTGCACTTCATACCTGCACTTTTTACTGGCCTCTGCTCCCTCGCAGCTTATCGTATCTGTTGCTCTTCTTTACCAAGTCATGGGTTTGAGTGCAATTCCCGGTCTTATTGTTATGGTCTTCCTCTTGCCAATTAATATCCTGCTTGCCAAAGGGTTCAACTTGACTCAGCGTAAGATCATGGCTGCAACGGATAAGCGAATACACACCACTAACGAAATCCTCCAAAATATCCGGATCATCAAATATTTTGCCTGGGAAAAGCGGTTTAGTGACGTTGTCGATGAGAAGCGACGAAATGAACTGTTAGCCCTGCGGAACCGCTATATGATCTGGGCCCTTGCTGTTGCTATTTGGAATACTGTGCCGGTTCTCATTACGTTTTTCTCCTTCTTAGTCTATACCAAGATCGAACGAAAGCCCTTGTATCCTTCCATCGCGTTTACCGCAATATCTCTCTTCATGCTCCTAAGAGTGCCTCTGGATCAACTTGGAGACATGATTGCTCATGTTCAAGAGGCAAAGGTTTCAGTTGATCGAGTCGACGAATTTCTAAACGAGGATGAGACAGATAAATATAAGCAGCTAGGGCCAGACAATGTAGATGAGAACGGCAACAGAGTCATTGGCTTCAGAAATGCAACATTCATCTGGGGTGGCAAAGATGCCGTTGCATCAGATGGTTCGATGGCATTCCGCCTTCTCGATCTTGATATCGATTTTAGGATCGGCAAGCTCAATATCATTGCCGGCCCCACAGGATCTGGGAAGACCTCGATGCTCATGGCTTTGCTCGGTGAAATGACTCTGACGGAGGGCAAGATTTATCTCCCCGGTGGCCGTAGTCGTGAGGACGTTCGACCGGACCCCGCGACGGGCTTAACTGAAACTTGCGCCTATGTTGCCCAGACCGCTTGGTTAGTAAACGCAAACATCAAAGAGAACATTCTATTTTCAGCCCCGTACGACGAGAAAAGGTACAAAGATGTCTTGGTAGCCTGTGCCCTGGAGCGAGATCTCGAAATCTTAGATAACGGCGACGAGACCTTGGTTGGAGAAAATGGCATCACGCTCTCTGGTGGTCAAAAGCAACGCATATCTCTTGCCCGCGCGGTATATTCAAATTCCCGACATCTCCTCCTCGATGATTGCTTGAGTGCCGTTGACTCGCATACCGCCAAATGGATCTTTACTAAATGTATTAAAGGCGAGCTGATGAAGGACCGTACCTGTATTCTTGTTACCCACAACACAACTCTATGTGCTCCCCAATCTGAGTATGTCGTTCTACTTGACAACGGTAAAGTAGATGCGCAAGGAACGGCCAAAGACGTCATCGCCTCCGGAAAGCTTGGCGAAGAGATACGAAATAAATCTCGCCCGGGATCTTCTGATGTCTCACGTGTCCCCTCTAGAGTACCATCGAGTGTCGGCGATGAGAGCGACCAGACTCTCATTGACCATGGCGGGAATGGAGCAGCCAGCGCAAAAACTAATGCCAGGGAAGAGAAGCCACAGCGGAATGCCATGCAGGAGACCAAGGCTACGGGTGCTGTCAAGTGGTCAGTCATCAGCCTCTATCTGCGAGCAATGGGTACGTGGTGGTTCTGGGCCATAGCTGTTGTGGTATTTGGTAGTCAACAGCTTAGCGGTGTCGCCTCGAACCTGTGGATCAAAGAATGGGCCAACCAGTACACCGCAAGCCTCGGAACCGTATCTCTGTCTGGAATACAATCCAGCATGTCTCCGCCGCATTCTTCCAGTTCGTTTCCATTGCCGGCTTATTTCGCGTCTGCTACCAGTTTCGTCAAGAATACATCTTTCCTCACTCCTGCAAGCTACTCACCCGGTGACGTACCGGAAGTCAACGTTGACTACTACCTCGGTGTACTTGCATTGATTGGTATCGCTGGCGCAATCCTAGCATTGATCCGCGACATCTGGCTTTTCTTCGGATCGCTTACCGCATCTTGGAAGCTTCACAATAGACTTATGTCTGCCGTGTCTAGGGCGAAGTTCAAGTTCTTTGACGTAACGCCGCTTGGCCAGCTGATGAATAGGTTTAGCAAGGATCTCGAGGCCATCGACCAAGAAGTTGCGCCTGTTGCTATTGGTGTTATGACTTGCGCTGTTGCTATTTTGATTACTGTGGTGCTAATAGCAGCCATTACCCCTGGATTCTTGGTCGCGGGCATATTTATTACTGGTCTATATATCTTAGTCGGTATGTTTTATCTCCGAGCATCCAGGGATCTCAAAAGGCTTGAGTCAGTGAATCGAAGCCCTCTCTTCCAGCAGTTCGGCGAGACCCTCTCTGGCGTCACTACCATTCGTGCCTACGGCGATGAGCGACGTTTTATTCGGGAGAACCTGACTAAAATCAACACGCAATCTCGTCCGTTCATCTACCTCTGGGCTGCTAATAGATGGCTGGCGATTCGAACGGACCTCTTAGGTGACTTTGTATCGTTCTTTGCTGGTGTTTTTGTCATCCTCAGCCTAGGGAATATTGATGCCGGCTCCGCGGGCGTATCTTTAAGCTATGCTATTGGGTTCTCCGAGAATATCCTTTGGCTCGTACGACTCTATGCCGCGAACGAACAGAACATGAATTCCGTCGAGCGTGTCAAGGAATACCTCGACGTGGAGCAGGAGGCCGAGCTGATTATTGAAAAGAACCGTCCTCCCCAGAACTGGCCCGCACACGGAGCAGTGGAATTCATCGGATATTCTACGAGGTACCGCAAGGAGCTTGACCCAGTATTAAAGAACGTTACTTTCAAGATCAATCCCCGCGAAAAGGTCGGCATTGTTGGACGTACCGGTGCTGGAAAGAGTTCTCTCACGCTAGCAATTTTCCGAGCTCTAGAAGCAGAGAGCGGCAAAATACTCATTGACGATATTGATATTAGTTTAATTGGCCTACAGGATCTCCGAGAAGCTGTCACCATTGTGCCCCAAGACCCGACTCTTTTTACTGGCACTATCCGAACAAATCTGGATCCTTTTGACCTTCATACGGACGAGGAAATTTTTGCAGCTCTCAGGAAAGTTCGACTCGTCGGGCCAAACGAGGCTCTTCCGCTGACCCAAAACGATGGGGCCCAGGACTCCCAAGCTCCTACTACTCCAACTTCACCGACAGCGAACAAGAACATCTTCCTTGATTTGTCTTCATCAGTTGCGGAGTCGGGTACGAATTTGTCTCAGGGCCAGAGGCAACTACTCTGTCTTGCTCGCGCTATGCTGAAGAATCCCAAGGTACTCGTGATGGACGAGGCCACAGCGTCAATTGACTACGCCACGGATTCTAAGATCCAAGAGACGATCCACGAATTGAAGACGACTATTATCACGATTGCGCACCGTCTCGCCACCATTGTTGATTACGACAAGGTGCTCGTTTTAGACCATGGCGCCGTTGTAGAATACGGTCATCCCTACGAGCTTTTACAAAACGAGGATGGAAACTTTAGGAGCATGTGCGAGATGAGCGGGGATATGGATACATTGGCAAAGTCGGCTAAAAAGGCCTGGGCCGATAAGAAGCTTGTGGACGACGAGTAGGAAAAGGTCCGCATACGTACCAACCCTGATCATGACGGTTTAGGGGCAGTCAGGATTCCTACCACCAGGATACACCGTTAATAAGGTGAAGCGGGTGCTTCCCAGGACACTTTAATTATTGGCATTGACAATTGGCAGGCTGTACGACAGACGGTCTACACTCGGGCGTGGCGTGTCTATATATAGATAAGTTAGAGACCGCCAGCGATATGTGTTTATATGAAATAAACCCGTTTTGGAATGCATGTACGTTTGTGAGTTCATGTTTATCCTTATCGTCGCTACATATTTTTACTGGAGATTGTATATGTACCTGAAAGATATCTACTGAATATATATAATAATCATTGATACCATAAAACGTTCTTACTTGAGCGTCCATGTTTTCGTAGAGATGAAAGATCCACTAGTTTTCAATTGGTACGTAGGTAGGTAGTTATAGTAGCATCTGCCTACCTTATAATCTGCCATAGCTACCGATATTCATCCGGAGTAACCCATGTAAACAAGTGTATCTATCAATCGGACCAGCCCTTACTATATATAAGACGCCAGGCAGTGTGGGACTTAGACTATAAGTCTCTTAAACCGTCTGTTCACGTTTAACAGGTGGCTGTATAAGATATAAATTGTTCATTAGGATACACCCGCTCTATATCATGTATTCTCCTATTGATCCTTCATCTTAGATATTGTCTATATGCAAGGCTTCGTATAATTTCATTACAAGTTACTTGGACATACAACGACACAAGTAAAAGCATACCTACCTACCTAGATACGCATTGATATTACAGAACCTTTACTCATGAATATCAGAGACGCAAAATTCATTACGCAGGACCAAAGTCTTATACGACAACATAATACACCAAGCAAACGCCATTTCTGGACTTTTCAATGTTAATCCGATTCATGTACATGCAGGCAAGTGAAGACTATACAATACATAACGAGCGTCGCTATAGGCGTATTACAGCCACCAAAGGTACACCCTATGCTTTGCTCTGCTTTTTAACCTTTTCCCAGTGCCGCAACTCGATGAATACATTTTTTTCCCCTTTCCAAGCCCTCGTGATGACGAATGGATTACCCCCACCCTATTTACTTATCCTAACGCGTACCACATGAAGCCCGCTAGCAGGCAGTAGACAGCCTTAGTGAAAGGGTCTGCTATGCAGCCAGGTTCTACTCAGAGGCCTTGGCCTTGGACTTGCTGCTGGCACCGCTCTTGACACGGCGCGCGGCAGGGCGGTTCAGGTGGTCCGAAGGGATCCAGCTCTCGTCGTAACCCTTGTCGGTGCCAGTCGCAGAACCTTCGCCTCCAGATAGGGGCTCCTTCTCGGCAACGGGGGCAGGAGTGCGGCTCTTCTTGCTAAGTTTGGTGCTAGGTGCGCGTTTAGCCTGGGGGAAGAGAGCCTCGATGTAGGTCTTGTACACGAAGTAGCTCGTGCCGGCGAAGGCAGCGGTAAGAACGACATATAGGAAGATACTATAGTGACGGCGTTAGTGGGTTTCGGTCGTAGGAGTGCAAGATGCGAAACAGTTCAAGAGGCTAGAGAAAGAAACTTACATCTGAGGATCGAAAATGCTGGTAGGCGCCTCGACGATGCTGACGGTCTGGTCGTACACACCAACCTGGAAGATCTGGTTGGCAGAGTTGCTAACGACAGCAATGATCTGTAGGCGCACATCCTGGGGCAACATATCAAGTACGAAGGAGTAAGGAAGCGACTGCTTCTCGCCAGCGGGGATGGCGGTTTCGTAACGGACGGTGGTTAAGTTACGAATAACGGAGGCTGTAGGGTTGTCTCCGGGAGTTAGGGCCTTGGGGCTGAGGAGCTGACCACCAAGGAAAGCAATCAAAATGGGCTCGTCCTCGTTGTTGGTCACATCGATCACGGCTTTGGTCGGGCGGCCATTGACAAGCTTCACGCCGAATATGTCATCGGCTTCGGGGAAGGTAGCAACAACCTCGGCCTTCAACTTGACCTCGGGAGGACTGCCGGCATTGTCGGAAAGGGGCTTCAAAGGAGGTTTATATTAGCAGCTAGCTTTCATATAAATTGATAGACTAGAGAGCTGGTTAACTTACAGACTCGGCATCGGCCTCGGCCGCAGCAGCGAATACAGAGACGACACGAAGAGCCAGAGCGGCAAGGACAGAATAACGGAGGGCCACCATGTTAGGCAAGAAGATGAGATGGAATTAGCCGCACGATCAAGAAGCAGAGAAAAGGGGGGGGGTGAAGTTGTTTGGAATGAATTAACTAGAAGGAAAGAAGCTCGGAGGAAGAAAGTTGCGAAGGAGCTTCAATTCAGCGTAGGTACATGTAGGTAGCTGCTGCGCAACAAGGGAAAATTGATTGTGTGCAATCTGGTCAAATGCAATGTCCATTGAACAATGGGTCCTTGGAATTGGGTTTGGGCCAATGACGTGACGTTGCGTCAGGACGGTCTTTCTCACTTTTCTCACCTCCCCTGCACGTACCGACATGTACCGACGCATTACTTCGTACCTCTTGCCAAATGTGGATGGGTGGCTGATGCCCCATGCCCCAAACCCCAAATTCTGGGGACTTGACGTGGCTGCGACTTCACGTATTGCAATGTTGATACGCCTCTTTTGTATAGAGCAACTGCCTAGGTTACCTATGTACATACATATTCACTACGCACTGGAGATGATTACATCATAACTGCTTGAGTAGAATGTAGTGGATAGTTGCACGAATGAAGCATTCCCACTTGCCATATGTTCTGTGGGAAGGAGCAATAACAATAAGGATATACCTTAAGATTTCCACTAAAAGTAAAAGTAGAGTATTAGAATCTTGCACAATACAACATCTTTCATCTTTTCATAATTTCATTGAAGCTTTACATACATTACACCCAATCCTCCCACCTCAACCCATCCCTCAACCCCTCCCACGTCGGTCCCTCAGCATCAGGCAAGAACCCATTAGCGCAGTACGTATACTCGACACGAGCAGCACGAGCCTGTGCCTCATAAAGCCCGTCGTACTGCGGCTCTAGCGCGTCCGCGAGCGTGCGCACGCCGCCCTCGGGGTGCAATTCCGCCCACGGGCGTTGGCACGTCGGGCCCGCGCAGGTTTTGAGGACTAATACCAAAGCGTCGAGGCGTGCGGCAACTTTGGCTATGGGATATCCGGCTGCTGTGGCTGTTGAGGGGGTGGTAAATTCTGAGGAGGCGAGAAGGTTATGGAGTTGGCCTGGGTCGACCTGTATAATATATTATATAAAGTTAGTTCAATAGTACCGATTTCAAACGAGTGAGAGCAGTACGTACGTTCAGATCGTACAACTCGTGCTCGTTATTACACCAGACAGAGTAGTATAAATTATACCCGGGCCCTGAGACGCGAAGAGCCTTGTACGTGTTGTGCTCACGGCGATTTCCTAGATGATAAGACAGTGTTACCTTAGTTAGATGAGATTCCTCAAATACATGACCATCTAAGTAAGGGGTAGCGATCTTAGACGAAAAGTAATTCTTTAACTCACGGTTATAAATCCCCTCGCCCATCGCCATCCCCCAGTACTCAATACCCGCATGCTCCCTCCTCTCCCCCCGCCCCTTAACCTCCTCAATCCCCTCCCTCGTCACCGGGATCGCCGCGCCGTCGAAATCGTCCCTCTGCTCAATCCCGAGTAAATCAAAAAACGTCGGCGCGAGATCCGCGTGCGTAGTCACCACCCCCTCAGCCGTATAGTTGGCCGCAATGCCCGGCCCCCGCACAATCAGCGGCACATTCACGTCCTCCTCGTACCCGCAGCTCTTGCCCGGTTGTAGTCGGTGCTGCCCGATATGGTACCCGTTGTCGCTGCTGTATACGAAGTACGTGTTGTCGAGGATATTGTGCGCGTCAAGCCGCTGGATGAGCCCGTCTACAAGCTCGTCGACGGCTTGGAGAGAGCGCAGACGCTGCCGGTAAAAGTGGTCGTTGTACTCTACGTTGGTGCTGTTTTGCTGCGGTAGCTGGGAGATCCAGTTTGCGCCCGAGGGCTGTAAAAGTATAAGTATGCGCCTGAAAAAAGGAGAAAGCCTTATTTAGGATTCAAGGGATCCTAGGGTGCTGCTACTGAATATGTTATATGTTCTACATACCTCATCCGGGTTAAAATTGTCGGTCCGAGGAACCTTCTCGTCTTTGAAAAGATGCTTGTGCCGCTCAGCGGGTACCGGCTCGGTGAACTCGAAAGGTAGATTATCGAGATCGCGATGACTACTCGAAGCCGAATCCTTCATCACAACGTTGGCGTGGGGAGCAATCGGTGCGGCGACGAGAAAGAAAGGCATTCCGGCATCAACGGCTTCATCTAGCAGACCATACGCTTTCTCCGCTAACACATCAGTGCTATATTGCCCTTCGTAACTACGCGGTTCTTCTCCGTTCCGCTGAAACGTGCTGTTCAGATAGTTATACGTATAGGGGTCAAGTAGGAAGTCCTAAGTCTGAGTTAGCTTTAGAACCGAACACCCGAACAATAAGTAGGCAGGGGAGTGAGTAGTAATACCGAGCCCGTAAACCCCCCCGGAGCCGGTGAGTTGTAGTTTTCTACCGTATGCACATTAAACAACTTTCCCGTATAATACACATTATACCCAACCTCCTGCAGCCAGACCGGGAAATAGTTGTCATTGAAGCCCTGAGATACAAATTTAGGATACCCTCCATACGGCGGGCTCACATCCGTAACATTTGTGTTATGCGCAAACTTCCCCGTCCACAACGTGACCCTCGATGGACAGCACACGGCCGTCGTTGCGTAGTGGCTACCAAACCGCGTTCCCTGGTCCAATAGGTGCTTCTTGACCAATGGCATATAATCTAGCGACGATAAATGTACGTCCTGATCGTCTGTTAGAACAAACACGACATTAGGCCGAGATCGTGACGGCTGCGTCTCTGTCTCATGGCTAGGACTAAGCGGTTTTTGATCCGGACCCGAGTTTGGCGTAGCTCCAGCCAAGCCGGAGCCGGTGGCGCATAGCAAAACGGTTAGAGCCGTAGTCCACATTTCTAGCCTTGTATGTATATTCGAGCGTCCCTTTACGCGAGGCAAGAATTCATTTCGGAAACAGAATTTCAGTTGAAGATCAGGATTGCGGAACTACGAGAGTTCTTATAACTAGAGGCAACTATATTATATATATTTCACATAATGTCTAGAGTGTAGCTATGATGCTAGTTTATATATTCGAATAACCTTAGGTACCTCTTATTTCCAATGACCGCATTGCAGGGGTTGAATTGCGTGCTTACATAGGAATAGAGGCATTGACAAAAGGAATTAGGTACTTGAATTTACCAAGCGTAGCTCAATTATATCATTACCTCTTATTATAGCTATTTTCATGCTCTATGGCCTTATCTTGTAGCTAAAACTTACCCAACCGAGAATGAGTTTTTCCTACCCACGTAAAACGCCTCGCTCACGCCTATGTTTAATCCAATAATAGAAGGGGTATTTATGGCGCTACCTAAGTTAAATCCCAGCTGTCGAGGAGATCAGCGCCACCACTACCGCCTCCGAGACCGCTAAACATATCGTCGCTCGATCCGAAGTCGATTCCGCCATGGTGACTAGAGTCACCCGGATCGCCGAGATGGCTCATGTCGTGGCCACCGCTTCCAAGATCTAAATTCATGCTTCCGTCATTTGCCCCTAAACTCTCATTTTGGGCGGCTGCGGCTAACGCATCCTCGAGTGCGTGCGCGTTCTCTCCCAGTCCTAAATTAGCCAGCTCGCCCTGTAGTATCGACTCGGCAGGCGGAGGCATGAGCATCTGCGCCTCGACTTTGCGGTACAGGCGAACGATGATCTCAGCCATGCCCGGATCCGACTTCTGAATGGTTTTGCAATCTTCTGCTTCTGCCTTCAGGGCCGCTGGAAGGGAAGTTCGTAATTGTGGAGGCACGTAGGGTCGGTTTGCCGAGTCCAGATGAAGCACCGCTTCTGTTGGTGGCGGTAGATTGGTCACATCAGGAGCGCATATGAGAGCGGTGGCGATATCGTGGGCAATACTTCCGTTACCAGCCTCAGTCTGCACCTTGACTTCTTCTAGGACGATGTATAGAAATCGCTTTGCGCCAAGCATCCGTAAAGCAGTTAGAATCTGGCGATGCATATATGAAGTTGGCACCACATTTAGGCCTGGATGAACGCTCCACGATACAAAGCTTTGCACTAAATGTCGAACAAGCGCGGCAAGCCCCCCATTCGCTGTGCTACACCATGCCTCGAGCTCGTTATTTGCGGCGCTGGCAGTTCGTCGCGAGAGGCGAATATTTTCTCTCATCGCTTTAAGCAAAGGCTCTATCGCCTGGTTTTTGGGTTCCCACCGCTGACATGATCGTAGTGAGTAATCTAGCGGTATCGCAATGATGTTCACGACGGAAGATAGCATCGTTTGGGCCTCGGTTGAGCCTTGTTTAGTTAAGAGAATCAGCTGCAAGATCCTAATAACCGCTTTGTGTTCCTGGCCATGGCTAAGCTCCACCCAGAGCAGATTAGACATGTATAAAATTGCCGGCACGAGGGATGGAAGTAGAAATGTATTCACTAAATCTAGGTCCGAATCAGTACGAAATCTAGGAGAGTTTGTTAATTTAAAACTTACATTCAACACCGGTCTTGAGGCTTTCTTCGTCGAGATGGTTTGTGCAATACGCGAGAACAATCTGGTGAAATAGTGTGGGGACAAGTAGATAGAAATCCTGTGGAGGACACGAAGATAACAGTTCGTCCGCCAGCCCACCTGATTCCGTATCAAAAAGACCCCGTATCCAGCCATCTAAATGTCCGTTCTCTCGATCTGTTAACTCCTCTAGCGGCCTGTTGAGCTGGTGCACGCTGAGTAATTTGGCTACGAACGAGTCTGACCGAATGCCGAGATCCATGGTCGAAAGATTATAGCGATGAACGAATGCCAATACCAGAAGAAGTACGGACCCGAATTCCTCATAAACGGGTTGATACTCTCCTTGGTCCTCTTCGTAGCGCCAGTGATTATCCAGCAGCTCGCAGAGAGGGTGTAACATAGCAATTGGCTTGCAGAACAGAAGCATTACATCCAGTAGCAGCGGCTTCTTAGCAAGTTGGCTACAGAGAAGCTTCAATGTCATAGTTTCTTTGTTATTGCAAAGACGACCGATAACCTGGCGTTCTTCCCTTAGCACTCGAGTCTTGATGTCGGTATGGTTCAGGTGCTTACCTCTGCTAGAGCTTGACAAACTGCTCCGACGTTCCCGTCCATGTTATCCAGTTCGCCAATTAGTCGCTGAATCCTCTCAGGATCGCCCATGCATTCCTCGACTAATTGCTCCTTGACATACCGACCTGCCTGTGGTAGAGTTTGATACGTAATCTCGCCAAGTAAACCTTCAATACTTGACTCTGGGATCAATCCATGTAGACAACAAGCAAAACAGAAATCCTGACGGACGCTGTCGGTAAAGGTATTGCTGTTGTGTGTATCATCAAACATGGCAGAGAGGGTTGGGAAAGCATTAGTGTCAACATGGCTAAGTGCCTCGGTGATACAGAATTGAGCTGACAACGGGGGATACATGGACGTCGCCAACGTCGCTAAAAGCAGGGGTAATTTGTTGATTAAATAAGACCGAAGAAGGTAGCTCGCCTGGTGGCCTTCATTACGAAACACTGCGTTGGCGAGGACATCGAAAGAAGCCAGTATTAGATCAATTGTCGTGGATTGAATATCTCCCTGCCTTATGTTAACATATTTCTTCGATCTTCGAACAGCTTGTCGAGCGCGATACATACTTGATACCTATTATGCAGATAGTTGAAGAGAGCAGCGTCATCTATCAGGGGTCTCCCAACAAGCTAAACAGAATTAGCCCGTGCTTCATAAAGGTCCATTTTCAGAATCCTACTGAGGCATTCAAGTAAATGTATAAGCCAGCTCTCGAGTTGACATTTGGCAGCTCAGGTACGACGAAATTGTCCAGAGCCATCGTCGACTCAATATCATCAAACCCGGAATTAGTGGTGTCCTTGTTCTTATTAGCCGGCTCGAAAGAGGCAAGGGTCTCTGTGCGGAATAGCTCGAGCCGACTGGCAATCTGCGATGCACTCTGGAGGATAGACGGGATAAAGCTGGCTAAGCTTTCGGATAGAGCCCTTCGCGCATCTACATAATGTTAACCTAGACAAGTTTATGTCAAGGACGAGAAATACAAGGCGCAAACACGTACATTTTGCAACCGGACGGCTGAGGGCGGTTAGAAATGTTTGGCTCTCACAGATGGCTAAGAGAAGCATAACAAACGCAGCTCGAGCTGCTTCCATTTCATCCCTGGACTGCGGGCTATGCAATTGGCTCATGACATCGTGCGCAAATGCTGACGAGGCCGAAGTGAATAATGTCATCCACTGGGCCATCAATTTGCATATTTGTAAAGCATCCCCAGAACTTCCGATACCAGACCCCATCGCGACGGCTTTCGTGAGGCGATAGAAGATAACCTCTTCAGCGCCATAAGAATTACCCCATATTAGATGTGTCTTATCCTCCGAATTCTCTAATGAGCTATTGCCGGCCTTTGAAGCTTGCGCGTGTGATGTTGAATACTTGTATAACGCCTTGAGTATAGAAGGAGTGTCTATGAGCTTGTACTTGACTAGGCCTTGGAAATATCGGGGGACGCGAGGGTCGAGGCTTTCGGGATTCGAAGGTTGGGGTTTCAAGAAAATGTCGGCGATGATAACTGGAGGTAATGGACATCTCGAATGCATCATGGGAATGTAGGATTCAAAAGTATCCACGTCAAGACGAGACGACAAGCATCTATTAAGGAACTTATCCCACTCCTCTCTCGGATTGATATGGTCTTGTATAGATCCATTTGTGAAGCCATCCTCCGCCTTGATCATATCCACATCCATCTCCATTTTCAAATAACGTGTTTAGGTCCTCGAATATCGGATGTTGATTGGTACATTGACGGTTCGTGGTTAATGGATTTATGTTGGGCTCTTTATTGTGTGTTTTCCTTCATAATTATCATAGGTTTTATGCGTTATGTGTTGTTTGTGTTGTTTGTGTTGTGTGTGTGTGTGTGTGTTGTGTTTGTATGTTGTAACTGTAGATTTTGAATTCACAAGGCTGAACTATTGAAAAATGCGGTAGTGACAAATTGACGTCGGTGGTTACCTACCTTAGCGCTACTACCTTGCCCACTATCGGTAGGTGCTCCGGCTAAGTTGCCTACCTACCACCTATTTAGTGGCTCTTATTGCCCCTAACCTGGCCTGGGCTCCAGCCAAGGCCAGGGGCACAATTAGGGCTACAACGTGCTAGCTAGGATATGGAGCTTGGGCCATGCATGCTCTACAAAAGACCCGTCAATGGAATGGATGGCAAAACCCCCCCTTATGTATCTTCATGCCGCGACAAGCGAGCCAAAGATTAAAACGCCACATCCAATACTACCTACATACTACACATATAGTGTATGGAACATTGAATGTAAACAGATTTCGAATTCAACTTAATTATTATACCTACCGCCCCGTTATACCCTACGCAAGATCTAAGATACATGTAGGTATCTACAAAATTAACAATCCCTAATCAGTTCGAACCAATCCAGTCTTTTATAGAAAATCGCCCGCCTTTTCCCTTCCATCCTGTGGATAAGTATAAGGCGCGTTAGCGGTACACTCAAGTCAACCCATTATCCCGAGAATGCTTAAATGGAAACTCTCAGCTCGACGATCTCTAGGTAGCTGATCATCTCTGGTGCCGTGAAATGAAACCCTTACGCCTGCCTGATCCCTTTCCCCAGAGCAAACCGCATCCAATCAACCTATATCCTGTCTATCCCGTCTAATATCCGGGCATTATGTGTCCCAGTTGCCCACTGTCTTCCTAATGTACCTAGGTATGTAGAAACTGCATTAGCGATACCCGCTTCGTGTCTCAGGCGTCTTCGCTTTTCACAACTGCCATATCTCTATCGACATCAGGTGACCTGGGACCGACCATCCAGTCTTGCATTGCCAGCCATTCGCTCCAATTTGCCTCTGCGCTAACAATCTCTTTCTCGGTGACGTTCTGGAGAGGACGCAGGAAAGGAATGGTCTGCTCATCCGGCATGTCGTATTGTGACTTGACCTTCAGCCAGCCGGCACTCTTAGCGGCAAAGAGGAAATTTCTCCGCTCCACTTCATGAAGGTGCCCTATCCCGGCAACCCAGTCGTCTCCAAAGAACCCATGCAACACGCCTGGAAGATCTAAGCCGGTTGCTACTAATCGCCGGATATATGGCGTCAAAGAGATAGATATTGGTGTACGATTCGGTATTGGAAGAATTGGCGACTGAGACGATACACCCACCGGCGATCCGGGCAACTGCGATGAAATAACAGGATGCTGTGGTTTTTGAAAAGGTAATTGTATATTTATGAATGCCGCAACGGCCTGTACCGGACCACTGTGCTGGGCGTGATCCAAAAAGTACCTGACACATGACTGAAATTGAGGATACCATTCGAGAATGTCGAACTGTGATTCTCGGAACGGGATAAAAGGACCCGACGGATCTATCCCAGCTGCCATCCCTCGTGATGAGGAAGCCTGTGGAGGTGACCGGGACTGGGGCGAGTGAAACGGCATTGGGAATCCGGGAGGTCCACCTCCCTGAGGACGAAACGGCATGCCGTCAAGGTTACGCCGGCAGCTGCGTCCAGTAGATCTAAAACCTGGAGCGGCCGTCTTCTGTAAAGGAACGAGTTCCGGGAGTGTCTAGTAACACTTAACTGAGCCTTTGAAAAGTCTAGATATAATAACCAGTTCGTGCAGAGTGACGGATAGGTAAGATGTGTAGTTTATCGAGTAGTAAGAAGGGAAGCGTACCAATCTAAAGCATCGCGGATGCTCCACATCGAATTGACCCGCGGTACGCCAATCAAGAAGGAGGAAGTTAACCGGACGATAGATTTTGAGACTAGGTAAAGACGGCGGACCGTTGAAGGTTTTAATACAACTTTGAAGACTTGTAGCTTGACCTTGCCTTTTCCATCTTTGCCTAGACCAGTCCGCTTCGAGTCAAGGGGAAAGGGGAGGCTATAAGTCACTAAGTACCGAAATACCAAGGGAAATAAAAAAAAAGAATAAAAAAGTAAATGTAAAAACAAATCAATGTGACTAGGTCACAAGAGAGGTCACAGTAACCGGCCCTCGGCAGCTAAACCATGAAAACTATGTATACCAGAGGACCCAGAGGACCCAGAGGACCCAGAGGACCCAGAGGACCAGAGGACCAGAGGGTCCGCCACTTGCGGCATGTAAACTCGGTTCAACGACAGGATCTAGATGTAATCATTGTGGGGGGGCGATCACACTTGTGAGGCTTGGTGCTTGTACCAAACAGGGTTGAGCTAGTAACAAGAAGGACGAAAAGAGACATGGTCCGAGAATAGGAACATGTCAAAGCTGCAGAAGTATACACCTAAGTGGTAAGTCTATCTTCCATGCCTTGCAATTGGATTCCGACCCGGCCGATGTCTGTAGGTCCATATATTATTTTCAATCCTGTCGGTCCACTTCAATGGGAGCTGGCCAGAAGCAGTATAGGGCGGCTCTAACGACGATGACGCAAGAAATTGACCTGTCGTCTTGCAAAATTCTTGGGTTAGATTCGAATTGGGGGTTCTGGGGGGTCCAGTTGGCGAGGAGCTTTAGGCGAAAATCAAAACATAAAATCAGAACTATAACCGACTTACATGATAACCAGCTCTCTCTCATCCAACACAGTTAATGCGCGCAGGTGAACAAGGTAAAAGAGATGGACGATCTCTAAAGCTCAACGTCAGTTTGAGTAAGCAGAACAAGGTCTATATGGATTCTTGAAGCATCTAAGCAGCAGAAAATATGGGACGATGATCTTGATGAATTAGTGAAGATGAGGCTGCAAGAGACATGCCATGCATTAGGTATGTTCGCGCATGGCGGATAAAGGGCCCCTTGTTAGCCAAACGAGGGCCCCGCGAAGCGTTCCTCAGGGCTTTTTCAAGGGGGTTTAAGTCCCAGATTTACATAGAAGGTTGAAGGTTAGGGTCGCTGCCGCAAGTGTAATGTATGTAGTGTAAGTAGGAACCCCTGTCCTGCTTGGTCAAAGAAAGGAAGAGATCGGAGAGGAACTAAAGCATAGGAGAATCATTGGATAGAAAGCCTAGACTGTGTAGGAGTGAGTTTTGCGGCGACGACGGGGACGGTAATAAGGGTTGCGCCGGCCCCACTTCCTGCGAACGCCACCAGCTAAACATCTGTATACCTTAGGTACACTAAAGGTAGGTAAGTACATATGTACTTGTGCGAAAGAAAAACGCCCCCTGAGTTGCCCTGAATGCCCTATGTTTAGGTGGGGGGTGCAGGAACTTACCGCAATATATCCCCGTAACAGCGCGCCTAACCTGGTATAATATAGTACCTACCTACCTACACACTTTACCATAGGTACCTAGATACCTACTTTACCATACTTAGGTACCATCAATAGTACTTACCAACTTAGTTCCGTTAATCCTCCCGTATACATGTATGTAAGTTATAACATTTCCTACATTCCCACACATGTACTCATTTGGTACGTGTATACACCTTACCTAGGTGGGTAAATGATGCATACATCTAGGTGCATCTACAGACAACGGAAGCTTCCAACTTAAAACTAAAGGTCATATGCGCATCTCCGACAACCGAACCACTTACATACAATTTCTCAACTTTAACAGGTAACAAGTGCACCTTTTACATTAAGACCTTCAGGGGAAAGCACTGTTCCAGGTTACTTCATTCGATACACAATAGTCGATTAATCGTTAAGATGATGCTCAAGACTTATTTTACCTAGTTGGTCTCTGATCTGATAATCTACTTTGCCTTCCGAGAATCTGTGCCTCTCGACACCCCGGGGCAGGTAGTTCTGAGACAGGGTTGTTACCCTGATGTGCATCCCATCTAGCCATCTCTATCACGTATGGGCTTCATTATTACCTGGGTGATCTTAATTGTTTTTAATAGTAAACCCGATCTAGCCTCTCGGAGGTAACCGAGTTACCATTTAATCCTACATGGAAGATCCGATGAATGAAGGTCACGCGACAAATGCGGAAGACATCAAGCCTTGGAAGTATGGTATAACGCCTCGATAATATATGACCTCCAAATTATTCCAGGAAGTACCTTGGTCTAGATTCCGTGGTTGGGAGCTCGAGTGGCTGCGGAACGGCTTCAGTTACCCCATAAAATTGACTAACAAGGAACTCTTCCTTTAGGATATGCCCCCCCTTGTACATACCTATGTAAGTGTAGTGTAGTGTAGTGTAGTGTAGTGTTGGAGTCTGGTATTCTCACCCTACACTGACTTATACAGGCTTTTCGGAAAAAGAAATTACAGGACGACTTGGGTAGCCAGTAACAAATCAATAAATCAATGTTATTTTGGTTCAGCCCTTCGTTATTCTGGTAGCAAATAGAATGTACTCCCGGTCGGTCACGAACACGTTTGAAACAGTGCAAATCCGGAGCCGAGTGGTCAAGTCCTACGAAAGAAGGGATATATTAGTTACCTAAAATCACCTAACCAAACATATCAAGTTCAGCTTCAGCTTTAGCCAGGCCTAGCCACCATTCTTGCCCCCTCCAAAAGCATCTTAAACGACCACGGTAGGAATCGTCCATTAGTTCAACCAACTAGTTAGTTATTTGGAATTGTAAACACCACAGCGATCTCACAACCTGTGGCGTCGGAATCGGTTTATATCCGTAAATAGGTAATATCTGTCAGGACCCACCGAGCCACAACGTCCGGAACACAGCATCTCCATTGTCCCGGAACGTTGCAGCACCGAATACCAGGCGGATGGGGCTTCGGTGATACAGCGGCCATGCTGTGTGTCAACAGCAATAATGGAGCTAGCTTCCGACTACTGGATTAGAATCAGCGTGGACGATGACCATGACCTTATTTGATACTTGACAAGTAATTTTTCAGTCAACCTGCGAATATCACCTACTAAGACCATTCGACCGGATGTGCCGTGGGGCTTAAGGCTTAGTCCTCACGCCAGCTGATAATGAGGTCGACTAACCCTCACTCTTGATACGACCTAATCTACTTGCTTATCAACTGTATGTGTGGACATCGACAAGAAAATCGCCACCGCCGCATGAACTCATTACAGGGTTTTTTATGGTACCAGTTTACGATCCCTATCACAATACTACATGTGCTCTAGGTTAGTCTGGTTACAACTCACCAGAGCCACCCTCGGCTACTCGGGTGCTTTTAATATAAAACTTTCAGCTATGAGCAAGAAATTAATCCAATACGTGCTGATCTTCTCACCTAGATCATGGTTTGACCATCGGCCCCTACGTATATGAGCTTCCAACTCATCATTTTTTAAGTACCTTAGATCGCAACACAGCCAATGATCTCGTCTCCAAGCAGATATTCTTGTACAGCTTCAAAATTTCCGATTTGTAAGTGCTAAAGTGACTTGAATGATCGCTAAAACGGAGCGCCACACGATGTAACAAAAGTGAATCCGTACCTGACAATCCGAACCTATGTACTACAGCTCGCTAGCAACAGAAAAAAAACGGCCATAGTATTACGGCGCAAATCCAAGACATGGAGGAACGTACATTGTGGTAACGCGCCTGGAAATCAATTCTTTTAAGACCAAAGCGTGCTACTATTGGACGGAGCATACCCCGGCTCTCCGCATGAACGAGCGCAAACGTGATCAAACAGCGAATTGCGTAGCCCTGTAGGCTCGTGAATTCGGTAGACCATCTCGCTAGGCATCACATCCCTGTGAGGCTCGTGAGATCTGCTACTAGGGCTACCGGGGAGCTTCATTAAGGACGGTGCGCTTCGTTTCCTAATTTACGCGGAAAGGTTAGTCGGGGACGGGGGTGACACCTGCGACGACCTCTGCCAGATACATAAGACTAGAAATACCTACCTACCTAGGTAGTAGGTACACTCGACCATTCTAGGGGTCTTCCTGTTCCTACGGAAATCATCATGCAGGGACCCCCCCCCCTTCCGGGCTCATCGTTTCTCTTCTGATTGGGGCGATCTGCAGACAAGCAGTTGGCAGGAGTATCGAGGCGTAAATGGCATTGGGTACTCGGTACTGACGCCTCACTTTTCTCCGGGGGATGGGAGCAGGGGTTAGGTTGTGGCTCGTCTTCGAAATGACTGTCGGCTCAAACCATGCGGCCCGAGTCCTTGGACCCGATCCCGTCTGTCCCAGACGTCTGGGTTCGATGCCACAACTTGCTGCACCTGCCACCGCCCGTCGAGCTAATACGGATGTTGATCGGTCGACTGCGGCAAAATTACTTTAAAGGGAGGACATCTAATTACCTCCAGTGGACTCAAAGAAAGTGAGGCAGCCTCAGGGGAGCCACATATTAACGGTATCATTCGCTTCTGCGTGAAGGTTCGCAGGCAAGTTACTCGCGTATAGTTAGTAGCTAACTAAACAGGAAATTCTCAAACGTCTTACTTTTACCAGCTTCTAAATAACCGCCGATTGGGTACAGGAAATTCTCAGCATTCTCCAAATCAACTTGCAGATACAAATCAGCTCTCGGTACCAGAGGTACCCTGTATATCGTAAGATTATACACGTGTAGGTATAATATAACACGACATTATAGCAGATATTAATAGCTCTCCAAGTATCATAGGGCAGATATACAACTATCTAGTCTCAAAAGGGGCACATCAAACCAACCGAAATCAAAGCTTTACTTAATAAGTTATATAAAGGAGAGACAATGATGGAACTACTTCTTGTTTGAACATTGTTACTAGGTTTATCGAATTGGCCAATTGGATCTTGTCCTGTTACGTTACTGACAGGGGCAGCTTCGAGCTCCTATGTACACGATGTATACCTTGGTACGTAATTTCATTTTCCTCTTCGACCGAGACATCTTCCGCCAGCTGCCTACAATACGAATAAATAGGTACCCAGTAAACCAGATCTCTAGAAAAAGTGACAGAACTCCCTTATTCGCGATCAGTGCAACTTTCTGTCCGGGCCTCCACGTCTCGAACAGCTAGGTAAGCGACACTTTGGGGGGCAAGGGGTTCCCGCGATCTAGTCAATTATGGGTTCCCCGACGATCGCAGACGGGGGTCGAGCAAACACACGTCCAGGGTTGTCGCCCATACAGACGCGTTCGAGGCACGCACGCCCTGCCATCATGCACCCTGTTTGCTGCTGTCAACCGCCACAACACGGGGGTCAACATGTTCTTTTCGGAGGAGGGGGGAGGGGGGGAGGCTACCTAATAAGGCTATGATAACTCCGGCGGCGGAAACAGGACCCCCTAGACAGCCGGAGAGCGGTTCAATGCGCGCGCGCGCGCACGTACATTGCATTTCATTACACACTTACATCATCCCGTCATATGGGGAATAGTCGTGGTAATATCCCGCTCTTCCCGCCCTGCATACGATATCCTCTCTGACTTCTACTTTGGATATGTATGTACACGCATAAGAGTCTGCAACCGTTTGAACCCTGGCCGGCCCCAGTTAACGGGAAGTCCACGAGGTCGCGGTGCCGCAACCTGCACTACCTGTTTTGGGCACCCTGGCTACATACGATGTCCATCATACTTCTTTCGCAGCCTGGTTCTGCTGGATGTATATTAGAGTGGGATGTATGTGTGGCGTCCGCATATGTTGTGATACCACACCCCTTGCTCCGCGGCGCGGCTTACCCTTGGAGTCTTCCTCGTGAGAGGATTTTGTTTTTTCTTGTCTATATCTGCCGTACCTTTGTACATAGTGCGCTAAAGGCGGATTTTCCACGTAAGGCTTACTACCTAGGTTACCTAGGTAGGTATTTTCTCGCGATCGCTGGTTCGGCCTGCCAGGTACCTGGAACGGTTGCTGATCGACAACTATCTGTCGGTCAGAAATGACAAAGTAGATAGATCTGCGCAGCAGATGGGTACGGTTTCATTACTTCCGGAACGAAACCCATTGCATGAAGCTAGAAGAAGGGGAAGGAAAATAACTAGGTATGTGCGTACACATCTCGATCCCCCTTCTTCACCACCCATCCTTTGTCAGTGGTGAGGCTGGTGAGCTTACTTTTCGCCTCAGTGGGTCCACGATGAGAGATGAGAGATGCAATGCGTAGCTACCTAACATGATATCGTCGCAGCCTCATCATATTGCTGTTATTGTCAAGTATCTACAGGTTCGGATAATTTCCTTCATCTTCGTTTGCATCCTGTCTCGGAATAATTGCCTCAATCGTATGCACAGGAACGCCGCTCCCTGTTTTCATCCATAGCAGGGCTGTGAAAAAGTTTTATCAGTATGTGTGAGGTGGTGATGCCACGCAATGAATGGCGAGAAACTAAAGCTCTACCTATGCAAGCCATGTCGTTTCTTGTTTCGTCTTGTAGCCATGCTTGTTTTCAAGCACACCCCTAACTCACGCTCATCATAAAAAATCTTACATCAACGTAATACATGATGCTTATCACCGATTTCAGAGAGACTGAAGTTACTTATCAGGTCGGCTAATCAAAAATATACGAGTGAACTATACGCTCGTCACAATTATAGCGAAGAGCAGGCTTCCTCGTCATAGTCCTCACTTCAGAGGTTACCGTCTTGTGTTGAAATTGCGCACCTACATCATAGATGGACTTGAGCTGTAGGCACGTGAGATACCGATTCTTCATGAATATCAAGTAGATATATATATGAGAAGAACTTAGTAAGTTATATAATCCTGAGAGAAGTCCGTACGTTAGAAATGAGAAATAATTCCAAGGTCAGTAAACATGCATTCATTCTATAGTATTAGATATAAGAGCGCAGGAACCCACGCTAGAGTTTATCTGGAGATATAATGATATACCATTGGGCGTTTTCGAATTCATCATATTGGGAGTCACAGTAAAGGCTTAAGGATATGGTATAATGGCGTGAGGGGGAGGTTATACGCAAATATGATATCCTCTTAGGTGCAAATAAACTACGGTATTCACCCCTTTGAACCTGACTGGCCTAGGCTGTTTATACTATTTCTTGAAGAATTAGTACATTCTTTGTTGAGTCTTAATTCCGCGGTTTCAATGGAGATTGTAAGTGTCCCTAACGCAACTAATGAAATAAATCTCACTTAATCATGAGAAACTACCATAGTCTTTTAGCTTATGATTTATTGTTAATATCTACGTTTAGTTATGTTATCAGTTGATAGCTTTTAAATCCATTGATTTTCTTTTGAAGCTTGGTAGGGCTTTATATTTCCTACTCTGCTTTAATCTACCACTTGTTGGTAATCTGGTACCCTACTAAGCCAACCCGAACAGGTGATTCTAATTTATACGTAACGATCGAGATGATAGAATAAGAAACATAAGAACAATTATAGTACTGCACGAATAACTACATATATCCTGAACTGGGAGATATATATGTAACTACGGACTTATTGTACTAGTTGTCACAATAATTGCAAAGTGGACATTCTAACAATAAGTAAAAATTTGTACACTTAACGGTAGCATCATAATATGGGACTTTTTCGACCCAAAGGTTCTGACAAGAATGTTCACTACAAGTTGGTCTAAATATAGCAGATTTTAGAATATACGATCAAAATGTTAAACTAGTATTGAATTGGGTTAACTGCATTTTATCAAACTTTGGGCTCTCACATTTTATAGTCGTCCACTATACCACATTAGCTAAAGCTATTAGAAACAAGGGGGTAATAATTTACTTTTATTTTCCCCTCTGCAGTGGAAAGTTGCAAAGGCGCCATCGATGGACACCTTATTATTTCATCGACCTGTACATGTGCTAGAGGTACCTAGCTAGAATATTTACAAATACATCAGGTACTCTGAAAACATACAAACAGGAAACAAAAAGGAACGACATAAAAAATACGACCAAAAAAATCACCGTACCCCGGACTCGAACCGAGAATCTTCGGCTTATTGGCTTGTGCAATAGAAGGCCGACGAGTTGACCATTTCTCTAGTACGGCGTTACAACATGACCACTTGTGTGGAAGTTGCAGGTGCAGTTGCGGTTGCTGTTGGTGTTTATTAAATCAGCTTTTGTACCACTTGCCGTGGGAAACCAGAAAAGCCTGTATGAGGTAGAATTAAGTTTGAGGCTGTAAACAATACTTAGCAACCTACACCTGACTTACAAGTGCAATGCAAAGTCAACGAGTGTCTCCAATAGTTACCTGCCTTTATACTTGAAACGTTAGGTACATTTAAGACTCTATCCAAGTTTCCATATATTACCCTTAACTAATTTAACTTAATTGAAAGATACCTAGGTAGGTACTTATCTCTATTTTATTTTTGCAATTACCTTCTCCGTCCAACTAAAACGTGCCTTTTCTGTTTTACGCAAAGAGGTAGCCATACACTAGGTTAGGTACACAAGGGTGAGTCTGACGTCACATAAGCTATCCCCGAAAAAGTACCGGCGCAGCTGCGCAACTGGATGGTAATCACAAATTCCCACCTGCGATCGAGTACAACTTCAATTTCATCTTTTAAGTTTGCTCCTATATCCAACTCTATATTTCATATAGTTATACTGTTATAGTTTTTCCTTTATGCCAACTTAGAATTGTCTTTTATTAGACATCCTTGTGGATCATCTTATACATTTGCTGCGATGGGGCTATTGAGAACCACAAGTGGAAGTGTGAGCACTAGAAGAGCGGTTTTCGAAACAGGCTCGATGTTTGCCAGTGAAGAAATTACACTCCCAAAACACGAAGATAGCTTACTCCAGTTGGATGGTGAGCAAATGTGTTATGGTCTGTGGGAGGACAACGTGCTCGATCGTTTGATGAATATGAACAACATTGACCGCGAATATATGATGGAAGAGTATATCAACTATCTAACTGGCATATTCAAAGACCTTCCTGGAGTACATAAGGTAGCTCTCATCTCAATTCCCCTTATCCACCTATAGTTCCAGAACAGCCTAACCCCCTAACCCCCTAACTTAGCCCCCCGACCGCCCAACAGAACTACGATTGTCAGCATTCGGAAATGAATATGAGACTGATAACTGTGCATCGTCATGTCCCAGCTTAACAGATGTTTCAACTATTTCAAAGGCTTCGTCGTAAGTTTGTGGTGTACTGTATAACTTACATTGCAATGCTAATTTTACATCTCCAGGCTTGCTAAGTGCCAGAGGAATCCATCTCGCTACTCGCTTCCATTAAAATCAAACCAGTTCAAAGACTTGCGAGCAATTCCTTCTAAACTACCATCTGCAGATGTCAAACACTCTTTAAACTGGAAACCTACATTTGAGAGATGGCCTAATAACGCCAACCAGCCAAGACGTGTTGCGGTTAAGGTGTTAGATCCATCCAAAGTCAAGGCCAACATCCAAACACAGATTCGTGAAATTAGCGATTCTGATTCCCTTGATTCCGAAACTTCATCTGACATATCTTCTGATAACGATGAATATGATCCGTTTGAAAATTTAAACAGCGCAATTAGACATGTCTTTTCGTCCAATAAGCAACTAGCAGACAGGGTGATCGACTGTTTGGTACAACTTCCACCAGATCGCCGAGCACAGGTCTACGGGTATGGGGCCATCTCATCGCACGGCGCCGACAGCTTTCAGGAATCAAGTATCATAGCTGGCTGCGGAAACAATTCCAGGCCTACAAAGAGAAAGCGTATTGACGAAGCGGCCCCGGGCAATTCAAACCAGAACCAGGCTCTCGGAGGCGACGATTATGACGACCGAGTCCTCGTCGACCACCATCCTCCTGAAACATCGTCACCTCATAGAAGGTTTGCCTGTGCGTACAATGTCTTCGACAGAGTAACATTTAGCCCAAGAAATACTAGAGGGAGGACCGCGACACGGTATAAATCGTGTGCCGGTCCTGGATTTTCATCCCTTAACCATTATAAGTCCGTCTACCTAACCATGTGTAAACATATAAGCTAACTTAAGAGAAGGCGCCACCTAGAACGTGTCCACACTTTACACCAATGCCCTCGGTGTGGGCATATTTTCGACAAGCCCGGGGACCTGCAAAATCATTTGGCCCAAGATCCAAGATGTAACCGACTGACATTCGAGCAAGAACGTGGTATATCTCAAGCTATATGGGATAGGGTTAGGGATATTTTTAAGAGAAGACGTAAGTCTCAGGATGAGCCTTCTGATGAAGAACGATGGTTTCTTGTCTGGGATGCTCTCTTTCCGGAGGCGCAGAGGCCTCCGACAGCATGTGAGTCGTACCTAGGCACCGTTGAACTTTTCGCCAAGACTTATTGGAGACAACCTCCGAAGTGATGTCTACCTGTTATGCTAACTATGCAAACATATAGACTATGAGGAGCCACATATACATGATGCCTACCAGTCCAGGGTTCTGGAAGTCTTTGATTTTCTCTTAGCCGATCGACCTCAACTAGCTCCAGCCCGTAGCCATAGAGATGATCTTATGGAGGCATTAAGACACGCTCTTGATGTTGCCGGCCGAGGAACACGATCGGACCAGGAAGTTGGAGAATCCATTATGACCTCACCATTAGCACAAGGGCCTTTACCAAACACCAGTGCACCGGACCGGATGCCCGATATACACCAGACGAACATCTTAGAACCTTGTGAGCCTGATACAACCAATGCGTACATAGATATGTCGAGTCACGTTGAGGAGCCGAGACATCAAGTAAGCGAACCAATAGATAATTTGGATCTATTTGGCGTGTTTGGCTCAACCTACCCCAGCATGGGTGTCACCGGCGATGGTAAGTGATAACGATGCCTGCAGTACTACCAGACAAGCTTCTAACAGTTGTTGTAGACTATGTTGATGAATTATTTTTGGACCTTCTTGAATAATATGGAAATTGGTAACTAGACTCTTGCCTTTAAACGGTGACCGATATATAATATATGAGACTAAAAGGTCACTCAAGAGGATATACATTGAGACTGACCTTGGGGATCTTATTTGTAAGGAATGACATTATTTAAAAAGTCCTTAGCTTTGTGCAGGACTTTTTCATCCGGAACGAACATAGTATATCTTAGTTTTCGAGGTTCCAGATCATTGAGTCGCTCGAGTCTTGCGAACAAATACAAATCCTCAACGTGGTAAACAAGTTGCACTAGTATCCAGTATTATATTTCACACGTCCCCGGCGTAACGTGCTACTGCTCTTAGGATCGAAACCGATCGACATAACGTAGAGTTGTGGATGTTAGAGACTCCTTAAGATCCTCCCCGGGGCTGAGGCAACGAAGATCATACGGCGGAATGATTAATATGTATGCTTCACCGACTTTAAAGGAATATACTTGGCATGTTTAAAATAGATAGGAAACTATGCCTACTATCTCGAGGCGTCTATCATATGATTATTTTAACAACTAAGCTACGTACTAAACTCTTAAGTCCTCCGGGATGGACGGATGTTGCGCATTGATACCTCTGAAGGACGTGTTCAGCATGAAGACTTACTAACTTCATCCCGTATACTGTATGTAGCTTTGGTCATGGAAATATTAATGACTTCTAGAACAACATTCTATTTTAAGAGCAGGGGTATCATATCGCGATCCTTTCACTCGCTAATCTTAACTTCATTCCTGCCAACTACTTGTCTTAAATATGATCCAGCGATTTTCCATACAAGTATTCCTACGCTCATAACTAACGACTTGCACCGCCGATCTTTATGTACGACAACTAGTGATAAAAGCGGTATGATTAGCTGTTGAGCTGGTTAGATGCTTGGCTCTTACGTCTTATTCCACTATGTTGATCCTTGGTCCGATAGCTTCGTTCATTGGTGAAGTATTTGAATTATACAAATAGTTGATTTCTTATGACAGGTGTCGGGCGGGCTGCCATTCAAGGCTTCCCACCTGTTCACACTTGTCTCTCCCTCTTTATGAGTTGGCAGCTGGCTACTGACACCCGATAAAAGCTGACCCATGGCGATTCGGTCCCGACGGCATGGTCCGTCATGGTCCGTCATCCATTCCTAAATTTAATCCAAACGCCCAATTCTCAAGGAATGATTGTCGGCAGATCAAACTCTACTACTACGTAAGCTATAACTGACCGCGTGGCGTTTATTCGTTATGCAAACGATGGATATTCTTACCTGGTCATAATCCATAATCCATAGGTAAATCCATAATCACCAGCCTTGATCTGATCTGGTAGTCTGGCTGCAAGCCGCTTTCCGGCTGAATGCTACCTTTGGTTCAGTGCCGCCAGCCGTCAAGCTAAAACACGGAACACCTCTATCCTGTCCTACTATTCCTCTTCTGACGACTCTGCTTATCTCAAGGAATATGCGGAGATGCCCTATTTATCGCATCTCCTAAGACATCGAGTACAACACTCAAAATACTCTTATACGCTGGGAGAAAAGAAACAGATGGGATGGATGACGCAAAATAGTCCCATCTATTAAATACTCTTCTCAAGTCCTCGGCGATACTCCCCGTGGCCGATTGGCCTATTTGGCTGAATCTATGACTAGACGGTTGGTTGGTCATATATATATATATATATATGTGTGTGATATCGGCTTGCTTACTTGCTTTTTCCAATGTACTGCCCCAATCTTACGTTGCACTGGTCACCCCCAGGGTCTCATCCAGTAATACCAGGGTCTCATCAGCCATCTACAGAGGTGGGGATTTCGTCTCAGCTGAAGCCTTACTGGGCAGTCAGATAGCCGGTCCCGGTATGTAAGTCGCCGCACATTGTGCGTTAAAAGCGGCTCGTCCGCACCCCCTTTACAGTAGCTCTAGGATTTGTTTCTGACCTTCTCTTTGCCTCTTGAATGGGCAAACCTGCACCAACATGAAATCCGCCCTCAGGCTGGCCACCTTGAGTTATGCGATCACTAACGTTGATGCTAGCTTACTATTTCCCTCTGGTCGTAATGCGGGGGATTGGGGTCCGGCTAAAGACGTTGTTGCCGCCTCTCCAATAGATCCTGTGGGATGGACGCCGAAACCGACTGCGCCGCCGGCGGCCGAGCCGTTCGATTTTGAGCTTCGGAGGAGGCAGGATATGACTACCACCACAATTGTTGCTAGTGTTGCTACGTGCGGGTGGCCGGCTGATAATATTAGCGGTAGGTGATGATTTAGATTATGGGTTACCTAACAAACCTACGAAAAGCTCTCGTCTTAACTCTTAGTAGCGCCGGCAATTACGTGCGGCGGGGGAGGTTATTGTTATGAGGCACCGGGATCTTTCGCTGCGGGATGTTGTACCGAGACGAATCGTCGTAATTGCAGAATACCGACGACATGCTTGGAATCAACAAGATCAGGCTCTTCTTTAACTGACACTGCTAGGACGCTACTCTGGTGAGCTTAAGACTTATCCATCATCCTCTCCTAGTTCTCATTAACCAAGTCCCGGAAAGTGATGAACCAGCACGACCCCATTGTGTAACTTATTTATACAATGCCAGCTTCTTCGAAAACTTCAACGGGGTCAGTTTTCTGGCTTGTGGTAAAGAGGCAGGGTCTAGTATAATTGCAACTAGTGCGCCGCCGAACTGGGCACCACCGAGCGATATCACAACTACTTCTCAATCTACGTCCGAGCGATCTCCAGCGGGTACCGATCCTACCAACGTCGTAACTGTCACCGTTTCCCCGAGCTCAAGCTCATCATCGCCGGACGCAGTAGTTGCGGATCAGAGTAGTAACGGGTCGAATAGAACCGGGGCTATTGCTGGCGGCGTGGTTGGCGGGGTTGCTGTACTCTCACTGATAGCCGCTGCCATCTTCTTCTGTCTACGTCGACGTCAGCGTAAGAATAATGAGACTGAAGGCAAGGAGATAGAAGGCTCGCCTCCCTTTCGACCGCGAGGTTTCCCGCGTAATAGTGTATATGGCGGTGGACTACCCGAACCTCAATACCAATCAGACTTCTACGGGGAATTACCGCCGCAGATGGCACAAGCATCGACCCAGCACGTTGTAGGCTACCCGCCACCTACTCACTTTGAACCAGCTGTCATGCCTAGAGATCATAGGGACCAAAGAAGTCACAGGAGTCATAGATATTCTCAAGTGCAGGCAATTCCGTCTACCTTTGTCCCGGGGGCACGCAAGCCGAACGAAGATGATATAGTATCACCCATTACTCCTGGCGACCAATTAAACCCTGCCGACGACCCAGCAACGTACACATGGATCTCAAACCCGACACCACCTCCACAATCAGACTACTCTCAGTTCAGCCCACCTCCACCAGCACATTTTCAATCGTACCGACCATATCCTGGAACATAAAGAAGGCTATCGACCGTAGGATGAAATTACAGCTATGGCGGCTTAACTTGCCGCTCATTTAAAATATATAAAGGTTTTAATATTACATATACGTACGTACTGGGCGCGACGTTTTCTGGGATACCGGTGTCTTGTAGGTGCGTAATGCATCTCGTAAGACGGAAGATACCTATAGCATTTTTCTAATGGGATATAAGGAAGAGGTGAAAACAGGATCTGGCTTAGGTAGAATATTACTCGGATAGCACTGGGCGGAACGGAGGTGATCTAAAAATATCTATATGGCACTAGGTACGTTGATATGTTGACGAATTAGCGAGTAATATTGAATGTATCTACGATTATTAAATCCTAGTCTAATTAGGACTTGGTCAGATTAAGCCTGGGTTGATCAAGTTCTACATATAGTATACAATACTATTTGTATTTTATGGATCAATATTCAAGACTGTCGAATTGTACTAAGAGCATCGGAGTGGCCTGGGTGAGTATAGTTTGTTATTATCTATTATTTTAGACGATATATGCAGTGTTAATGCAATATACACTTAGACTGAACCCCAAATAACCACCCAGCCCAGTTATACCACCATGTTTGTTAATACAACTGTTATGATTAGGTGGATCTTGTACTCACCCGCGGCAGTGGAAGGCCAGAAAGCAAGAATAGATATCGCGGGGTACGGAAGACATGTGGGGAAGTCGGCAGTGTTATTAGCATAGCTTCTCCACCCCTCGGTTATCAATCTGCCGACTAGGGAAGATTATTAAATAAGGGGGTATGCCGTTGACTGGAAACCATGTTAACTGCTGAAGCTCTGCGAATCTTTGTCTTAGAATAATACACGCGAGGCGTACAGACTAATACCTTACATATGAGCAGAGAAACAAGACAAGACCCGAACTTGGAGAAGAATCCGAATCCGAATCCGAGTAGGTCCCCGCAGCAGTTTAATATATTTCCCCCTATTTGAACCCCCGGGAGTAGGCACAGGAAATGGGTGGTGGACAAACTTAAACTAGGAAGGCAATGCGGTCAGTAAGCGTGGAGGAGATATCACGGCACCGCTCGCTGAAGGATCTCTGGGTTGTCATTGATGATGTAGTCTACGATCTCAGCGGATTTGCGCTAGAACATCAGAAAATCCCGGTGGTGTCTCAGTACTCTTGGACTACGCCGGACGAGACGCAACCGCTGCTTACTCCGAGGTCCACTCACCATCGTTGATCAAGATCTCGTTGCCAGCATCATCTCGCATTGGCGTTCTAGACCAAACTACCATTACGGATAAATGGGCTAAACCACCAGCTGCTCATTCCCGTTACCCGAGGTTATGGATGCGGCAGCACGCTCCTGGGCTACCAATCGCACTGAAAGGGATCCAGACAGCGGCGGATGCAATGAAGGCTATGGAAGCAGGTGTTGATGCTATATATATCTCTAACCATGGTGAACGGAGCCTAGATACATCTCCTACTACGATACTGATGCTGCTTGAGATCCAGAAGTGTTACCCACAGGTATTTGATAAGATGGAAGTATATGTCGATGATGGCATCACTAGGGGAACAGATATCTTCAAGGCTCTGTGTCTAGGTGCCAAGGCTGTTGGAATTGGGCGGGGGTTTCTATTCTCGCTGAATTATGGGAAGCAGGGTATTGAGAAGTTTGTTAATAAATAGTAAGTTTAAACCCCCTTTATACCCACTACTTCCCAGCTCTTTATAAAGAGGCTTGTGTTAATACCATACGCACGTAGTTCTTGTCGATGAGCTGGTGACGACTATACAGATGTGCGGTATCACTAGTCTCGACCAAGTCCATCCCGGGCTACTACATACAGGAGCTGTTGACCACCTTGTTCCTGGGTCTGAAGAGCATCCGTATGCTAGGTGGAAGCCAAAGTAATGAAGTAGCAAACTGTGAGATAGAAATCAATGTTATATATGACTTATGTACATCATGTACTTTATTTGGGTCGGTATCTGTTATTATACTAAAGAAGCACATAACACACATAGGAAAATCTAACAAATTTGTCACCTGGATACATGTACCTAACTGTGCTTATTCACTCAGTTACGACAAAGGTACATTCACACGTCTTGCGTTTCCCAGAGCATTGAACTTATCAGCGGCCACTGTTGTCACAATCATACAGACATCCCTAGCAACGGACGGCGCTACAGCCAGACAAACCCTACTAGCCATACTACGCACACTCATTTTCCGTCAAACCCATCTACGAAGAAGGTAGCTTCCATGACAATAAACATTGTAATTACATTATTTAAGGCACGTACTCCTTCTCGAACTGCTGTATCTTGTGTCATTGGGAAGGTTGCCAGCTGAAGGTTGGAAGTTGGACGGTACGTATACACTTGTCTCCCTAAGTACTCTCTACCCTACCCGCCCTTTTTGAAATATATATAAACATATGCCTTCCCTGTCTGCTTGAGATCTTTCGAATTACTTTCTTTCTTCATCGCACAATAATCTAACCTAGCCTTCTTTTCCCTTCTTAACTATCTTACTATCACCCTTACCCATCAACAACCTTTCTTGTCTTCACATACTACATACCACACACAACTAACTATTCATAATGGTTAAGTTTAGGGGAGACATAAAGAGCTGGCGTGCCTATAGTCACCTAGGGGCTTTCTTTGGAATACCACAACTCTATGATCGTGAGGGGAACCGTCTAGATAGCTATACAACAGACCTCCCCTCTAAGAAAGAACATCAAAACACCCTTCCGGAGTTACAAATTGAGGGGGACTTCTATAATAAGTCAGTCCATGTCTTTGATGGTGCTCAGGGTAACATTATATATATCCGATCAGGACCCAGTGATGCTGGTGAGGTATCGGTTCATACAGAAAAGGTTGTTGTAAAGCACACTTCAACCAAGAAACATATACCTCATAGGTATACATCGTATAGTAAATACGCTTCGAGCAAGCACATTTCAGGTAAGAACCATAAAACAGCTGAGGTTATTTCTTCTAATATCGAGGCTAATTTCACTCATGTATAATCAGATACAGATGATGAAAGCTCGGATCTCAAAGAGGCCATTCATGCGAAGCACGCTCGAAGCTATAAGTCTTCGTCTAAGAGGCATATTGCTGTTAGGCGTACCCGAGGTAATAAATCATACGACATTTGAATTCGCACATTTTCGATTGGAAGTGAGGCTAATTCTATTCAAGTAGGATCTGACTCGGAAGAAAGTTCGGACCCTGAAGAGGTTGTCGCTAAGAAAAAGCATATTCGTGCTAAGCACGCCTCGGGCAAAGAGCGAAAGAAAGCAAAGAAGATGCTACTTCCTTCCGACGAAGATTCAGATACTCTAGTAGAGTCTAGCACAGACGGTGAAAGCTCTGAGTCGGATTTCGTTGCCCCTAAGCCCTCTCGCAACAAGAAGAAAGCTCCAACCAAGTATACTTCAAGCAAGAGGAAGGCCTCTACTAAAAATACAAGGAGGGCAGCTAAATCTGTGTCCCCTCCCTCGAGCGAGTCCGATTCAACTGAAGAAGAATCTGAAGAAGCAGAAGAGGATAGTTCCAACGCTGAAGAGGTCCCTGCTAAAAAGGAGCCCAGGAGGAACTTGGAAACCATCCAGATGGATGGTTATAGGGACGATGGTTGGTCCATCCACGAAGATGGCACGATCTGCTTCATGAAGGCAAAAGGTAGCTCGTAAGTGTTACCCCTTTTATCCCTTATCAAGCATCGACTAATCGATACATCACAGTTCACGGAAGATAGCCCAAGAACTCGAGCGGGAAGTATCAGAGGTTCAAATACGCATACAGGAGATCATGGAACTAGCCGAGGAAGGCGGGCTCACAATTGAGAGCCTTGGTGAGATCTACGCTCAGGATGTGAAGAAGAAGATGAAAAAGAGAAAAGAAGATTCCAGGCCAAAACATCAAGCCTATGCAGAGACTGTCATTGATGACTCCGATGAAGAGCCCAAAATAAAAAGTAAAGACAAGGGGCCTAGCTCTATTTACTCTTCCTCCTCCATCGAGTCCATCCTTTCCTACGCAACCTTCCCCCCGATCGTCGTGCCAGCACGTGACCGCCCCGATATGATGCACACATTGTCGCGTCTATATCCCGACCAAAAGGTCTTCTACCCGGACAGCAACTTCAGCGTCCAGGACTGCCGCGCCCTCGCCGTTGCCGAAGCGCGGTACCGCGGCCAACAGTACGCCTACATTCAGAGCGAGTTCGCCAACCTTACGGGGCAGTGCTTGGACACCGAGGTGCTGAAGGCCAAGCTTGCTCAGAGTATAAACCCTTACGACCACACTTATGTAAATTGGGGTGGGTACCGGCAGTAGTTATTAGAGAATGGCTCTTGGAGAATAAAGAACTTTGGGGGAAGGAAAGACAACTGGAGGGAATTCATGGGTAGGTGGTGGCCTTGCTGGGGAGTATTGAACGAGGGGTTCATGAGGTTCCATAGAGGATTTTGGTTCGCAGGACCGACTTTGGCTTTCCAAACAAGAAGGATATGAACAAATTTCATTCCTAGAGTGTATGAGCACAAGAATGCTCCTCGATGGGCCTGGGTGGGGTAGGGAAAGAGGCCTTGGTTGAGTTATAGTTGGGTTGAGCTCATCCGGGCAAACAACAGCCTAGTACATATATTATATTATATCACACTTACATCCTTACCTTTACGAGTATGGTAATATAAATACTCGTTTGATTTCCTTGATAATATAGCTTAGTCCAGTGCTATTAATCTAGTATAATATGCATGTAGGAACAGATCTCCTTGAATAATCATCTATTCCCTATCACTAAAATGCTTCTTTAGTTTTCTCAGATAAATTCGAGAATGCTAAGCCAACTTTATTTAGCAATAGACCCTCATACAAACGAAGGTACGTACGTATGGTTAAAAAGATGGACAGACGTAAACAAAAGTAGGAAAAGGTGTAGGTGAAAAAACAGGGAAGAAAAATGAAAAATGAAAACATTAAAACGTCATAGAAAAACATTATAAAAATAAAAGCAAAAAGATACAAAAAGCTCAGTCCCAGATTCGAATCCCCTCGGATAGGGGCAGAGGATTCGAATCCGAGACCTACGAAAAACCGGCTTCGTTAGGCATCTGCTGTCAAGTCACGTTCTTTGGGAAGAACGGTCCAGCATAAGACACCACGGTGGGGTTTTCTCTAACCTCAAGTCGCCCAAGCGAGGGGCGTCGGTTGACAGTTGGCTTGCAATTAGGATATATAACTTTTACTTGGTGGGTAGGTTAGGTACTTAGGGGATGTACCTGGTTATCTTGTTGCCTGGGTTTCTGAATAGCTGCAGGTTGACAGGTGTCTACACTACGATAAGACTCGTGGCAACCCCTCTATTTATTTACAGTGTGCTATATATAAGAAGAGTGAATTTTTATCATGTAATACTACCTAACCTACCTAGGTACCTAAGGTACCTCTTACGTTGGCTCCCGTCAACATGATAAGCTTGCGGATAATTTCGTATGAAAGTTCATACTCAGGGGTTGGAGCCAATACTTGAATCCAAACGAGTGACACTAGCTACCGCTACGAACGCTCCGAAATATATCCTCATAGATCAATCCGAGATAACTTACATTGATCTTCACCGAATGTTCTTCATTCTATTTCAGACATGGAAATAGCAGCCATCCACCTCCAGAATGGAGGATTCCGTCCGATCAATTTCCTAAGGAATGAAGTTTGTCTAGGGTACCCTGGATAGTATCCCTCGGAGGCATTGTCGTCATGTACATGTTCCTGCGGAAGAAGTCCACTTTCAATAGTATGTTAGTAGGTGTCCTCTAGCCCTTATTGTGGTCTTGAAATTGTTATGGAAGGGGGGCAACAACAACAAAATAAGGAAGGACAGAAAGGGGCCCTACCGTCATCTTTGAGCTGGTTCCAATACTCAACAATCTTTTTCAGTTGCAGTTCCTCCAGTGCAAGGGGCGGGATGTTGTTCAGGTTGTTCTCGAATAGGTCATGAAGACCTTGGAGATCACCCGACATAGCGGACCACGCGCCCTGGATCTTCTCCAGCGTATTGACGGCTGGCTGGATGCATGCAACCAGTTCTTGGATTGAAGTCTTTAGAAGGTTCATTTTGCATCAGCCATATATTTGCAGAGGAATCAAGAGATGCAATGGGCAAAATGGAAAAGGAGGGGGTTTTAGGGAAAGATACGAAACGTACTCGCATATCAACTAGGTCAGAACTCATCATTTTCGCATTCTCTATCTTGGCTTGATCGCTCCTAATCAAGAATCAGGGCTTGAACCCTCTCCAAGATCCCCGTCAATCGCTTGATATCATTTTCGGCCAATACATCTACGGTGATGCCAGCGATGGTACCCGCAAAGGGACTGTGGTTATGTGAGACATGTTCATTACTCGGGATGGGACTAGGCTTTTCTCACTGACATCCAGACGTAGTAAGCTGTCTCTCGGATCTTCTTCCGGTCTTCTCGATGGCAAAATTGGTCAGCTAAGCAGTGTTAATGTACCTAGGGTTGATGGACGTCGTACATACCTGCCTCGATTTGCCGCTGGATGTCCGCTACCTCCTTGTTGTAATCGCCAACCCAGATCAAAAGCTGACGATAGTACGAAGAGTCGATACTCCCGCCGGCATCCTATCAAGAAGCCACAATGGTCAGTACTTCGTTGATATTCCATAATAAAAATAATAGTGGATTTGTGCTTTACTTACCATGGCGTAGTTGAAGATCTTGTTAGAAATACTAACTAGGTCTTCCCAGGTGACATTTGGCCGTCCAGACGTAACGATTCAGTTTCGCAAAGTCGGCAGAATCCAAGCGCGAATGCATAGTCGTTAGGGTTATCATCATCGCCGTCGCCGGATCGACCTTTGCTGCTAGGGTCGAACTTAACCCACAGATCTGGATGCGGATACCAGACTGTCGGGTCGTCAATGGGCTTGGTTTGATCAAACCTGACTCTTCCCCCCATGGTGGACCTTGACGGTGATGATTGATCCTGAAAAGAGAGTGAATAGGTTATAGCTATAGCACTATCGTGAGTTGAATCAAGTTGGTCAATTGTCCCACAATGAGCACTCGACTTTGTAGCCAACGTGCACTAGATTTAGACCACCTTATATACATCTTCCAAAGATCAATCAGACATCACTTATGCACCATTCTTAGTTTTACGCTTTGATTTCTCACCGGTTGACGATACTTATTATGCACCTTACGTGACCGTACAGACTTGACCGCCTCCAAGTCCCAGGTATATTGAAGCCCGGAGGCTTGCTTATCTGGCCATATTGTCGACTTGGCCCGAGAGCCCTTATGAAGACATAGAAAATACACCAATCATATTACACCAAGAATATGTGCGTATACCCTTAAGGACTGTATTTGTTGTGGCATAAATAAAAAGTATTTGATCATGATTTGAACCGGTGTGGAAACCTGCTCCGTGTTTTCCGTGTTCGAATCATTCCTAACGAACCAGCTTTCACCATGCTTATCATTGCTACTCAAAAGCTTCTTCGGCCTGATGTCTTGGTTCGGGTGAAAAGTGTATATAAGACGTCAGGTATCGAAAGGTTAAGTAAGTTTATACTGGCCAGCAGTACAGAATAGAAACCATTGAACCATTGCGTCTGTGCAGGCCGCCGATGTTCACACGGAGAGCTGCCGCGAATTGCGATGTCTGACATTCCGGAAAAGTCACGGTCGCCAGCCAATTGGCGGGCATACGCCACCTCGACCGAGGTCGAATCAATCCTTCTGAGGCAAGGCCAATCAGGGACGCAAATGGTGCGACTACATTGTACTTCTTCTGTTGCGATAATGGCTAATTGGTTACCTACGATAGCATGATGTATACCTCGATGGATCAGCACTGCTCAAGGCAAGCCCTGAACAGCTTTATATGTATACCGATGTGCTCGCTCTAGATGAGAATACCATATTCGGTCTATCGGAGAATGCGCAAGTGACCATCCTGACGAGGGTTATCACAGCGGATGCCCCTGTGACTCTCAAGGTGATCCCACCAGCTGATGGTAGTTGCGCCGTTGCCATCTACGCATCGGTGTTGGATCAAGATGTTGCGGTACAGGCTGGGAATTCGAAGCCCCAGAAGCTGGGCTTAGGTCCGGGGTCTGGGCATCTCGGGGTAGTTATAGTCGTCAACGCTGATACTACGAACCCAGTCACGTTGGATTACATCAAGAAGTACGGTTATGATAACAGACAGAGCCACGTATCCAGCCTGGAGACGCAACTGCGTATCGCCTCGGTGATGTTCTGGAAGAACACTTCCGTTGCCATCTCTCTCTGTGCCCACGTCGCCGCCTTTACCGTGTCGCCCTCACCGCACTACCTCCTCAACTCCCAAGCCGTGGCGCTAGGCCAGCAGCTCGCGGCGCAGGCGGTCACGGATGACGGCAAGCTACTGGCCCAGGCCCAGGCGTAAGCCATCAAGGCCGGCCAGCAGTACGTCCAAGCCGCGATGGAGGCCGTGCTGTGCGAGAGGGATGTAGAACGCCTCAAGTCGCTAATAGACAAGTACGAAGGACAGGAGGATGTGTACGAGACAGCAAAGACCAATCTTTTTGACCACTTCATGGCCTTGCGGACCAGCCTGGTGATCGAGATGCGAAATATCACTTGGGCATACAAATACTACGCCTTAAAATATAGCAGAGTCATTTTAGATGTGCTCAAGTCGACCGCTGAGTACCGGCAAGATAAGCTGGCCATCAAGCAAGACATCGACAACGCAGATGCTGCGTATGCAACAGACTTTGAACGTCCGTTCCTCCCTCCCTCCCTCCCTCCCTCTCTCTCTCTCTGAAATCAACAATACTGACTAGGACGGCAAGGTGGTCGTCGACCTGCAGATCAGCACTTCGGGCCTCTACCAGGACGTGCAGGATGACCAGATCTTGAGCTTCACGAGTCCCCGCCAAGTCCGCAACTTCTCGTACGAGCTGCTGGCGTCAGGCGAGACCGGCGACATCTGGGATCACGCCGACGAACACACAGATATGCAACACATCTACCGATACTCTAGTAAATCTTCGCCCCGTCCGGTGTTCAGCACCGTGATGGAATTTATCTAATCGTTAATATTAGTTTTACTATCGTAAAGTCACAGACATCTGCGACTATATGATCGCCGCCGGGGCAGGCATCAGAAAAGATTACGGTACCGGAAGCCTTGGTCACCTATATACGCTAGCCTTCACTCCATTCATATAACTGACTGAAACAAAATGTATGTAAAAGACATCATATTCGACGGCCTTACAGAGCTCTACAAGCACCCAGATAACGAGAGCCTCCACCAGCAGATCGGCCAGACCATCAAGGATCGAGTGTAGACCCTACGAATTATCTCCGACGTAGCCGCTGCTGTTAAGACAGATATGACCAGGTCAGTCCAGGCCATCATCGAGCATCAGGCGAGGCTCGGAGAAATGGCGAAGCCAATACAAGACTCCTCTACTATTTCAGAACTCCTGAGAGAGTCGGATGGTGATGACATGGACTACCAACAAGATATGGAGGCAGTGCAAAACCTCCTGGTACGTGACATACACACCACCACATGCCCCTTCCTTTTTTTTGTTTGTTCTTGACGTATGTTAACTAACGGCTTATGGTCACCGTTCGAAGAAGATAATAGCCGATCAGAAGATGGAAGACCAGTCGAGTCCCACGCTGAGCGAACTAGAGAAGCTCCTGGGTGAGTATATCCCTCATTGCATCCCTCATTGTATTGGTACCACCTGCTCCTCTCCAGCTAACAAGGCGAAGGCATGGTTGTACCTACCAGAAAGGCTAACACAAAAGCTTTTAATCGATTTGATACATAGGGGCAACAGCAGCAATCCTAAGCGACATGACATCGCCACGAGAAGAGTTCGAAGAAGCCGCCAGGCCGGGACCGGACCTTGTGCTTAATCTAGAAAAGGAAAACCTCATTGAGATGTGGGATTACCTGGTGACAAGAGGTAGTCGATCCCTTCCTGTTTCTTCTTTTCGCTTCGGTATTTTTGGACAATTGCTTCGTATCTCCCTACGCCCCAACGAATACTTGTCAAAACGCTAACCTTGATATACGCAGTGCAAGAATTCAAGGATCAATACCAGATGTAGCCGAGCCAACAAGAAGAACGGAAAGGTGGCACCGAAAAAGGCTTGAGCCCCTGAGTTTTCTCGAAATACGGAACGGACCGAAAGAAAGCAAGGGTTATTGTACCGTTCATCTTTTGAAGCAAGGACAGAAACGCGAGGCCACCTTTTGGTAACACAATAGGGGCTGAATTTTCTGTTCATCGTTAAAATTTCGGCAGTTATAACGTATCGAAATCTAGCACCCGTATTACCTACGAGACGCAGTGAACTAAACAACATAATGAGTAATTTGCCAACTCAATAAAACATCCATGAATATCACTAGACAGTGAGAATTGTCATCGGCAGGGATTCATCTAGTAACATCTATAATTTTTCAACCCAAACGAAGGAGCTGGGCAAGGGGTCGATCTCATATCGTTCAACAAAATCTCTACATGCATCATACAAGTCCATTGCTGGCCCAATGCCAATAAGGTCGTCAGAATCACCCATCGGGGGGTTCAAGGGGGCCATCACGCAAGTAACAATCCAGAACGTGATGTATAAACATACCTACGCTGTATAGATAGGTATATAGGTATACACTATATAAATAGTATGCATGAGGTATATATAGATGCACACTTATAATCAACAAAGCTCTTTCCTTGCAGCTTTTCACTACCATACACAGCCAAATCCGCTCGGATCAAAACTCGCAGACAACACCTCCAAATAGTATGGCGCCAACCGTTATTCATTCGGAGGAGAGAGAGCCATATGCCCAACATCATGACCGATATCATAAATCCTTTTCTTCCCCTTTTCTAATCCGCTCAGCTACCCAGCGAGCCCCTCTAAGGACCAGGACCGGTGTCTATGCCTACGCCCATGGCATCTCGATGGACCCCTTTTTTTAGTTTCGTGTACGTGCCGTGTGAAAAAAGCCCCACCCTTACCCCGTCCAATTCTATTTACCAACGATAGTTGCAAATAGATAAAAACGCCCGTTCCTCTAGTAAACCCTGGGTTATATGTGCGTATGTGCCCCGCGTAGACCTTAACCAGCCAGGTCACCCGCCTATATCCGTGATGAAGGCATGCCTCGTCCGAGCCTAGTAATCCGTTTCGCCAATCGTAAAGTAGTGTTATTTTTTGTGAGAATTGAAATTATAAATATTATTCGACACTCTATATGCCTCAGCAGTGAGCGCAAGGGATAGTGGGTTTGCCGCGAAGAGTGGAAGGTCCCTTACGCCTCCGACTTCCTAGTGCAGGCATCCCATCCCCGGGTTGAGAATCATCGCCTGTCTCGAACCGCTCGTTGCCGATCATGATGACCTTGATCACGTTGCTGAGTCCTACAGCTAAGCAAGAACGACCAACTCGAACCATTGGCCCAAGATTCGTGACGAATAAATGACCGTCATCTTCGACCTTCGAACATAGTGGGAGGGCCTCCCATGTCTCCTGTTTTCCGAAATGGGAAAACATCCATACTTCCCAGTTGTCTTGGGAAACATGGCCGTTTGCAGGTTTAACAGGGTGATGACGGCGTCGGAGGCCGCTGAGCTGTTGCAGGGGCTGACGGTCAAGATGACCGTCTGCTCGAGATTTCTCACCATTCTTCCTCCTAACTCCGACCATGATCCCAGAGGGCAAAGCATCCCAGAGTCCAGGATTCTTAATAACCCGTCTCGATTCTTTGGCTCTTTGCCATGGACAGCACGTTTTCCTGGTGGGAGAAGCTGGGTCGCAGAAGCACAGGGACTCTCCTTCGTGTTGCGGACTATAGGTTTGTACTATTAGGTCTCGCGTATATGTATTGAGATATGCCAATGTAAAGCTCCATAAGGCAAGGGAACCGCATCGCATTCTCCGTGGCCTCGAATGGAAGCATTTCAAGCTTTTCGGTTGGATTGGATCCACCTTGAAAGTATAGATTGCTCTGAGAGTCTGCGCATCTACTAAGTCCGCAGTCTGGGACCGAACAATGAGGAAGAAGCCTAACTCCGGCAAAGCTTGAATCGAGATAGATCCGCGGTCCTTGGAATTGCCTGCCTCTACGATTTCGGTGGTCCAGCTGGATCCCTCTTGGGTGGCGAGGCGTACCTGACCCTCACGGGTTGAAGCCATCACTTGAGCAGGAAACCCTGCGAGTGTTAGCGGATATAAGTTCATTTCACAAAAATTCAAGTCTCACTTACCCTTTTCTGAAAGAAAGCCAACGGAGACGATAGAGCTCTCTTTATTAAATATATAGTTATTGGGCACTGCTTGGTCGGTCCTAAGCTCTGTGATGACACCGTCCCGTCGGATAAGGATCAGAGAAGGAACGGCCATGGAGTCATCAGCGACAAAGAAGAAGGCTTCCGGTTTATGTCGATCCGGCTCCGCCCTAATAGGAGAACCCCACCTTAGTTCAACGAGATCCCAGAGTAGAACTTTGTCAGAAGTTAAGAGTGCAAGCCAGTGAGACTCCTCATCAATGCACATAGCTAGTACTGGAAACGGGATCATGTAAGAATCCGCATTTTCGCCCAACACATAACTCTCACCTCCAGCTTTTATATCCCAGACTCTGACAACTCGGTCTAGCCCTATAGACACAAGGTGACCATCAGAACAGGCTGAGATCAAAGCGACATCTAAGGAATGGCCTATGTTCAAAGTCTTAACCGAGAGGAGAGTGTCCCCATCCGGACCACCTCGTGAGGAATCTGCTAATTCGTCCCATAGTAGATAATTCATTAACAGACGAACTGCCGCTGCAACAATAAGTACTGTCAGCAGAAAAGGTGCCGATTGATGGCGTACAAAATCATATACGGCGGGTGTAAACCAAGGCTCGTTGGCGGAAAGACTTCGATCTGATCCCTTGAGCACAAATACTGTAGGGTGAAAGACTCTTGCAATGTAGCTATGGGCGCCGGGCTTAACAACATGAATGAGCTCTCGAGCTGTCTCGTGATCTTGAAGACCTAGCCACGATGCTGGGCTCCTACCCTGATGGACTTCAGATAGGGATGAAGCTGGTGTTAGATCCTTGTATTTGGGAGAAATGCGAATGATCCGACTAAGCAACTTAACTACGCCTTCATTCTCCCAAAAGTGCCATTGAGCGAGGAGGAGGAAACCCACCATGACAATAGTCCCAGCAATACGTGTTGACATAGCGATCTTGCCCTGTAGCATCGCGTCTATCCATGTTTGACGCGAGTGAGAGCCAGAAGCGGAGCGTTGATCTCTAATCGACGCTTTCGCAAGTGCATCACTAAGCTCGGTTCGTCGAACATCGACACTAAGTACTGAGAGGAAGAAAGTAGATAGATAGAAGAAGTCGAACATCAATGCGATGGCTGCGAAGGTACAAAATGCCGAAACACCGGGGGACACGATCTTTGAAAAGCCGTATAAGAGGAATACATTCTGAGCCACACTGGCCAGTGCGATGTGGCCTGTCTCACCAAAAGCCTGACCAACCCTATTGCTGGTACTATTTTCAGACGGCGTGAGAATGACAGCGTTAATGAGCCGATGGATGTTTTCAAGACTCATACAGAAAATGACGACCGGATATCCCAAACGTGGAAGCCTCGATAGATCGATCTTAAGTATAGCGCATATGGTGAAGCTCGATAAGATGGCGAGAACGATTTGAGCTATAACCGTGACCATCAATCCCATCTTCGACCTAACAGCCCGTAAATTGGATAAAGTCGCCAAGAAGTAAATGAGAAGGACCGAATAGGGGACTCCTAAAACGATGACGTCCTGAGACGAGATGGGACGAAACTTAAATTCATACAATTCACTAGTCCTGCCGCTCGGAGAGTACTCAAATATATCCCAATGATCAGCCACATTATATTTGAGAGCCTTTAGCCTCTCCTGCCATAAACGACCAACCGGGGAGTCTCGCAGGTGGATGAGGGTGATGACAAGTGCATCAGCAGCGACAAGCCGACGATCTTGAAAGCGCTTCCCACTGAAGACGGTCGAGTGCCTCAAGGTTACATTGACCGAAGTTGGTTGGGATTTTCTCTCGTTTGCCGTCTCAATGATATCGTCATCTTGTTCTATATTCTCTGCAGAGCACGACCAATACTGCAGCGGAGATTGGAAAAACCAAGACTCGTTAGTCAGGCCATTCACGATATGATAGGCGTCGCGTTGACTCGGCGTAATATCTATAGTCGTAGCATTTTGAAAGTGAGCATCACCAGCAATATGGCGTCGCGGATCGAAGTTGACTGTGGGACTAAGGAGTTCGTCTTGAAGTTCTAGGGCACCAAGCAAAACATTTCTATTAAGAGCCTGGAAATAGTCGCCGTGGACCCATATCGAACGCATAATAACGTCGGGTTCGGCCCTATTCCTGTCGTGTAAGGGAAGAGTATCGGTCCAGGCATGTTCGGGAAGAGAGGACGCGCCATTGATGAAATCGGTGGTATAGAGGAAAGGGAAAGGATATACAAGGACGGCGGCAACGGCAACGGATATTAATAAGGTCGTAACAACATGACTAGCAGCGTATCTTCCATACCGGGCGAAAGCGCGGCGTAAGGGGTGCGTATCGGTAAGCACGGGGGCTTCGGTAGTTCTAAGATTACCTTGTCAATTGAGCTGTATGCAAAGCAGACAGACGAGATGAAGCACAACATACCCTCTAAAAGGATACAGAATATACCAAATCATTCTTTCCACACGTGGTGGGCAGTCACCAGATTGCGAGCTGCCCACGATAACTCGGCGCGCAGAAGAACGGTAGGCAAGGGCCTTTCCTGAGTTTGCAGGAGGAGGCGCATTATACTTCTCCAAGATATGACATAGGAGGAAGAGCGCTAGATATCTATAGAATTCGACATATACGTATGGACAGACAGGTGGGTATGTAGGCAAGTAAGTACTTGTGTCGATATTTAGGTAGGTATCTAATACAGTAGATGTCTCATCGTCGGGCCCGAAGTCTAGAGGATGGATCTTGGGACTGGGACTGGGACTGGGACGAAGACTCGGACGAGCAACCAAGGTAGAAATTATTCGATGGAAAAAGCAGGGACAAGTTGAAAGGCGGAAAATCGG